AAATCAAGAATTCCTCTGTTACACACAAACCCATTAGGAACACTGTCGTGTCAACCGTGTGTTGGCTAGTTTGGGCTTCTGTCAGTTCTTCCTGAGATTTAACAATTATTGTTTCCCCCTGACAGTCGGGCCGTATGGAGAACGAGGGTCGGATTTTGAACTGGAAGCTGATTCTTCATGGAACGTCAGAGAAGCCGGAGCACATGAAGAAACCCAGAGTGTACATTCCCTACAACGCTGTGCAGAATGACCGCCGTGGTGTGGAACATATGGATGACATGATGGAGGTGAGTACGATGCAACGGAATTTTAAGCTGAATGTTAAAACCTGGTTTAGATGTCAAGGAAATGAAGCGTTGAGTGTATGTATAGGTATGTTGTGTACATGCTTTTACATGACGCCCGTATGTTAACGTGAACTGATCTGTCAACACTCTGTGACATCATGGGCATGGTTACAGGTGCAACAAAGTAGACTTCTGAATACGCACACCCAAGAGATGCCACAATAGTTGCTTTTTTTGTCTGGCTTATTTGACTCCGAATAGCACATAATAAATAAATCTACAGACATAACCAAACAGAAGGGTCTTGAATATTTGAATATTTTAGATTGCAAAGACACAACATGACATTTGTTTGGGTTTGATCATAAGCATAACATAAGTGCATAATAACCCAATGTCCATCAAATTCAAATTATGTCAATTAAAAATCACAATGTAATAACTTGAAATTAATCTAAGGTCAGTGCAAATGTGACAGATTGTGTATTATTTGTGGCTGTTTATTATGTACTTTACAGGACATTTGAAATTAAACGAGTGCTGACTTCCAGTTTGAATTTGAGAGTGTTTACATCTACACAGTCGAAATTGTAGCACTTTGTATCACCACAATGTCAGCACAATGCAAAAATACAATGACAGTCATTGCTCAGGTTTAGATCCAGTGTGCCAGAGTACAGACTGTACTGTAATATGATTTATCATTTCCCTTTAAACCAAAAAAAAAACCAGAATATAACACAGTTTTCTATGTTTATTTGCACAATCTGTGGATTGTTTTTGTTTGCATCATACACCAATAACATGTCTCCTCTCTGTCTGTGTGGTGACTCAGGAGCCCACACGGGCATATCCACCTCCAAAGAGCGACACAGCACAAGCCTCCCTTCCTTCCAACCCAGAGAAGGAGCCTAAAAAGCCCTCAAATCCACCCTACTCCCCCTCCCTGGCCCTGCTGCGTCTCCTTCAGACAGCCTTTAACAGGCAGACACCTGCCCTGCAGCAGCCCCATTCCGTAGTCAGGGCCTCAACCGCCTCGAGGAAGCAGCAGCTGGACTGGAGCCTCCCTCCCCCTGCGACAAGACTCCCGCCTCAGAAGTTGTACCAGGCTCTGGACATGATCAACAAGTACCGGGGCCCAGAGGACAGTGTCTACAGTGACTACACTGATAGCTTCTACAGCACCAAGCCGTACAGGCATAGAGATGACCGACTCCTGCAGGCCCTGTTTGAGATGCTAGATGATGAGCGCAAGTGAGAAGAGAGGAGAATAAAGGGGGGGGGGGGGGGTAGGAGGAGAGGAGAATAAATATATGTAAAAAGTGGGGAAGCTTGATCATGTGTTGGTTGGGGAGCAGAGGAACAAGGCAAGAGAGGAAGCAGAGGGACGGGATCGGGCATTAGAGGAGTGGAGGAGAGAAGAAGAAATACAGGAAAGAGAACTCTTCCACTCTGTTCTGTTTTCCCCACAAAATGCTGCAAATCTGATCTCTTTACCTTCATTTGCCAATCACCATTCATTAACTAATTATTTCATTCAGCCATGCAAAATTTCCAGTCCACACGTGAGTCAAAACATGGACTCATTGAGAGCTTTTCTGTTCTAAACTGTATCTCCATGTAGTGAAAGTAAAGCATTTAAATCCTAAGAAAGGAGGGGTAGGCCTAGTCGCTCTTCTCTTCACTGCCTGCTCAAGCATGCCACCTTTTACAATATAAGTTCTCTATTAGTATCTATATATACATATGATCTATTTATTATAAAAGACAATGATTGTAATATGGTTTTGAAAACACTTGCCAGCTAAAATCTTCACTTTCAAAAATCCAGTTTCTATTTGTATTTTGCCATTTACATTTAGATCCCTAAAGGAATGGACATAATGTCATTAAATTAAGAGTCAGCATACTTTCAAAATGAAACTAAATTTTAAATTGATCAGCAATTTGAGCTGTGTTGACAAAAGATTTATTCTCAGGGTGTCAACAAAGCTCATGAGAGCAACAAAATCATATTAAAAAGTATTAAGAGAAGTATAGAGCGTGTGAAAGATTATATATTATAAGAGCATGCAGATGAGACAATACAGTCATACCAATACACTATTAAAAGAGAGAAAACACAACCAACCTCTACTCTGGTAAAAAAAACTAACAAACAAACAGATTAATCTTCTTCTCGTGCAATTTGTTTAAGTTTGTATGAGTACAATGCTGCATTAAATGAAATATTTTTCTAAGGATTCTCATAGAATAATAAAGATATAATAATATAATATATACAGTATCAAACCCATAAACAGTTTATTTTCTTGTAGCATAGTTCAATTAACACTGCAAAGTCAGTGTAGTTATCATAACTACAAGTGAACACTGCCAGAATCTTTGCTTTAAAAAAGCTTGTGTGTATTTCAGTAAATGTGCAAATGGCTAATATGTTGTTTGTTCATCATCTGCAATATGCCAACTCCAAACAGTTCCTTGAATCTTGGACAGATTAGTGCATTACTAATACTTCTCTGGTATTATTAAATTGGTGTTAACGGACCTATCACACTTCAGAAGCTGAGCAGAGGCTCTGTAGAATAGGGGCTCTGCCTCAGCACCGCAACCTTATAGCACATTCATCTTGAACGCCTTAATATATGCTGTAATAAGTGTGCATACTCATCTCCACATGGTGTAGATCAATTTACAAATGCTAGTGTAAGTGTTTATGACATGAATAGTTATCAATCCTCTATGCAGAGTCTCTATCCTCCAGCTTGGAACTGCCTGCCCCGCTTCTCTGCCAACAAGATGGAAGGAAAAAAAAAAAAGATGTTTGGGACGCTTCACATGCACCCTGTAATTTATCCATTCTTTAGTGCAGCCCATTCAGTTTTCTTAATGTTTTTGTTTTGTGACTGATGCTTCAGTCCAAAGTTGTTTACACAAACCACTATTACGTTACAATTTCTGTATGGATGTACAAAAAAAATAGATGAGATTTATCGTAATAAACTGCAAAGTGACCTCTTTGTCTGTTTGAGTCTCTGGCAGCCTACAGTAATTCTAGGAGTTGACATCAGCTGTGGTTAAAGTAACAGACTGGTAGAAAAAAAAAATATATATATATATAGGTTTGGTAATGAATCAAATTTATTGGATTTTTTTAAATATGAGTTTTTGCACAATCTACTACATCGTGAAAATGAAATAAAGAAACACAAGCAGATGACTTAGGGAGCAGACTTTCAGCTTCTGTCTGTCCTGAAGCTTAAATTGGCTGTCTCTATAACCCGTGTAATAAGTAACGCTAGCAGCAAGGCTCCATGGAGGGCAATGTCAGTCGTCATTTGGTTGATCCACAACTTTGGTCCAGACTGAAATCTCAAGAACCTGCAGATGGATTGTCATGGACATTTGTTTCACGTTCATGGTCCACAGAAGGTTAATCCTAATGACTTGGTGTTTTCCTGACTTTTGCTCAAGCGCAAACATTAGGATTGAAATTTTTAGAAACATTGGACCCTTTGCTATGAAATATGGTACAGATATTCAGTTTCACCTCAGGAACTTTTCGTTTACTGCCAACATCAGATCATGATTTTTATTTGCCTACTTGTAAACTAAGATGATGTACACAGTGAGCAATATACCTGCCAAACATCAGCATGCTAGCATTGTTATTGTGAGCATTTTGGCATGCTGGTGTTAGCATTTAGCTCAAAGTACTGCTGTGCCTAAGTACAGTCCACAGTGGCGCTAGCATGCCTGTGGACGTCTTGTTCTAAGTATCCATAACAGCCTTTTAAGTGGTCAGGCACATTTTTGTCTTCAGTAGCCTACTTCTGCAGTGTTTACAATCAGCAATTGTCCCCAAGCTTGAAAACTTTTTTTTCTTCACTTTAACGACTTTAATCTAATGAAACAAAACACTCAAATTACTTTAAAACACAAGTTCAGCAACTAAGCGATAGAGATCCCTATCATGGCTTTTTAATTCATAAAGACATATCATTGGCACTATGTCTTTCAATATCCTTTTTATATTTATTCATTTAGCTGACTTACGATTGCTAAGTATGTCAGAGGTTATACGCCTCTAGAGCAACTAAGTGTCTTGCTCAGGGACACATTGGTATAAGTGTCACTGTCACAGTGCGGTCACTCACACAAAAGGTATGTCTTATCCACTGCTCCATCTCCACCCCAGTTTTGATAATCATTTTACATAGACTTATAGTTTGTTAATATATATTACAACCTTTTAGAGTGGCATGTTGTCTCCTTATGTTTCCTGTTGATGTACAATAGCTTCTTCCATTGTCTTTCCTTTTGGGTGCCTCCACCTTGTGGACAGAAAGAAAATAACACCATGCTGACCTGGATTTAAGCCTGGTTGATAATACAGTATTATGTCTGTCTACTTCCTACTAACTCTCCTCTATACAGGATTATAAAACACTTGAGATGTGCCATCTGGCATTTTCTGCAGGAAGAATGAATTTGAGTAAAATATTTACTGAGTTCTCCCAGGAGTTTTGGAGTGACTACCTATTGTCTAATGTTTATCGTCATACTTCCAACATGAGTCGGAGGAAAGAATGTTAAAAATCCACTTCTCTCTTTACTGTATGTGTAATTTAATCTTTTAATTCTTTTCCTTCCTTGCTTGTGTCTTATCCTTCACTCCTCAGCTCCTCCCATTTGCCCAAATTCCACACACATCTGGTTGCTTTGGTTGTTCTCCAAAACTAAATACTGCAAAAGCCTGAGGGGTGAAGTGAGGGGGAATAGAAGAAGATATGTGAAGAAAAGGGGAGTGGAAAACATTATAAAAGCAAAGAGAAGAGAGATACAGAGGGGGCAATGTAAGAAAATAATCACTGGCAGACTACAGTGAGTTAAACTGCACATTTCCAGGAAGAGACAGAGTGAGCAGAAGAGAAAGAGAGCGAGAAGCTGAGATTTTCTAGGCAAAAATAGTGGTCTCAGACAAAGGTTTGTGTGTTTATCCATCAGCAGGTCACAGTATGGCGCTGTTCCAGTTTTGCAAGACGCCCACAGGTCAGTACAACTTCAGCCCCTGCTTTACCACTTCTGCATACATCAGAACAGGCTATTTTCCCCTCACTTGCCATTGATTTTGTGACCGTTGTACATGCTCGGTTAAAGCTCAGTTGCTTTAACAGCAAGGAAATGTGGATTGAGCCAGACAGGATAAAGTGTAAATAGCTTTGTAAAGCTTTTCTCAGAGGTTAACCTGAATCCTAAAATATGTCCAGGAAAGGCTAAACAAGTCCTTGATTAATTCAAGAACAAACAGGTTTGGGACAAATGCAACCTGGCAAAACAGCTTGCACATCAGCATATAGTATGTGGAGAATATGAAGAAAAACACCTATATTTACTCAAACGTTTGGTTCCGCACAAATTTCATTGCTTATGACATGTAGGATCTGTCATACTGAGCTGCTGTTGAGGCTACGTTGCTCCCCCTGCAGCACTGGAACATCAACACAGACACCAGATTTTAAAAAGTCAGGTATACTGCGAGTACAGAGAGATTTACCAGGCAGTGATAGGCTTAATTAGCATTGTGTGAACTCGTTTGGCAAGGGCTTGAATGTAACAGACATTCATTTATGTGTAAATGTCCCGTACTCTTGCTTTAATATTTGAGTCAAATCTAATTTTAGTTAAACTATTTAAGTACATCCCACACATATTCATGTCTTTTGTTTAGAGTGTATTGACTACTACTTTATACATTTTACAGCATCATACACATTATTTGGCCGAGTAAGTTATATCATATGTATGCAGACTATAAACATTGCTTATGCTTTAAAGATTACATTGTTTTTGCAAGCACAGGTGGACACAGGGAGATATTTCCTTAGCTACACGTTCTTTTCCCTACTGAGCTCGGCTTTACATGTGTATGTAAAATGTGCATACTGGAAGAGTATACATCTGTGTGTTTGTCTTTCAAACAGGACCAGTCAGAGTGACAAGAGTACAGCTGGTCCTGTACTGTTTTCTCCTGTCTCTTATCATATGTAAGTGTACAAAAGAATTTGTTCTATTCTAACACTTTGTGGCGGGACACTAAATGCTCACAGAAGAATTTTCTAGCGGCAAAGTAAATGTAAAAATAAAAACATGTTGTTTAAACTTCATGCTAAGTAGATCCCATCCCATTCAGGAAGATCTATTTTTTGCATTCTGTCTTAATTGTGACAGAATATCATAATTATAGAAAATGTCTTCTAAATGTTCCAGACACAGATATGCACATTAAAAAGTAGTTTAAATTAGGTCAGTTGTGATAAATTGAATTGAATTGGATCTGAGCTTTACAAAAGTACACTTTACAAAAGGTGTCTACAACACAGAAAAACTAGTTTGGTGTAAAAATAAAAACAATGTTTTCCCCACTCAGACTTCCTCCATGGACATAAAGCTGCTGTCAGTGTGGAGTCACCTCATCCTATAGTTCATGCCTTGGGGATGGACAGGGGAAGAGGAATGGCAGGCATGAAGTTTGTCAAGGTAGCAGCACCACAAACTCCTCTGGAGACACCATGGGGTGGTCCTTTAGTGTGGGGTGACACCCATAACTCAGATTTGCGTAGGGCTAAATTTGCACAACGGGAAATCCGTACAGGTCTGCTGGCCCTTATGGTTGGAACTTATGCCCGATTCGTCAAACGTTTCATCTCTTCAGCTGAAACCCACTTTCTCCCTGGTCAGAGGGTCACATACTACATTCTCACAGACAATCCCCGTCCTCTGGATCCCCCCATCAAGTTGGGTCCTGATCGAAAGCTGAAGGTGGTTCCTGTTGCAGAGATGCCTGGGTGGGACAGGCTAGCCCGTCGCCGGATGGCCCTGCTTGCTGATGCCATCAGAAACCAAATTGTCAACGAGGTTGAATACATCTTCTGCGCTGACATCGATCAGGAGTTTATCGCCCCTGTGGGAGAGGAAATCCTAGGAGACCTGGTGGCCACATTGCACCCAGAGCTCTATGGGATGCCACGAAATGCATTTCCTTACGAAGTTGAAGAAGTCTCATCAGCTTGTGTGGAGGAGGATGAAGGAGACTACTACTACACTTCTGAGTTGTATGGAGGGTTGGTTTCTGAGATGTACAGACTTGCTGGAGCCTGTTCTTTGCTCATTCTGCAGGACCAGGCTAATGGGGTAATGGCCAGGGGTCTCGAGGAGAGCTACCTGAACCGCTACCTGATCGACCACAGGCCGACCTGTATACTGTCACCAGAGTACAGCTGGTGGGACTCACCCCTGGCTGCTGATGTGCCTGTACAGAGGCTAGTCTCCTTGGGAAGACAATGTGAAGCTTACAATAAGCAGGAGAGAAAGGTGCACAGATGTTGAATCAATTTAAAAAGAAGGACGGGAGAGTTCTGATGGCCAGACCCAATAAAGTGCGGACGTAGATCTCCCTCCTACTACTGTTTTTAGTGTTTACATTTGAAGAAGATCTCTGCTTGAATATTAGCATAGAGAGGAAGGGAAAAGATGAAGAGAAAACACATTCCAGTCATCTTTATTCAATTCATAATTTCCATTTTCTGGCCAGTGAATGTAGCCTTTAATCACACAGAAGCAAACTACACAATCTGCTGTCAATTAAAGACCCATTTGTGTGAATAGCATCTCTGCGTGCCTGCTATCTCTTCCACAACAGACAAAAAAGAAATTGACCTGTCTCTTTATACAAAGCACTGTCCCCTCCATTAATGTCAGCTTGCTCCAGTGGCTTTGTGGTCAGCAGCGATAAGAGTCAACAGTGTAAGTGCACACTTTCCCCGCAGTGGCCAATCATTAACTGGAAGAGCTGCTGTTTCAAGGTCTTTCAATACCAGGTGGAGGGAAAATGGATATGGGATGCTATTTCCCCAGGTTACATGTGCATAGAAGCAACCATGTGAAACTTAGCAAAAGCTATAATCATTTTCAAATCGATGAAACTGGTTTCGGTGTATTAAAGCAATCATTAAAAACTTTTATGGGCTGGAGTAAAACTCAAAAGACCTGTGTTGGTAGTTGTTATGTTGTGGGTCTGCGTCTCTATTTCTCCCTCACACACTAACATGCTCCCACATTCCCACTTGGCTTTCTCTTCCTTGTGTGCTGTGTTTTAATGGGAGGGTTAAACAGCAGCAGATGGCTTTTTCTCACTGCCAACAGAATTTGTCCTCAGAGCCAGAACGCCACGTTTAGTGAAGCTGAAGGTAAACTTCAGATAATCTTTTTAATCTAATTCTCAATAATTTCTCATTTTTTTTTTACTGAAGTTAGTAAATTTTTTTACTGCTTTTCCACACAGGTGTATTCATGTGGGCCTATTGTCAGTATTCACATGTCAATTCAGAGTGATTAAATTCTAACTAAAAAACTAAATTGCCTAATATTTTGTAGTCCTTCTGTCCCATAACATCCTGCCTCCACATATGAACATGCACACTGTATAGTACAATCTGATCTACAGATTCTCCAAAACATTTGCTGTAGTTTTGTTATGAATGCCTCAGTCACGTACCTAAAGGTTGTTTTTTTTACATAGGTTGCCTGTCCATACTGCCTATTGGCAGCAGCATAACCTAAAGCAAGGAAAAAGAGGCAGTATGATTATCAGCCATTAAATCTTAATGTGTAGGAAGATCACCGATCTTTGTCCAGATGAAGAGGAAAATAGGCTGTAGCTATACAGAAGGGATGAAGTGAAATTGTCATAATGCAAAGGGTTAGGGTTCATCATTTTCTGTTTGGGGGTGTTTTTTCCTGTGTGAACAAATTTAAACACACCTTGCTTAGCTCTCCAAGTCTTGTTGTAGTTCCTTAGCTTCATTGGCCCTGTTGTAAAGCAGTTTTCAGTCAGCTGTTTCTATATTGACAGTGGTGCTTACACTGTTATGCTAACCTATGTGTAGGTATGTTATCCAAAAATAATATTAATCAGGCCCAGCTTGTGTAATAAAATTAATGTTCTTTACTTTGCTAATGGTCAGCACTCTCTGTGTGTTTGTTGGTTTAAAACAAAACTATTAGCCCATCACTAGCTAACTCTGTGATCCAACAATGAGCTCCGAGTTGAACTTTTTCCTCTTGTCTTTTTGATTTTTTGTGTTTTATGTGAATGTGTTTGGTATTTGGTGATAATTTAGCACATTGTTTTCTAAATACAAGGCCAACATATTATTGACAGCCCTTCACTATTAGCAGCCATGCTCACACTGGGACATTAAAATGTTATACAGAAACATTCAGGCAGTGAATATTTAGCGTAATTTATTGTCTAACAGATATGTAATTTATAAAGGTTTGATGCTAAAGGTTTGATGCTAAAGAAACAGTTTGGCTAAACCACTAATGGGACAGTAAACCTGTAAGAACACAGCCATATAGTGAGGTGGATTTTCATCAAGAGTTTGAACAAGAGTGTTTCTGATTATGACATATAATACTATAAAAGTTGATGCATTGAGCTTGCCTTCCTGGCTGCACACTCATGTACGTTTTAGGCCAAAGAACATGGAGACTACCTGGGAACAATGCACATGTTTTTTGGCCTGTACCTGCATCCACAGACTGGCAAAAACCATACAGATTTACATTTAAACCAAGAGGCACTTTGGAGCTTTCAGTTCACCTGCCCTGTATGTGTTTGTGCTGAAGCAAGAAGCTGCAGCATCTGGATAAAATCCAACCCAGGATGTTGCTGTGAGGCAAAAGTGCTAGCTAATGAGCCACTGTGCCACTGCCATGCCTGCTTATTAGTGTCAATTACAGGTCACTTACAGGTAAATGAAACGGCTGGAGACGTTTTGATGACAGTGCAATTACTCACCTGCGAGTAAGTGTTGATAATTTAATTCCCCTTTACTTTGGTTTCTACACAGGAAGCTATATGAACAGTGTTGTAAATATTTTACACATCAAGGTGAACTTTAATATTGAACCAATGTAGTTCTCTAGTTATGCAAATATCTATTATGAGTTTCTTATCTGCTACATCTTTCCCACATCTAAATGCAAATATACTTTAATTGATTTGATTAAGTGTTATACAGTGTGATGTCTGACTCTTCAACCCAGCTGCCATTGAATTACCAGCTTTGAACTTGCGCTGAATGGCGTTCGAGTCCATTTCTATGTGAAAAAGTGGCAGATACCAGGGTGTTTCAAAACAGACTTATTGTGCAAACATAGTTCCAAATGGCTACTTCACCCAACAGAAACACCTGAAGATATAACCAGACAGAGAACAACAGAGTTTGACAAGCAGTTTACTTCTTGAGCAAGAAAGATTAACAGTTCTGTTCATCAGCTTGAAGTTTTTTATTTTTTTTCACTGCATAAACAACCTTTGAATATTTACACTTGTGAGAAAGACTGGATTCTGTAAAGATTTTAGTGGGTGTGGATAGCTCTACTTGTTGGAGTTGAACTCATTTACAATATAATAAAGGATCACATGAGGAGGAGTTTGAGCATTTGAGAGATGAAACTGTCAGTGATCAATGTTCACAGCAAACAATGTATGAGGAAGAACTTCCCAGTTAAGTAATCCATATCTTCCTGTGTTTAATGTTTAGCCTCAAACAAAGGGTGTGTGATTTTATTCTCCACACTGCTCTTGAGCTTCCATCAGGTGATTTCTGTGTTTACAGAAGAGGTGGGCTTCTGTAAACATAAAAGCTTTAAAATTGAGTCCTATCCACCCCAGAGACTTTATTTAATTGTTTTCACAGCAGGGAACCTATCAGACAAACCTGGGCAGCTCTTTTAACCAAGAGCAGGAACAATACAGGAAATGGTTGTGTTGAACAACTGTTGAATAGACGAGGAGTACAATCAATGACATTAATGGTCATGGATGAATGTTGTTTCAGATTTTACATTCTGCACATGTATTCATCTTGGAATTGACTGCATATCTGTGTGGGGCAGTTTATTTTAAGAAATAGGAAGAACTAATTTGTTGACGGGTTAATGTGCAAGAAGTCACAAATGTATTTGTGTGCATCCGTGTATGTCAGGGGGTTGGGTGGGGTGAAGAGCTTTGGTAATCTGCTGGATTCACACATGCCTTTCCCCACCCTGCCTGAGGCTACTCCACACCAAAACATGCTGCCCTAATCACCAGGTCAAGGGGACTGCACTGCGAGATAGTGGAGGTGCAGCTCACAGGGGGGGGACACACACTTGTACCCTTTGTGCTGATGTCACACTATATCATTAAAGGAACCACATGAAATGAGATTTTAGGCCAACATACAGACAAAGTAGTTGGCTGTGAAATTTTGTCCTAGTTTATTCACCTCACACTATGCTTGTTGTGTTCGGCAGCTTATTTTGAAAAAGAGGAAGAATATGTGCCAGCAGTTTTGAATGTATACAAGTCTAATAGGCAAAGCAGTTCACAGTCATGTGGTACATATAGATTACAAGTGCTGATATTTATTGCAATGTCTGCTAAACTGTATTTGAACAAACCTGATTTTACACTGCAGCATAGTCTACAAAAGCCACCTTTAACAGTTTCAGTAGGCTAGATTTAGTTCTACCATGTCAGCAAAACACAGCAGGCAGTATTGCCTAGAGGTACACGTGTGTTTGAGAGAGAGGCTCTGGTCCTACAGAGAGAGGGAAACAAGTTACCATACTTGTTCCTCTAATAAGGCATTTAAAGACCAAATAGGGCAGTGTGCAGTCTTGGTTCTGTAAATAGGTAGCAAAATCTAGTTGCATAAGTAAACCAAAACATGGTACACTGCTTATGCACAATACTGTCTTCTAAAGCACAATGACACATGCTGTACTGTAACTTCACTGTGCTGGAAAAGAGAAAAAGTAACACGCTAGCTAGTCAAGACCAATCCACTATTGTCAGCCCTTCAGGCAGCAGCTGTAGTCCCTCCCCGGGCCAGAGTGAGCACAGGGAGCCTGGGCTGCTAAATGCTCCAGCCTCAAAGGGACGATGGTGGAGGGCTGGTAAAGATGGCGGCGCTCTCCGAGGATGGGAGATACGGATTAAATTGTGGCCAACAGAGCGCAGACCGAGTCACCGTACTGCACGTCAAATTGACCGAGACAGCACTGAGAGCGATAGAGAGCCACCAAAATTGTATGGTAAGTGAAAGGAGCGTTTTATTGCAGTTAAAATGAGCCGCACTGTCGGACTGACACAGCTTGTCTCTGCTGGGAAGCCTAACTGCCACGCACAGCTAAAGCTACAAAGTTAGCTAAGCTGTTGACAGAGCGATGTTCTGCGTGCTTTTTTCGTTACATTTGTCTTGTGTCATAAAATAAATCAAATGGAGAAGGTAAATGAGGCCTTTGCCATACGCTCTGGCCAGGTTTCACGAACTGACAAATGTTATTTAACACAGAAAACCTGTTGGTAAAGTTAGGTAACGTTAGTCGGATTAGCAGACGTTAGCTCTAACCATACGTTAGTCAAAATCCCCTGTACTGGGCTGGACAGACCAAGTCCATTCTTTTCTCGTCAAACTCATGCTACTTTGACCAAATTAGCAAAGTGATAATTTCATATGGACGAATACACTGGTCGCCGCAAACGTTTTGTAAACTGAGAGTTTAACACGATAGCTGAACTTTAGTTAACTAACATGAACTTTCATTCGACGACGTCGTATTTGCCTCAGTGGCAGGGTGGAAATAAAAGGTTGCAGATAAATAAAGGCTAATGTAACTTGATAACAAGGTAACATAGTGGCGTTTCAAGCATGTAACTTGCCATATGGCTGACGCTATAAACGTTTTAGCTAGTTAGAAAACGAACACCACAACCTGGCAGGGATATGAAGCTCACAGCCAGGATTTCCTTTGTATTATTAAGTTAGCTATTTAACTTTAATTATAAAACGTCGCAGTCAAACGACTTGTCGCACTGTAACGTTACTTTAGCTACAGGATGTATATGAGCAAGTTGAGATGTAACGTTAAACGGGACAAATATTTCATTCGGTCTTGTTTGCCAAATTGCTGAATCTTTTTTTGCATACTCCCATTCACCTCAAATTGCATGCGAAGAGTCAGCAGTTTCAAAAATATGGTATCAGATAGCAGCAACACCTATATATTATTTTAAAAAGAGAATAGTATAATTGCTCTTGCTATCAGTGTGATTTTATTCCTGTGCTTTTTATCTCTCAGCAGCCTACTTCATTAAAGGCACAGCTTGACACCAGTCATCCAGAAGCTTTTGAAACTGAATGTGCTTATTGTGCATTGCTGCATACCTGTGTGCAGATTACATACAACTAGTTAATCTTGAACTGTACAAATGGTGTAATCCTGTTGAGACGCTACATAGCCTACACAGGTGAACTAATCTGGAGACTGCAGAGGCCCGAAGACAAGTTACCTGACCTAAACTCTGCCAACAACAACCCTATTACATAAGACAGTGGCTTGGCCTAGGTCTCAGCTCAGGGCTGATGCACTGTAGCTTAGCATGGGGCTGCAGTGTTCAGAGGTCTCTGACTGCTTTTTATGGCACATGGTGTGTGTCTGCCTGTATGTCACACACTACCCACACCCCTGTATGTGAAACATCCGCTCACTATCAGTCCCATGTAATAAAGAGGGATTGTCTTCAGAGTGTTTGAACATGTGGATAAATGGCACAATTTAAAATTATTATTTTGTCTGTTTCTGAAAACTGGCAAACAGAGTCATCACTACGTTGAATGAATTCTTTTGTGACAGCCCATGCTACAACCTTATTGGATGTGGTAATGTCGGTCTGTGCGCTGCATTGAACGGCAGCCTGCCATCTCTTGCTGACTGAGCAGCCAAAACTGCCTGCTTTTTGTTTCTCTCTCACTCTCAGTAATGTGTGTTGTAGCTCAACCAGTCATCGAACTATGGAAGCTGGCTATCTTTGTCTTTCTGTGGTGATGTGAAATGTGATCAGAACAGTGTGTGAGTGAATTTATGGACAGTGGGGAGGGAGTTGGTCAGTGGCTTGGAGTAGCTTAGCTTTAACAACGATGACATGGTTCTTTCAGTCTTAAAAAAAAAAAAAAAATAGGTAGACACGTTGCCCTTAGTTATCTGCGTCTTGTTTCATGTATGAGTTAGCAAGCACGTTTATTGTGCAGGAATTAGAGAAGCTGTTGTTAATTAAGATGCAGATTCCACTCAAACAAATTGACGCAACAAGTCTATGATCTAGCCAACTGCCTCTCCTGTTGGCTTCTGCTGTGTGAATAAGCATGCAGTCCTATGCTTTCCTAGTCTAACCTATACTGCACCAAATCAGCCACTGCATATATGTGGCTGTTGCCTATGTTTAAAGTAGCCGCCCATCACAAACCTGCAAACCTACACAGAACAAAAGACATTTAGAAAATATCATCTTCACAGTACCAGCTGTATTTGAGTGTTGTCCAAGTTCCCACTGTTTGTGGTCAGAAACGCGAGAGCGGTTTTTACCTACCTCTTAACCTCTTTAAAAAAAAAAAAAAAAGGTGCAGGTTAAGTTGACTCACATGGTTCCTCTGTAGATTTAAACTTAAGAGCTCAGAGATGCAGAGCTGAACGTTGGCTGGCAGTGGACCGTCATCAAGTATTTGCGGCCGACAGTCACTCATGGTTTCTGCAGCACGTTCCAGATGAGGAACAAAAAAAAAAAACCCCAGCAGCAATATTGATAAGTGATTTGATATTAACTTTTTTTTAAAGCTAATGCCAAAGCTTTGGGCTTCGGAGAATTGTTAGGGGAATTTTTTAAAGCAATTTTACGACATTTCATTGACCGAAAAAACTATCCATTGATTGGTCAAATAATCTGCAGATTAAAGATGAAGGAAAAAAATAATTTGCAACCCTGCACCAGAGACATCCTCAATTCACTATTAACAGATTCACTGTTAACAAATTACTGCTTTAGTTATTTTCTCTTACACAAGCACAGAAGGCGTGTGGATGTCAGCTAGCTGTCGGCTGCAGCCGTCACAATGTTTAATTTTAACAGAAGCTATAACGTGAGTTGTTTTATCAATCAGCCCTCGACAGAACTAGGTATGCTCTGTGTGACAGGACCCTAAGGCTCTGCTGTTTGTCCGTGTTTTTGTCAGTTATATACTGTAACATGTTCTGCAGGTTCTAGGACTGGTGTTTTCTTAATTCGACATTGTGTAGCTGTTATCTATTTACCAAACTGGTATTGCTCTCCCAATAGTCCTTTACATTTATAAAGTGTTGGTAGGGGTTAACTGTTGATTCTCTTTGCTTTCAGAATGTACCTTCTGTGCGGCCAACGATACAATTCAAAGGACTCCAAGGGGTAAGTACCCCACCCCCTTAAGATGACTGATTGGGAATTCACATTACAATATGCAATGTGGAATAAATATAACCCTAGTTCTATTTGAGGTAGTTAGCTGCAAGCTTAATTTTGCATCCATTAATGACAAGTTATTTATGAAGAAATTTGTTCGTTTACTGTTTTTGCTTAGTTGTATTCATTGATGCCCCCCACGTGACTGTTTTAAAACCACTGCCTCTTTCTAATTAAAGTTTAATCAATTACTCAAGTACTGTCAGTTTACACTTATCTATGTCACCGCTGTTGGCCCGTTTATTTATTTGAATGATTAGATTATACACACATCATGGTAGAAGAATAGTGTGCAAAATAGGCAACAAGACACCAGAAGATAGTAAGTCATTATTAGTATATTGGAATAGATGTTGTGATCTCTGGAGATGGTCATTGCACAAGCTAGTTTTGATTTCTTCATTAATTTAGGATTAATAATGTAAGATGTGTCCTCTCTGCAAACTGTCTACTGAACTGTCCAGAAAGGCACAGACTAATTTCAGACCCATCTGAAGCCAATAAACTGTGTTTTGCACTGCTTGTGTTCCATGACGCACATGACTCACATACAGCCTCTCCTTAGCTGCTTAGGCCTCAGATACCTTCCTTTCTCATGCTAGCTCCCATGTTGTTCACATCAAAACCCAAAGCTCAGATGTAGACACAAGATTTGAAGGGGTTTAAACATTGTAAATTAACCACTCCGATGTCAATAGATGCTATAAGTTGTGTTCTCCATTTGTTTTTGTTTTTTTGTGTGAATATTTACAGCGCATTAAAATTCCCAAGACCAATTCCTCTTCTGACACCTTCCACAATTTTGATTTCTACCTGTCTAATGTGGGCAAGGACAACCCTCAGGGAAGCTTTGAGTGCATCCATCAGTATGTGTCAAGGTAATGGTAATCACTGGTCAGCTGAATCAACTGTTGCTGTCTTACCACACATTGCTAGAAGGTAATCCCTCTCTGCCTCACATTTCTTTCTCATGCTCCCTCTTTGTCTCCAGCTCAGGGGCCTCACACCTGGCATTGTTGGCGACGGTGCAGGACAAGGTCACAGTATGTGCCACTAATGACTCTTACCAGGTGACCCGGGAACGCATGACCCAGGCCGCGGAGGACACACGTGAACGTGGGACCAAAGTCATCAAGCCTGGGGGCCAGTACAGAGGTAAGCCCCCCACTAAAGTGTCATTTATGCACCTGCCACAGTCAGATATCAGGTTGGATCCCCGGACACCAGCATAGCTTTACGTACTGTCAACACCACTCCTCTCTTTTCAAACTCGGTCCCTTTTGAGAGATTCAATAGGTGAAAGCTGACAGCCTGACCCCATTCAAAGCCATTATTGCAAGTGACTAAGCCATTTTGCCGTCTCAGTCTTTTCCAGATTAGCAGTCCGACTGATTAAGGGCCAAAGGTGGCAGGTTAACCTATTTCAGTTTATTGACTCATAGGTTTTCGAAATGATACAGTACATGTGTTAAGTTCTGCTTGCGTTTAGCACCTATAACTTGGCAAAGATTTACAACTTGGACTTGAACATAAATACATGTAGACCAGTTTCCTGTCCACTGAGCCGGCCAGAAACTTGTTGTACGACTGTGTTACACAACAAATACAGGTTCAAGACAAGACTAACTTAACGACATCTGCCTGACGGGACAGACAAGCCCACACATTGCTGAGGTGTTTATACCTGCTCACAATGAATATGTTATGACGCTTTGTTTAGAGTCAGACCAAGATAGTATGGTAAAGATGGGGGGAAAATGAGCATGGAAGTAAAAGAAACTCAAAGGAAGAGTAGCATCACTCAGTCTCTTATCATAGGGAAATGGTTTGGCTATCAAAAATCTAACATACCACAGAGCACTGGATGCAAAATATTTTTATGCTCTGTGTTGATCACTACTAAGGATTATAGATTTAAGTGAGGTGACTGTTAATAGAAATATAGGGCGACAATTAAAATTTAAGTACTGTCAGCACTCGTCTAGATTAGGGTTTTTCCTGGCTCAAAATGAGGCAGAGGTGGCATCATCCTGGTCACATGCACACACATACATGTGTACCGTGCTACCTGGCTTTGTAGTCTCTGTACAAGACAGAGGCGCATAGAGCAGCATTGGCAAACGCAGACACGCCATTTGCAACGGCATTTTTAAATGCCTGGGGCGATTTATAAAACTTACTTACAACATGGAAAAGCAGTTTCTTTAGTAATTATTTTTGCTGTGTCACAAAGACGTTGCCATCAAATCTTCTTCCTCTCTGGAAGTATTGGTAGCATTCGGGGTGCACTGTGCTGATCACGATACAGCATCCCCACATCAGCATAATGCTGCAATTATAGATACAAATAAAAGATATCCACAAAGTGCATAGCTTGTTAGAAAATAGTGCTTACCATGAAATCCCCCGTCAAGAGTTTTGTTGAGGGCTGAAGGCGGGACCAAATTTGACGGAGGCAGCCGCCTCATAATTCTCTTTTGAAGGCAAAACCCTGAAGACCTCCAAAGAATTTAAAAACAATTTCAAAATATGTACAAGCTATTTGTTTTTCTTCTCCAAAGATTTAACTTACTACTAAAATGTATATCTTCATCCTTGTGTAAAAAGACCATTAAGCCTTATAACAATGGTAGCCTAAATGTAACCGTATATGCACAGTGCAGAAGGATTCTAGTTGTTGGCTGATTACAAAATTAAAAAATTGTAGCACCTGTGGCTTATTTCCTGTCCCAGCTCCTGATGTAGTATGTTTCAGGAGGTCAGGAACTGTCGCAGTGGAGTTTGTAGTATTGAATGTTGCAGGCTTGTAAAACAGAAACCTCAAAACTTCAACAACCTGTGGTCACTATTTATTCATATGCAAGCAAGCACTGGTTGTCTCAAGTGTCAATATTATGGCCCACAATTTATAATACTTACAATGTTAACTTTAAATCAGTTATAGTGTTAATGGTTAAATGACAGTTACGAAGCTAACGACTTGACTGTTCTGTTTTTTTTTTTTCAAGCAAGATTATGAGGGAAAATATGTGAGACCATGCAAGTAAGAGACATGAAACTGAAATTTAACTTTTATTTGGATGTGTACTAAAGCAGAAAAAAAGGCTCAGCAGACCCTTTCTACTTTGGAGACAGGTGACAGGTGTCTCCATCAACATAATTATTATGATTGGTAATATATAATTTTCTGTGTAAGATTTATATCCTAAATTAAATATCATACAGAAAACCACCAAAATATAATGTTAATGATCATTCCCTTTTTGTTTTTATGAACAATACAAGTTCTAGATACTCAATCTAACGACTGTATTGACATTTTATTTATGTAGTTGCCTGAGTGAAATATGAATTCATGAAACAAGTGTGTTCTAAGAAACAGTACGTACTTGTACTCCTACCAAGCACTTTGGCTCAGACAGCCATGTTTTTCAAGTCATTTTTTAGCCACGTTCAGGGCAGGAATTTCACGGGGCTATGACAGTTATTGCCGCATGCCCCCTCAGTTTGTCCTTATACCCCTTAAAAAATGATAGGCCCTGAGGCCACAGTGGACTTGATGCCCCATCCGCACTACCCCAGCTTTCCTCCTCCTGCCTCTGTCCTATAAGTGTCTTAATTCTGAGACAGCTAGTTTTGGGGCAAAGTCATAAACTTTTTCAACTGTTTTTATCAGATTTCACTGATTCTACACTTGCAGTTTTTATGTCCCGGTGACCATTGAAAGTGCAGTTATGACTCTCTCCCCATTCATTTACCACAGGGGCCTGATCTTGTTATTCCGAATGAATAAGACAAGAAAACATAGTCAGACCACTGGGAGCACCAGGTTGCTCTGTGGGCCACCTGAGCAGCCAAAACAAGAGCGAGAGAGATGTCGTTGGCCCACTTTAATTATGCACCGGCCTGCATCCTCCTCCTCGAGATCCTCAATACCAGTTCAACTTATCCCTGTTGCCCTCTGCCTTAAGATAGGCAAAGCCAGCTAGTGTAGGAATGCTAGCTGCATGGCTAACTATGCTAACGGCAAGACACGTGTTAATGTCAGGTGTAAACAGGACACCAGCTAGCAGTATCGATAAATTTGGAACTTATTGATTTTCGGGTTTTGAGAAAGCTTGGAACCGGGTCCGCTTTAGAACCGGGTAGCGATCCCCATCTGTAATCACAAGTCTTTCTCAGTCTATATTTTCTGCGTGAGTTGATGTAACGCCTGTTTTTCTGGGCTGTGGGGGGACACATTTGCATACACTGGCCCAGATAGAAACTGGGAAATGAAAGGAGCCGTAGAGAAAAGGGGTGGGACAGGAGCTTGTAGTAGCTGGTATGGAGTGAGAACCATGTTTTTCTAATGCAAAGGGGCTTTTTTTTTTACAGTCTTTAACTTTCTTTGTCTGTATCTTTTTAATGAGAGCTGCACATTTTGATTACAGTGGCATTCAATGTTATACACTCATTTTGTTTAAGTTCTTTATGTACAGAATCCTTATTTCTGATGGAGAAAACTTAATTACATAAGGATTTCACCTGTAGCCACCTGTCATTGGCCTGTTGTAAGCGGGGGGGCAAGAAATTGGCAAAGGTGACATTGTATCTGCTTATCTGCTTTGAGGTTGGTGACACAGTGCTGATTGGTGGAATCAATCTCCTGTTTTTATTATCATTGGATGGGGGTGTGCGTTTGTAATTATATATGAGACCGGCTTCAGTAAGCGGGTTGAAGATGGTGGCAGGAGTGTTGCAAATATGTAAAAATGTACGATGTTGAACTTCTCTTATGAGAAGAACAGGCTTTTTGACATTGTCTTTGCCTCCTGTCTCTAGGAAAGCAAGTCCATATCCGTAAGCCGGTGTTATCGGCCCCAGAGGTGGTCCCAGAGCGCAAGCGGTCCACACCCATCAACCCAGCCAACACTATTCGTAAGTGCCTTTCCAATAACCCGGTATCACAGCGACCGTTTCGGGACCGCATCGTCCACCTGCTGGCTCTGAGGTCCTACAAGAAGCTGGAAGTGCTTGCCCGTCTGCAGCGCGACGGTATCAACCAGAAGGATCGAAACTCATTGGGGACCACCCTGCAACAGGTACCGAAAGGTTTCTGTGTGTTGTGGCCTTTTTTGAATGCCATAATATGCTTTGTTAATAATGAGACAGCAGCTTAAAATGGAAGTGACCCAGTCATTAGTATTTGCACATCCTCTATTATACCAAAAAATCCAGCAGTAATAACTTTTGTTTTTACACAGGCTGATATTTTACACTAAGGCCTGTGTTCTTCAAGTGCCCAATTTGATCCCAACCATCCCTTACTCTTCTTTAAACCTGACCGTGAGATACACAAATCTGCCTGAGGAAATCTGGTCCACAGTGTGTAAAGCCTTCCTTTACTCTGACAGGAAACAAGCCACTTAATCGTTAAACATTATTTGCATGCGCAGATGTTTGGCAGCCACAGGAAATGTGAAGTTTCTGTACATGTTGAGTACTTCTCATGCTGACATAGTTTAATGTGTGTGTGTGTGTGTGTGTGTGTGTGTGTGTGTACACAAAACAGGTGGCAAACCTGAACCCCAAAGACAACACATACTCACTGAAGGACTTTAGTTATCGTGATGTCCAGCGAGACTGGCCTGGCTACTCTGAGGATGAGAAGTCCCAGGTTGACCGGATCCTAGCTCGGTACAGAATGGCCTATTAGATGTTTATCATTTCACTTAAAGCTTAAATACAGTCTTATTTGAACCAATAAAACATTTGCAGATTATATTGTGTAAATACACTTCAGTGTAAGTGGTAGCCCTAAAGGCAGCTGTTACTACAGTTGGCTCTGTTCTCCTTCACACACTACAGTGACTGTCCTCTGAATTGTTAGTTACAGTGGATCCAAATGTTTATTTTCTTATTTTTAACTAACATGAATTAAAGGTGACCATGACATTGTATTATATGAACGATAAAACTAGTTGCTATTAACTGCTATTTTTCAAATCTACAGGGGTAATTACTTAATGAGTAGGTTAAAGGATTCAGTAGCTTATGTAGTACACAAGTTTTTATTTTTACAGTAATAATTCATTTGTTGTGTTAGACATGAAACGTGGTGGCAAAAATCACAGACACGAATATACAGTTTCATGCGATCCTACTCTGTTCTCTGTGGGCCAAGTCTTGTGGCTGTAGTTTGTGGTGGTGTCGGACTGTATCGCATTTTTAGGTAACATTTTAGTCTACCCCCATATTAATGTAGGGAGAGGACACGTGGCTTATAGGTAGCGATATGATGTTGCATTAGTACTCTAAGAGCACTTGGAAAGTTTTTACAGATTTTGTAATATTCATTATCGGATATTGTACTTTGTCCCAGTTAATGGTGTCCTAAGCAGTTTTGTTGCAAACAATCAAAAGTTGACTCAAAAAATGACATGGATTTATTTAACCACCGATAAATATGCTGTAAGATAATCACTGGCAAATGTAAAACGGCGAAACATTAGATCACACGTGGTGTGACATTACATTACCATGACTGCTGCGGTGTAGAAATAACTTTTAACATGGGGGCAATGAAGAAACATTAAGAGAATCAACAGAGACCTGCTCCTCGTGCTGATTATTCTAGTAGACCATGCTTGTGTAGAGACGACAGCGATGCGCCGACGCACGTTATGCAAAATGACGTATTTTTGTAATTGATTATGTCAATGAATTGCCCCAGCCCTAGTTTGAAGGAAGGTATAGAAAAGGGGTAGGTGAAACTAATAACTTGTGTGCTACATGAGCTGTGAGTTTAAAATAAGAACGCTTTGCAAACAAGTGCTTTAAAAGAAGTCCGATTTCTTCAGCAGGTTTTAGTGTAATGATAGTGCTTAATGCTAATGTGCCCTTTATTTTCTGTTACACCATTCCCCACTGACACCACTCTTCCCTGTCTTCAACAGCAAATTAGGTCTTCCTACTGAGACCCTTTCATCAAGCAGCCCTCCCAAAGAGAGTGTCCCCACATCCCCTCAGGTATCTGGACAAATGCACATTAACACACACACACTCACAGTGAAGTATTCTGCTAAAGTTCTCGTTGTCTTCCAGAAGCGCCAGCCAGACTTTGACTTCATCGATCCTTTGGCACCCAAGAAAGCCCGCATCTCCCACCTCAGCAATCGGGGGCCTGCCGTGTCTTCATCCTCCTCTGACCGCCGCGAGGATGAGGGCAGCCCCAGCTCTAAACGCTCATCTCTACCTTCCAACGTCACCTCTGGTCCTCCCACCCATCTCCCCATCTCGTCCCACCCCCCTGCACCCTCTCACCAGCAACCGAGCCCAGCCTCTAATTCCAACTCACCCAGCACCCCGGAGGGCTGTGGCACCCAAGACCTGCCCATGGACCAGAGTTCCTCCTGCAGAGACCCTTCACCCAGCCCCTTCTCCTCCGACAGGACCCTGCAGGACCGCTATCGGCACCCCGTCCCTGTCTCCAGACCAGCCGCCTCCCCCAGCCCTCCTCCTCGCACCTCACTCACAGTCACCTCCACTGTCATCACCAGCCCTCCCTTGTCTAGCAGTACCAACAAGAAGTTTAAAAAGAAATCCAAGAAGCACAAAGAGAAGGCTCGAGAGAGGGACAAAGGGAAACGGACAGAAAAAGACAGCAGAAGTCCACCTAATGGAGCAGAGCAGGCTGAAGAGTCTCGTAGAGCCAAAAAGAGGCGCAGTCCTGAGGATGAGAGCAGAGAAGTTATCGCCAAGAATCCTCACAAAGGTGTGTTTCTGTCTTATCAGCATCACTGAACCAGATGTTTTAAAACTGAAATGACCATACCAGCTTTTTCACTGCATGTTGGCCCATGTACAGCCCAAAATACCTCAAATTACTATCAAACAGTTTGCAGCTGGCACATCACATTTCTTTATATTTAAATGATTGTTTACTCTGCTCTCATGCAGTACTTTCTTCTTCATTTAAGTTATGAAGTCCATTAGTATAAATAGACCAATTACTTAATCAGTGTGTGGTAATTTAATTGAAGGGACATCTTTAAGATGTGTTAATCTAAATTGTTTTATAATAACACTGATTTAAATTCACTACATATAATAGAAAAGGGGTTGTTCATTGTGTCAAACCACAGATAATTAAGTAGCATTTTAGCCTTGTGTAGTTAATTGTTCTGATTGAAGAGCCCACACATTTCCATAAGAGCAGACTCCTGTGATTGGCAAAGCTTTGATAAACACTCAATGAATAGGTTTATGAATGCAGATCAAACGCCGGGACGCGCGCACACTCTGCAGCACATGCGAGTGTCCTTATAATCAATTTGTCTAATGAGAGAGACAAAAAAAAATCCACAGGATGTTGGGATCAATCATACAACTCTCCCAATGAGACTCCCACACTCTACCAACTAAATCATCTTTTAATGTTGTCAAGACACCTATTGGTAAGGAAACTTAACATAAAAATACAAAGCTAATTTTACTCTGATAATTCGAAGGCAAAGTTCCTGTCTCTTCAGAGTATAACAACAACACTGGAAGAGATGTTTATATTCTCAAAGTCAAACAAAAAAGTCTCGAATACAGAGTGTTTGAAAACAATGGCAAAGCAAAAATACATTAAAGTCCTACTTTAAGAACTCCGCTTCAGTGGGCATATGCATGTCTTGCTAGTGACTGACACCTCTCCCCTGTCCAAGTTTCCAGCCAGTTTATCTTTCAGACTTTGACCTTTGATTACACTGATGCCCTGGATGTTGTCTGAACATGCCGAGGCATTGATCTGAGTGCTTTACTTTGGTCTTTATAGCTGGTTTATCTGATAATGTAGTTGTGCTTCCTCAGTCTGTGTGTTGCAGGCTTTCACAATAATGTGCTTACATATAATTTCAGTACATCATTTACTGTGTATTCCTTTCAGTGTCAACGTATTTAGTGAATATATCAGACCAAAACTAGTTCATATAAAATCTGCTACAAAATACAAAAGCATCAAAGGGCAAAACAAGTGAGAACATAGATTTTTAAAAATCTACCTGAACAATTTAGTCATCACTTTGTAAGGCTTCTGAGGCCCCATTATGATAATTAAAAAATGCAGTGTCATTCTCTTTTATTTTTGGCTTCTTGCGGGAGTGTTGATTTTGTGTGTTATGGATTATCAGTGCAGTATTTACATTCTTAACACTTGACTTTTCCCCTCAGACTCTACAGATAAAGAGAAGCCAATCCAATCCACTGAATTCTCCTCCACAATTGAGATTCCTGACTATGTAGTGTGAGTAATCTTGATATACCTCAGTCAACCCAACCCAAAACCCATTTTCCCACAGCGTGACCCTCTTTTTCAGGTCTCTCATTTGAAAGTTTGAAGCATTTGATCATTAAACAGGATGTTGAGAGCTCACACAAACTTGCGCATTTGGACACAGGAAACGTAGCAATAATCGATAATTGTGCAGCCAGCTGACCACATGTAGCCATTTTCAAAAGAATCATTCAGCTAAGTTTCCTTTTTCACAGCAAGTACACGCCGTTGGTGTCCACAGACCAGCGACAAAGCTACAAGAATGACTTCAATGCAGAGTATGACGAATATCGCCTGCTACACGCCCGCGTGGAGAACATCACCCGCCGCTTTACCCAGCTGGACACCCAGTGCCGGAAGCTGGCACCTGGCACCAAAGAATACCAGGTCATATCAAAAAGGCTGGAATACACTGTACTAACACTGATGCTGTCACTTCCACATTCCAGTTTGAATGTTTAATGTCATAAGACAGATCACGTACAGCTTTAAAGGTTTGACTTATGTGTAAGCCAGATGTAACATTCACAACATTTTCTCCCTTGCTTATTCCTGTTACAAAGTTAGCGAATGGAAGGTATGCTATTTGTAATATAATACATTATGTGGATTTGCATTAAAAGTGATTATTTTAATTTTACAGAAAGTGCAAGAAGAAGTCTTGAAAGAGTACAAAAAGATGAAACAAGTGAGTTGATACTAAGACCTCTGTTTGCTAAGAATTGTTGATTGATTGAATTGTTTCTCACACAGAAGGAGTTGTTGCTGGGTTGACAGTTGGAGTCTGATAGTTTTTATATATATATGTGTGTGTGTGTGTGTGTGTTTTTACAGCACAGCCCCAGCTACCACGAGGAGAAGCAGCGCTGCGAGTACCTGCACAACAAGTTGGCACACATCAAGCGGCTAATAGCTGATTTTGACCAGCGCAGAGCCCAGGCCTGGTGCTGAGAGCACAGCACACATCCTCACTAATCAGTATTGAGAACGGAGTTTCGAACCAGGAGGGGCTGTCCAACCGGCTGTTATTTATTAACACCCCTTCAGTTACTGCCTCCACTATAGCCCCATCCCAACCCCTCTCCCTTCCCTTTTTCCCATCATCCTCCTTCATTCCTCCCTTCTTTTCCAATCTTTGATTCCACTGGCTTCATTGTTGCCTGTAATCTTGAACATCTTACTTTTGACTTTACCCCACATCTTCTGCTTTCTCTGTGGGTTTTTTTTTCCCTCAATGAGCTTCTGTGGAATTTCATACCAGTGGAAGGGGCTGCCTGCATGTGTGAAGGGGCTTGGGGAAATCTTCTAACCTTTTGAAGGACTTCAGGCAAAAAAAGAACAAAAAAAGTATTTTTGAGCATCAGAGAAAATATTGACATTTATTTAAGTTAAAAAAAAAAAAGAGAGAGAGGGAGATCTATTTATTTTGGGACTCGTAGTGCAAAAGAAGAGTCCGCAGATGATATATCGTTTAACTTTTGTTGAAAACAATGCAAAAAAGTTACCGCGGGCCTTACGTGTTTTGACTTTGTGAAGCCACTTTGCACGCAAGATCCATTATGTCATCTCATTTGGCAAAGATGTCCCTCCTGTCTCATTGCCTTTCTTTTAGAACTGTACTAGATTAACCTTGCTTCAACACGTTGGTATCGTTGCTGCGTTTGATGCTGAGGAGGAAGGAAATGAGACGGGCAGGAGAAATCACTTGAGCTGATTGAGAAGCAAGAACCGTATGTGTGCATGGATTGTAAATTTAGTTGTAATGGCGACGCGGGGTGGTGTGGGTGGGGTAACTAAAGGAGTATAATCCCCTGTCAGTAGGGGGCAGTATTCCCCCGCACCAACAGTGTTTAGTGTTCTCGGTGCATTATGGGTGCCTTAAGGTGTTTACACACAAATGTCGATGGGCCGACCCTTGGGGTCCACAGGCCACACAAAGGAACTATAACTGCCTGGTAACTGGGGAGGGGTGTGTGTGTGTGTGTGTGTGTGTGTGAGAGTGTATGCATGCATGTCTAAGTAGTGGAGGACAGCTGGATGTTAAGTCTGGAAGGAGTGTTACAAATTGTATGTGTGTGTTCGTATGGTTGTGAATTATGTGGAGTAACAGGTAAAAGGAAAAAAAAAAGTGAGAAACATAAAATGCAAAAAAAAAAAGCTGCTATAGAGTTTGACCAGCCAGAGCACTCAGGATCAACCTGGCTGGAGTAACAGTACCTGATCTTAATTGAAGAGATAATGAAGATCCTTATTTTCCAGAATGGTACATCTCTACACCCTGGAAAGGACTGCTCCCACCGCCTCAGCTTCTCTAGTGGCAAACACTCTGTGTTTTTTGTTTTAGGAAGAAGCGAAAACTCATCATCCACCAGAGGACAAATCTGTATTACAATGTCAAATTTATTTGATTCTCAGTTTGAGTTCTGAAGAGCAGTGAAAAATTTCAGAGTAGCATTTTTATTTACAACATTGATACCGATTTAGTTTGATGGATGGATGAATGGCTTCTGTGAAAAGTCTTTATTTCAACAAGGGAAAAATTGTTTACAAACCTGTTAGAATGTTTGCCAAAAATTAAATATTTTTCTGGTACTGCATCTGTGGAGTAACATTTCTGACTGGGGCTTAATTTGAATGAGACATTAATACTGGAATATATTTTGCTTGTGACATGATGTCAGATAGTCAGTCTCTGCAGCAGACTGGCTTTTTTTGTTCAGCTGTCACAATCAGTTTAGCGTAATTACAAACTTCCTTGTTGTCTCAAGTTATTTTGGAGAGAAAAATCAGCACTTGTATCTCAGACGTGTCACAACAGCATATAAAAAAATGTCGACAAGATTTCAGGCTCCACTTGGGATTTATTACTTAACTACATCTGTGGGCTACGGGGTCCAGTCGTTTGGTTTATTCTACCTGTTTTCCCTTTCCCAGAATTAAGAGTCAGAAAGGGCCGCTCCAACAAAGTTATGTTTGAGGCCGGGGCTTTACATGCAGCTTTCAAGGTGTTATCTGTCACCTGTGTACACTCAGCCTTCCAAAAATGTCTGTCTTTATGTAAAAACGGATTATCCTAAATGGGGTCTGATAAAGATGAATTAGCATTAGCATTACGTGCCTCATTGTGGTGGGAGGAAGGCGTGAAGAGGTTTGATCAAGAGTCTTAATGAAGAAGTGATAAAGTAACAAAATGCCATGGCAGTGTTTTGAGATATGAGAAACCACTGAAAATCAAGTGAATTGGTGGGTGAGATCTGATCCTGCCCATGTGAAAATGTACAAGACATTTCAATAAAAATCTACTTAGTTTTACCTGGAAAATGTCTTTTGTTGTATGTCCTTGAAATTGTCATTTCTGTTACAACTGAAGCAGATGTTTTATCAAATCTAACACAGGTTGTGCTACATGTGTATTCTGAAATACTGCATTCATGCTACTTTTATGTTGACTAAGGAATGTTGACTAGATAATAGTCCTGGCATGCAGATGGTAACACTATCATAAATGCTGTACATATGGTATACATAATAGGATACAACCTACAACAAAGAATAAAACATCACCTGCTTCAGGAAGTGAAATTTAATATAGTGTCCATATACAGGTGCTGGTCATATAATTAGAATATCATCAAAAAGTTGATTTATTTCAGTAATTCCATTCAAAAAGTGAAACATTCCACACAGACTGATATATTTCAAGTGTTCATTCCTTTTAATTTTGATGATGACAACTAATGAAAACCCCAAAATCAGTATCTCAGAAAATTTGAATATTGTGAAAAGGTTCAATATTGAAGACACCTGGTGCCAAACTCTAATCAGCTAATTAACTCTGCATCATCTCATAACACCTGAGCAGTGCCACAGACTGATGGACTCCATGCCATGCCGCATTGCTGCACATTCAGACAAAAGGAGCCCCAACTAAGTATTGAGTGCTCTACATGCTCATACTGTTCATGTTTCAGTTGGCCAACATTTCTAAAAATCCTTTTTTGTTGTATTGGTCTTAAGTAATATTCTAATTTTCAGAATATTGAAATTTCCATTAGTTGTCAGTTTTAATCCATCCATTGTCAACCGCTTATCCTGCATACAGGGTTGCTGGAGCCAATCCCAGCTGACATCAGGCGCAAGGCGGGACAGGTCAGAGTAGGGGCACACATAGACAAACAACAACGCTCACACCTAAGGTAGCCTGCATGTCTTTGCCGGAGCACCCGGAGAGAACAGAAACCCAGAAAGGCTGGGGAATCTGGGGTTTGAACCCACGACCTTCTTGCTGTGAGGCAACAGTTCTAACCACTGCACCACTATGCTGCCCTCAGTTTTAAGCTTCACAATTAAATGAAATAAACATTTGAAATATAGCTGAAAGCTGTGTGATGAATGTATACATTATACAAGTTTCACTTTTTGAATGGAATTACTGAAATAAATCAACTTTTTGATGATATTCTAATTATATGACCAGCACCTGTACAGTGTCCTTCAGCACACTGATTATTGCTTTTATGTACATTTAGAAATCCATCAGCAGTCACGGCACATTTGGGCTTTACAGAATATTACACTTGTCCAGTAAATATTTATTTTGTTATGAACTCATACACTGGTAAATATTACATATTGAAACATTGGTTCTAAATGTTTGCCTAGTTTTTAGTGGTTCCTGCAGTTTCATGACCGTGCCAACAATGTGATTTTTAAGACCCACATCTGAACATACAAAGGCCGTGGTCTGATACAGCTTCCCTGTTTCACAAGAAGGTTCATATAATAAAATTGATTAATATAAATAATTAATAAATGATATTAATATAGCACTTTAAAGTCTTTCCTTCACATATGAGCACAAAGTAAGCAGACAGGTTCACGCCTCCAGGTTCCATGTAGTTTACATTTTGTGGCTGTGAAAAACTGGTCAGTGACTGAATTTCAAAACATAACCTTTGTTGTCATCATGCTGCTCTCACTATTAAATGTATTGCTGAATTAAATAACCATTATATGTTGCCCTCTGCAGCAGTGACAGGTACACTGAATGACGTTTGAGAAATGAATTTTGAAATGTGTTGTGTTATATGTTTTCTTGCTTGTATTGTTGTCTTTTGGGTATTGTAGTCTTTGCACTTGTTGAAGCACTTTGTAACTTGTTTTTGAAAAGTGCTCTACAAATAAAGATTATTATTATTATTATTATATTCTCTTTTAAAATGTTTTTATTGCCATGGTCAACCGGGTCTGGATCAACCCACAAATTTGATCGACACTGCTGATCAACAAGAGAGAGTCCCACAGCACAGGAATATAATATTTATCTCTTAACACTTGAGCGGCAACAAACTATAGCTAGGGGTCATGAGAACACTGCACCACAGAGCGGAAAACATACCAACAAGCGCCCAAGCCAGAGAGAAGGAACAGAACCACCTGAAGGGGGCACTTACAGCCTGTGGATACCCTAAATGGACCTTTGTGAAAACAGCCACAAGATCCAAGAAGAACAAAACTACAGGGGAGGAGGAAAAGAAGGTCAAACGCAACAACATTGTGATTCCATATGTGTCTGGAGTATCAGAGAAACTCAGGAGGATTTTTAACAAACACAACATCCCTGTGTTTTTTAAACCCAAGAACACGCTAAGACAGATGCTGGTCCACCCCAAAGAACGCACACACAAACACAAGAAAAGCAATCTAGTGTATGCGGTCCAATGCAGTGAGGAATGCACAGACCTGTATATTGGGGAGACTAAACAACCACTACACAAACGCATGGCTCAACACAGAAGGGCTAACTCCTCAGGTCAAGACTCTGCAGTCTACTTACATCTGAAGGACAGAGGACACTCGTTTGAGGACCACCAGGTGCACATTTTAGACAGAGAAGATGGATGGTTTGAAAGAGGTGTCAAGGAAGCCATCTACACCAGGGTCGAGAAGCCGTCATTGAACAGGGGAGGGGGTCTACGCCACCACTTATCCCCCACTTACAATGCTGTCCTTTCATCACTTCCCAGGAAACTCAACAAACGTAACCTCTTGGCCTCAGGTGAAGATACCAACGATGGTCGTTCAGTCTTGGCCACAGGTAGTCTCAACGACTGTAACGACTGTCGTCACAGCAACAAGGAACACTAACGAACCAGCGGTATCTATGACCCGGGCCAACGACCCCACTGAGGTTAAATAGCTGAGTTTCCCTGCCAGTCAGTCAGAACTGAAGAAGTCCTTTGGATAAGGGACGAAACGTCTTCCAGTATCTTCAACCAAGTCCAGTTGCCCCATTTTAACCCTCGTTGGAAAACTATAGGAACTTTACTTCCACTTCTCCCACTTATCAGGGCTGGATTACCAAACCCACAGGGGCCCAAAATCCCCAGGTTCACAGCATGTCATTAATGTCATTAATTGTACTTGGCAATATCAACTAAGGTGAGTCCTGCATTAGTAGCTAATCTTGTGCCCCTGTCTTGTAGAGCAACCCTGCATCGAAGTTTAAGACATTTCTAATTTTATTTTATATTATCAAAACAAACTACCTCAAACCTAATGCGACCCTAACCCATGTGAGCATGCACAGAACCCCGAAGTAGCACATCTCGATCGCACAAATCGACAGAACACCGGCTCTTTACTGGTATTACTACTTATTAAGTCTCACTTTCTGACTGTAAGTCTTACTAGTTATTGACTATTACCCATAGACTGAATATAAAAAGAGTTCTTTGCTAATAATATTGCGACGCAAAAGGGTGTAATATTTCTTTAAGGGGCGTGGCTTCATCCTACGTCATCCTGATTAACATAATTGACAAAACGCAGAGCGATCATCTTTCTATTTCCCCATTGATCCCCATTTCCGCTTTCCGCTCTTTGAATTCCTGACCGCTTTACCGAGCGACCCAAAATGGCGCAGCAGTTTGTGCAGACCAAAATCAAAGGAGACAAAGTGGTGCTGTTCATGAAGCCCACATGCTCGTACTGCAGCATGGCCAAAGACGTTTTGTCAAAATACAAGTTCAAACCGGGACATTTGGAGTACATTGATATTAGCGGACGCAGCGACATGGGCATCATGCAAGACTATTTCCTGGAGCTCACCGGAGAGCGCACGGTAAACGCAAAGCTGCTGTGTCACACCACTCACACACAACAGCAGAGTTTCACTTTGAACAAATAGAAAGTAAAGTGTCTAATGAAATAATGTGTAACTTCTAGAGAAAACGAGTGATGGTAATTTTAACCTCGTCGATAAATGTACGTTTTCATAAACTACAACTTTTAATAACGTCGGTGTGAAACTAAAAGAACTTGTAACAATGTTGGCTAAATTAGCAGCTCTGATAAATACCCAGAAGACGTTTCTGATTCATTACCTGGTTGTTAGTTAGTCTACGGGGTTCTACCACATCCGTGAAGGATGCTAAAGTCCAGCATTATGAAATGAATCAGTGAGTGTCGAGGAACTGCGCCTGCCTCACTTCGCCAAACAGGATTTATGATGGATGAAACAAACTTCAGCTCATGCAGCAACGTTTGTTAATGTGATTGTGTGCACACAGTGAATGGTACGGATAAAAACCTATCATTCCCCATGCAGAGGTGGTGGAAGTAACGTTATTCACGTTATCCTTTTCTCTATGTGAAAGTACTAATACCACACTTACAATACTCCATTAAAAACAAGTCCTACATTGAATATTTTACTTAAGTTAAAGTATGTAAATATAATCAGGGAAATGTACTAAAATTTAAAGAACTCTGTGCAGAAAAATGGCCTTTATGACTGCTATTGTATTGTTATATCATTACTTATGAATTAACATAAAAGCAGGCATTTACAATTGATTTGTACTTTAGTTGGTTCCGGTGGAGCTAATTTGTAACTATTTTGTATCGAACTGCAACTAATGAGTATTTCCTTTATGTATTCATTTGCTCATTATTTTCTCCATTTATCTATTGATTGTTTTGCTTTGTAAAAATTCTGAAAATTCAACCAGAGCCTAAAGCAACAAATTCGCAATGCTTGCTTTCGTCCAACAAACAGTCCAAACCTCAAAGTGATGAATAATAAAAAACTAATTTATTAATTAATGAAAAATAAACTAAAAATTACAGAAATCCTCACATTTGATTGACTATTAAACGATTATCAAAGTGGTTGCTAGTTAATTTTCTGTGAATCAATGAAATAAGTAATTGTTTCAGTTCTACAGGTGTATACGGTTGGGTTATAACAAAACATTGTATTTTATAAGCTGCTCTTATGTTTTGGGTGCAAAAAGTACAAAATGTCCTTCTTAATAGAAGTAGAAAGTGACATGAAAAGAAAATACTCAAGTAAAGTACAAGTGCCTCAAATTTTCCTGTAGTAAAGTATTTGAGTAAATGTAAATAATTACTTTCCTCTACTGGGTGTATGTGACTTTATATTGCTATTTTCATATACTTTTATATAGTAAAGTGTACAAAAAATATATTAGGAAAACTGTACGGGTATAATAATCATTCAGGAATCCTGTGAATTCATGTCTTGACAAATAAAGATACATCATCGCATTAGATGCAATATTACTATAAGTTCTGCTCATTGATGTGCAACATCACCCATAATGGCCCTAAACACACAGATGTTAAAGGTGTAGTTACTGTGGTATAAATGGTCTTGTGAATCTCTGATGGTAGATAAATGTACTGTCTTGTGGTATATTGTCAGATATCTCCCAACCTTATCCATGACACAGAAAATCTCTGCATTTTCACCAGTTGCATCTTCGTTTCTGTTGTATTGATTTGAATGTAGGTCCCACGGGTGTTCATTGGTGAGGAGTGTGTTGGAGGCGGCAGCGACGTGGCGGCGCTGCATAAGAGTGGTAAACTGGAGGGCATGCTGCAGTCTATTGGAGCCCTGCAGTGACCTGCTCCAGACCTCCAGGTACAGGACACTGTCCAGCCTCCCACACTCAGAATAAATGAAAGTCGGGGGAAGGAAAGGGTAAAATAGGGAAGCAGGCAAGAAAAGGAGGAAGGTGTTGCCTTTCAGAAGACCCAGAGCGAAGTCATTAAGTGAATTAATTACTAACAGTAATCTCATTAGTGTAGAAATAAATAAATGAAAGGATGCCAGAGGTGGTGCTCAAAGGGATAAGAAGTAATTGCTCGGTGGTAAACACAGGAGTGAAATCTGCTCTAGGCCATCGCTGTATCACATCCTGATGGAAATGTAGATGGGTGACAAATTGAATGAAACACCCAAGTGAAGAAATATAATGAATAAACGAATGCAGGCACTTGCACACAAAGCCCGAAGGGTTACTGAATGGTTTGAGTATGAAAATAATGTTAATCATATTATGGTTACCGGATCTTAACCTAAAATAACACCTATACAAGATTTTGAAACGTGTCACACTGAGATTGGACTATAATTAGGAGCAGTGGGCTGCCATTGTGCAAGGCCTTGCTCAGGGCACCTTCGGCAATGGCCCGAGCTGGACTCGATCCGGCGACCTACCGGTTTCTAAGCAAAGACCCAACAAAATGAGCAAATAACGCCCCATTAGGAAATGAAAATAAGGGCTGGAAGTAGGCTTGGGTGGTATGACAATATACCAGGATATTTAGGAATCCTGACGGTATGACTTTCAATACCATCAAAAATACAGACACTCCACTTTCTTTTAAACTGATACAAATATGCTGAATTACAGTGTACACCCTCAACGTAGGCAGCGGACGCCTTGTGAAACTGCCATCAACTGTCACATCATTGAAAACACAATGACCCCCTTCTTTAGCTGCAGCCTTTATTCGCTGACAAACAGTGACCTACACTGTACCTTAACTGCTAAACTTCACTGCTCGCCTTTTCCTCCTCCGCTGCATTCACCTGCCGTTCAATGTCGCTCAGCCCCACTACGCACACAAAAAGGAGTGACTTGGCTTCCACTGCGAGCAGTGGGGATAACGTTACAGGACTAGTTAAAAAAATAATAATAATTGCCTCTGCCCCTGTTAGGGAGTATATTGAGTTTAGTCCTGATGATGAAGGTGAGCCAGCCAACATGGACCAAACTGTGTGCACATCATCTCCATCCATGGCAAAAAGTGTCATCGGGTCCTCCAGCAAGAGTCTATGGAAGGCGCTAACTTCCTATCTATTGATTATTTTATGGACCAGATGTGAAGTGGCACCTGCGTATGTCCCAAAAGACAACAAGCTATGATTCATCATGTCATTTTAGCCAAGTCACAGTAAGAATTCATGACCATGATCACCTAATCTGACACTGTTTAAAAGATAAAGATATCATGTTGTCTGATCTGAACATCATCAACCCACCAAACAAGGGACCATTTATTGAAAGAATGACATTTGTTCCTCCAGTAGAGATTCAGAAACTTGGAGAATCTGTGCCAGGGAGCATTGAAGCTGTTCTGTAGGCATGTGTTGGCCCAACACCTTACCAAGACTTGTTTTTTCTTTTAATTTGTCACCCAACTGACTGTAAAACAGGTCAGTTTTCCAGAGGAAAAGTGAATGCAATCAAAATGTACATAAACAGCTGGCTGTGCCTCTGTTTGTTCAAACAAAGTGCAGACATTCATGGAGTCTGGTATGTTCATTCTAAAACATGTCTTTATTTAAATTCAGACGTCATGTTATCCACAGTCTGTACAACACTGGCCTAGAGGCGCCACATATGTGTCTCCACACACTGGGTGTGGATGCAGCACTGGAGTACGCTTTGTTTCACAGTCCAGTTTTTCAACTGTTATTTACTGAAGAGTAGATTGGGATTTATCTGAGGATTTCTTGGTGAACACACGCACTTTGATTGTTGTGGTGCGCAGGAATTTAAACATACATCAGGTGGTCAAAGGTACCACCTGTACACAAAATCTCACAGTGATAGCTTTCTTGTACTTACTTGTATATACACAGCCTGCTGCCACACCTACTATACATACTGTTTTTTGCCTATTAATGATTGATATTGAGCCACTGAATAAAAAATAGCTGCAAAATGGCACTTATGTTTTGGTGTTTTTTGCTTCATTTTGTTGAAGCATTATCTGACAAATTAAGTTCTGTCTTCCTATATTCCAGTTCTTTTGTAATCATGCACCTTTTAAGTAAATACCAGTGAAACAGTAGACTGTAAAATAGTGTGACCCAGTTGTTTCTACTCCAAATGTTAAAAAAAAAAAGAAATAATGTCATAATCATGTCTACATACAGTATAGTTTACAAAAATAATTGCAGCACCAATAAATCATTATCTCATTATGATTAAAAACAACCTCTCAAATCAAAAAATAGGATCAAATAAATACTGTGTATCCACCCAGAGGCATTGTGGGTTTTAGTGTACCAACTTACGTTCATGATATGGTTGTTTTTTCCTAAATCTTTTTACCGCCTCTGTACACGTAAATGCTACAAAAGGCTTTCACCTTTTGACAGACTGAGACAGACCTTTTATTATTTGTTATTGCAATAGATAAGAAATAGTTTCAACGATATTTCATATTAACCTGCAAAGGAAATGGTGTGAAAGTCCAGCTCACAGGCTTTAAATGAAATTAAAAAAATACACTGATTATTGTTGGTGTACAGAGCACTTGATTTTGATCTGGCTATGTGTAATTTAATTTGATGATTACATTTCAAGCCATTTTTGAATGAAAGTGAGATGGCCTCATCTGACACCGACTACCACCAATCTCACACAGTAATAAAATCAGTCTGCCTCTGAGACACTCGCTGACGTTGCATCGTAGATCTGAAAGAATCTAACAAAAGCACTGTAATTAAATTGGTCCTGCTCGTCTGTTAAACTGAGTTTCTGTCAGACTACAGATGAAAATGAGCATGACTGTGCAACCAGCAGCATTACCTTCCACCCTGCTCTCTGTATTAATGTAGGTCACCGCTCAGCTAAAATAGTGAGTGAGCCACAAAGAAGTTTGCAGCTCAAGAGTTATTTCAGCTTAAGAAGTGATGCATGTGCACGTGTTCACAATTTAGATCCAACAGGACACAGATGCATCGTGGGCCATGGTTTAATTTGAGACGGTGCAGTCCTTTGTCCAGCGTACAGAAGATACAAAGACATCCCCAGGTGTCGAGTACAGAAGAAAACACTTCAGCAACAGTTTCCTGGCGTTACATTACCCGTTACTGTTGTTTGAAACAGTCTGCACATGATTCTGGTCTGTTTTCCAACAGATGTGTGGTCATTTGACATATCACTTCTCGTATCGGAGACATTTTATGTAACTGTTCATCTTTGAAATCCATCATTTTGAGTCCACCAGTCGAAATATAATCTTTCACAGTCATTTCAAATTCATATTCGGTTTTAAGGATCAGTCATTTTGGATCGCCCATGGTGGACTAGTCATTATGCAAAGGACGCATGGGGGGGCAAGAGAAGCATATCACAGTGGTGTATGTCACTGATCGGTTAAGGAGTCTGCAATTCTGCAACATTGTCCCTCCGAATCAGCCCTTCGTCCAGCATGATGAAGTGAAAATAAATATTTCGTCTGTCTGTTTCTGCAAGCGTCGATGACCAGTCTCACTCTTTGTCATTATTTTCTCCCTGGTTTCCCCCTGCCCCCCTTATTTTTCCACCACAGGTTTTTGGCTTCCACGCGGGGTCACATGACTATGCAGCGGGACTTGCGTAGTTTGCGTCGCCGCTGCTGGTACTCGCTGAGCTCCTGCAGGTAGCCTCTGGACGGCCAGCGTAGCCTCTCCACCTGCTCACGCTCCTCCTCTGGAACACACAAACGTATCACCGCTCGAATCTACTGCACAACAGCACAACTATGGGATGTTTTACTGATAAAACCATTACAGCAAGATTTACTGCACTTGGCACACAACTCACACAAACACATACAGTAGTAAATCCTTGGATTGAACACAGCCAACAAGGCTGAAAGATTATACACAATATATAAATGTAAGATTTAGTTTACACCAACAAGTAACAGAAGACCAACAGTGATCGATCATGTGCCGTCAACTTTGCTTGTGCCCTTAAGTACCCGTCCAGTGACCTTTTTAAAGGATTCTTGTGTATATGGCTAATGATAACAATAAAACGTGCTACTGCTATTAACCTGGAGCTATGTTGCTGTTAATCTTTGTAATTGGCCTGTCTTTAACTGCATTGATGTGGCCTATAATAACACGAGCTTAAACTTATTGTATTTAAACATACTATAAGGAGGCATTATTCTAAGTGGCAGACGGCCCACAGACTAATACATAAATGCTGCTATATTGTGCTACATGTGCATAAAATACAGAGGTTTTCACAGGTGTCTTAAAGTGAGAAACTCACTTTCCATCTCCACAGTTCCTTAAGTGACAGTATGGTCGCTAGTGTTTGATTTTAATTCACAAATGATTAGTGGACACCTTGGTTACACTTCATGTATTTAACAAACTGTTTGGTCATTTTACAAAGAATGACAACCAGCCTACCCTTCACAGCACTCACCTGAGGCAGAGGGAGCCTAACCTACATACACTATGTGGGAAAAACACATTCTCAGGGAGCCTGGAGACTCTTTCATCTCATTATTTTCCAAACAAAGCCCGTAGCCCTTTAAAAAGTTGAAATCTGCAGTTCAGTTTTGCTATCGCCCTGTGCAGCAATTTTAGTTTGCATAACCATCACTTCCAATGCTTATTTGAATATGTCGGACATATACTATGTATTGTAAAAATTCACACACTCTGACCTGAGAGCTCCAGGAAGTCAGGTTTGTGACTGAAGATCAGGTAGTTGTTGGCGATGAAGTGGAGGAGCCAGATATACAGCTGCTCTGCGTTGTGGCACTGAAAATCAGTTTAAACATAGACATTATGTCAAATAACATCCATTCTCTTGAGAATGGATGCTTTTAGACAGATTAACGTGAATATATGTTGCAGATGGAGGCCTAGGGCTACTGCAAGTTAAAAGATTAAGCTTGGCATGAAAAAAAACAGCATTTGGGCCAATTTTTTTGATTCCCTCTGTACACGGCATTTACATTTTGGTGGCTGAAGGAAATGTCATATAATGAAGTGGTAATCCGTTTATGCAGACAAGCTATCTCCTGCAAGCCTGTTCACATTCTCAATTCAATCTCTGTTGCCCTTTTTTTTTTTTACCCTCATACACTCAAAGTTACACTGACCTTTGCTCGGCGAAGTAGTCGAATCACGCTGATACCTGTAGATGACAGCTCTCTGCTGGGCATGCTCTGAAGGTAAGCGCACACGCACACTTCACACAGATGCTGCAGACGTTTCACCTGGTACATCTCAGCGCAGACCAGCACGGCCATGGCCTGCAGCACACTGGCTGGACACACAAGCGCACACAGCACGCTCAAGTATCACTCATACCTTGTTATATCATCACGTAGATTACACTTTATTCCAGATTTATATTAAAGCTTACAAAACGCTCCCTGAGGTAAGAGTGTTTTTATGAGTATTGGTCAACAAATTAAATAGGAAAAGAAACACCAGGAAGGCCCCATGAAGCTAATAAGATAATAAAAACCTTTTGTGTGACCATTTCAAAAAAGTAGAAGATATCAGTTAAAGCCACTTCCAGCTGAATTATAAACATTATTTGACAGTTTTATTTGCACAGCATTCACAGGGTAAAAAGCACACTGACCTGATCTCACAGAAATCTACAGGTTATATTAGACAAAAAGCCGTACTAATGTGTATATATACATACACACACACACACACACACACACACACACACACATATATATATGCATGCATATATACTAATGCAATACTTTTATATAAACAATGGCTAAAATGACCCAATCAATCAGGGCTTCATGAATGCTTGATATGTACACATTTGCTATTACATGCTATTTTTTTAAAGCACTTTTCTTAAATATTGTTTACAAAGTTCTTTTAAAGAAAAAGACAGGGTGAAACAAATCTATGAACCAAATCACGCTTAATCACAAACCAAGAATCCATAAATTGTATTTATGGCTTTGTATTTCTCTCATTGTCCAAAAAATGGAGTCATACTGTACTGTACATTTCGTGGAAATTTCTTAATGAAACCACACATTATCAACACATGGACTAGAGCGCAGCAGTCAAATCACATTGAATATGACAAAGAAATAATTGTTTTTTCCCCCCAAGCTGTCTAATCTCATCCTTACATACACACCTGCGACAAATGTCAAACATGTAATGGCAATCCTATTATGTAATGTCCGAATGTCAAATCCAATTGCTCCTGAGGTAACTTCATTCCTGTCTTCCTTCACTTCCTCCCATAAAACCACTGATTCCCTGCATGCCTCTCGGGCAGGATCAGCTGAGCAGCAGCCATACACAGAGGTTTGTTCCGTTCAGCTGTACATTTGCCTAAACATATAACAATGTATTGTAATATCATACAGTATACAATATGTATCTGAATGAAATGCTCCTCCTTTAATTTCACGCCATTGGTTTTGTTGCCAGTGGTGGAGTTACCTTGCTTTAACCTTGAGTGCTGAGGTCTTACATAACAGTGCAGCGGCTGCAGCCTCTGGAGATTTTTCATGGCTTTAATTTCCTGTTCCATGACTCAACTTGAAGCTATATCTCTGGAAACTGCATGCTTTTTTTTCCATCAAAACATGCGCTACAAAGGATTGCCAGCGCACAGTAGATGGTTAACCAGAAAGGATTGTTCTGAAACTTTAAATCGTCTATTCAGCATGTTTGTTATATAACAATAATGGGAAGGAAGATGACAGCCCATGTTGTAATTAACTCGTTCTGTACGTCTCAGTTATATGGCTTTATCTATTAAGGGACATAACATATTGTTTGTTGTGCTTTCTGCAATCATCTGCATTTGAAATGCTTGATTCAGGAGGGACTGCAGTTACTTGTGATGTCACCCTGGATGTCATGAAAAAGTACACACACACACACACACACACACACACACAAACCCCTTTTGACACAACTGCATAAGCTTGCCATTCAAAGCTGCAGTAAGTTATATTTTACCACTAGGGGGCAGAAACACTCAAAAATAAACAGCAAGAACATTTGAAATATCAGTTTATCCAGTTGTTTTGGCTAACCTGTTAGCAGACACACAGCAACATGAACCATACATTGCAGTCCCTTTGGCCACCTGTAAAACCAATATTCACTGGAACCTTTGGTCCACTTAAAGTGGTTGAAGGCTACGCAAAGCTGCAAGCTGAGAGTTGATCTTCAGTGGAATCAACAGTACCAGCTAAGCGTTTACGTTACAGGGAATCACTTGATTCTCTGTTTGCTTAATGTAACTTCAAGGGTGTAGAAACACTTGTATGTAATGTACTGTAGCTCATCTGCCGTCACCAGAGAGAATTATCTGCACTTATTACTTTGAAAATGCAGTGCACAATGTCACAGATAGTGACAGAGGAAAACAACAACAACAACACGTCTGGGGCCATGAGCTGGCGCCATTAAAAGCAGATGAAGCGGTGATACCACGGGTTGATTTTGTCATCACTAAATCTAATTTAATTTTAAGCTCACTGCTGTTCTCCGCAAGCCTCCTGAGACTGACACTGGCAGCATGTCGCAGTCACACAGATGGCTGATGGGACTTGTCATCTGCGCTTTTGTTTTGGGCTGCGTTTCGTGAGCGAGGCCTAGAGTAAAACACTACTGTACCTCTCAAGTGTTTTCCAATTTGACGATGGTGCTTATTTCTGCGGTACATTAAAATGCCATCAAAGGTCCATTGTCCTTCTGTAAAAGACTGTCATTTAGTTGGTCAGATCTATGGAATCTAACGCGTCTTTCATCTCAGTCACAAATCAACCAACCAACTTTTACTTATTAAACTAAGCATTTTATTTACAGCAACAGCCCAAAGAAGTAGGCTCGTTATAGGCGGGTGAATGATTAACATACTGACTGAGGCTTTGCTAGTGCAATCAATCTCACCACCACACAAAATCTGCTACAGGGTTTAATTAGTCCACAAGACAAAGAGGAAGGACGGGCCATTTTCTAACTATATTTAGGCCTCCCATTGGCGTTGCAGTTTTAGTTGCCACTTAGTCATTAATCTTATTGTATACTGTAGTGGTCACAGTGGTACACTTGAGTACACTTCTGGGTTCTGTGCATTAAACTCACCAGGACAGCAGGAGTCAGTGTAGAGGTACTCCAGGAAAGAAAGGAAGGTATCTGAGGAGACACCGTGGATGGGCACCACTCGGCTCCGGGCCTCTGCATACTTCCCACTGAACATGGCCGCCATGACGTCACAGCGTGCCACCAGCACTGCCCGGTGGGCTGGCAATACACTCCCTTAAACACAGACACACACAGGCATGCAGAATCAACATCTAAGTTTAGGATTTGAGATTACCATCTAGGACCAAAGAGCTGTAAACTGAGAGCATAAACTCTTTATAATTAATTGTATTGAATCTTGACTGATATTAACAGAATGCGTCTTTGACCTAAAAACGTTTGGAGACTATCACAAACACGTACACATTTTTCATAATTTCACGCAAACACTCCTAATATCACTCACATGTCTCTTTTGCGTCAGTGTACATGCCAAGCCTAATTCAGTTTGGCATGTTGCGAATGATGATCTGTCATAATGGGCCATTTAAATGAACAGGAAACAAATGACATGTAAAGTGTGAGGCACAAATCCTGACATAATCGCTGTCATTAAGTGCCATTAACACCCAGTGACAGCTTTCACCACACTCCATCAGTATGTTTGCGTAAAGACAAAGACATTTTCTCTGTGACCTCCAAGAGTTGATCTCACAGCGCAGAGGTGGAAAGACGAGAAAAGCTCACTGCAGTTTTTATGAGATAAATATTGATTGAGGAGAGGCTTTGGGGCATTATTTCTGGATTTCTCAATTTGATCCTTTAATAGAGAATTGGCTAAAAGCAGCTCATGGAAGAGATGAAACATGACAGGACCGGAAAGCAGCCGTCCCTCGGACCTTTCATCCTATTTTGTCTCTAAATGGACGACCAGGCTCCGGTACTGAGATCATAATTCAATCACGGCTAATAAAATGTGACCATCCCGTGCAGTGTGACGGCGCATGTAAATGTGTGTACGTCGAACAGATCAGCATGGACCCACCTTGCACCATGAAGATGACATCAGAGTAAAGAGGAGAATTGAAGAGGTTGACAAGAGTCTGGGGGCCGAGCTGAGCTGCCCGCGCACTGGGGGTGTCCCTGGGACCCTACACACACACACACACACACACACACACACACACACACACACACACACACACACACACACACACACACACACACACACACACACACACACACACAGAGAGAGAAGAAGATAAAAGAAACGGACAGAGAGAGTTCACATTCCTCTGCTGGATGTCGGGTACTAGTTACCAGCATGATTGCCATTCTGAGCATCTATCTCACCTCTCCTGTGGAATACAAATGGCCTCGCTGCCAGTCTTGCTTAGCGCTACCCAAACATACTTGAACTGCAATGCCAAGAACGACATGATAGAACTGGCTAAAATGGAAACAGACTGAGAACCAGAGGGTCGTCCAAACTGTCTATTTATTAACACATTCCCGCTCGTTTGCAGCATTTAAAGGATGCATAATGCAATACATGTGTTTACAGTATACTACACTGCACAGCAGGTGAAATCAGTAGTGAGGCTGTCAGTGTATCTTTTTGCACACATGGTTTTGTGAAGTCCGCAAATGAGAGTTGTCAAGGCATCCCATTACCATTGCGTGACCTTTCTCAGTCAAATGAAGCACAGAGAACTCCATATTTTTGCGCTGCTCTACTGCAGAGGGAGCGTTCAGCAAACACAGAGACTTCAGTAGAGGCAGCGACAGAATCAAGTCGCTTTGATTTTATAAATCAATGGAAAGCTCGCGGAAAGCAAATTTCAGCCAGTCTTGCGGAGGGAGACGCCCCGGAGGTGTAGAGGACGAGATCAAATCCTGACAGGACATTAGGGCGTCTCATCGTGTTAAAGTGGCCCAGCCGTCTCTTGGTGTGTCAGATCATCTCAACACGGCCTCAGGTAGAAGACCTAGTTCTATCCAGATGGGCTGGTAGACCATGCATGGTGCCAAAGGCTTGTCAGACGCAGACATGTCATATCTTCTGACGTCTAAATGTTAGAGTCTGCTGCCTATTACATGGAGCCGCCTCATGTTTTCTATATAGGCACAATACACTACAGATGTGACGCTGCAGTTTTAATTTTGGATTTCATGGTTTCTAAACAAGTTCTTGCTAATTAAGGTGTTGATAGTCAGCAACTACAAAAATGTGTTTAAAACCCTCAAAGAGTAGATGTGACACATTATAGATATTTAACCTCTTTTGTTGGGGAGGGCTGTTATAGTCTTAAACAAGATGATGTGATTTGTGTTGGTGTATGTTAGAGAAAACTTTGAAGTTTTAAGACCTCACCCTGTCTCTGCCAATGAGGGATCGTATGCGCTCCATAAGCTGAGCCACAGCTAGTGAATTCTTCAGCTTCTCCTCCAGGGCCTCCTGAAGGTGGTCCCACTCCCACGCTCCTACAAAACATCCACAAACACAATGATTCTGTGGACCCACAATAGTACAGTTTACAGAAACACACAGGCAAACTGTTTTATAGCTGGCAATGTGGTCTGACCACCCACGTACCTTACTCTGAACACCCTGTACCTGTTTTTGACAAAGTTGGCTTGTTCTAAAATGTGTGTGCTTATATAATCCATCGTGGTTATGGGTGGGACACCCAGTCCAGCTTCTACAGATGTCAGAAACAGTGACCCAAGGACCTTTGCAAAAAAATACCAGTGGCAATAATAAATCTGCCTCCAAGTCAATTGGTTAATGTTTTTTATTTAACTTAAATTTAACTGAGGTCAGTTTTTTTACACAGTTAACAAGAGTCTAGAGTCTCTGTGAGGCTGTATTTAGGCACAGCAGTGTTTTGAGCTAAAAACTGATGCTAACATCACAATGACAATGCTAACATACTGATGCGAAGCAGGTTTAACATTTACCATAGTCACTGTCTTATTTTAGCGTGTTTGCTAATTAGTACTGTAGGAGCATTTATGTTTGTTGTTTGTTGTTGGCATGTCATATGATTTTGTATTTCAGACACTTGGTGGCAGTCATTAGTAACACAGGGTTGTATATTTAGGGGCATAGGTGACAAGAAAAGGTAGGCACAGGTAGGGGGAGCTCACACAGTTCTCACCATAGCTACAACTTGCAACAGTAGAATTGGAAACAAACAGGTACTGTATGTATCTTTTCGTACAACTACTCGCTACTGCAATAAACAACAAACTAAACTGCAAATAATGACTGGATAATCTATTGTGTCTGTGTAAGATTTCACTCCTGCCTGTGTATAATGGCAAAGAAAAAGTACATTGGAAAAGTGGAAACTATTGCCATCCAAGTACCAAACATTATGATATTAGTTTTACAGGTATTTGGTCAAGAACCAGAGTGAAATTTTGACCTTACGATGCATAATGGTGATAAATTAAGGGATCATGTGGATTAAGTGATTACAATTCAACAATTGTTGAGACTAAATAACACAAATGTGAACCTGACAGTGGCGCAAAAGGACAAGTTAGGGTATCACCGCAGTGAGTAGGATTCATCCTCTGGGGACCATGACTGTCTGCACAAAATTTCATAACAATCCATCCAACAGTTGTCAAGATATTTCACTCTAGACCAAATTGGGCGACCAATCAACGGCTCAAGAGGCAGAGTTCGACATTGCCATCCAGAGCATAGCAGAGCCACGCTACTAGCATGGCATAAAATTATTGCTATACAGTAGATAAACAGGGAAATAGACATGTGGGCCGTGATATACAGTAAGTTGCCATCAAAGGATGTGAAATCTGTCAGCACTGTTATGTAAAGATAACCTTGTGACACAAAAAACCCCAAAATAAAACTCCTTACCCTGCTTTATCATTTGGAAAACATTTACATTGCATTTATTCACTTCAGTGTTATGCTCCTTTATAAAGCCTGCACAGCCCTGCAGCTTGATTGAGGTGGTGCACTGGGACATAAACAGACTGTCGAGGGAAGAAGGGACCTGGACTGGGCAGGATTTAGCTCATCATTAGTTCATAATGATGGTATTTGGGCTGATAGAGGGATTACCTCAACATACAGTGCCGGATAATAACACTGCACGGCGCAGACACCTCATAGGCAGAGTGAGAGATTAGCTCAGGAGCTGTGCTGCTGACATACGATGCAGCGAGACAGCAAAAACACAGAACTGGATACACTGGTGGATGTTTTCATATGTGGGACGGAAAGGAACAGGATAAAATTAAATACATAGGCAAAAAGCAAAAGCTGCAAAAGGCTTAAATAATTTCTACACAATCTCACAATTAAGTTTCGGTGTTCGGTGTATTTCTTCTCACCCACCTACACAAACACAAAGGCTGAGATAGGATACTTTTGGGAACAATTTGTGCAGATTAACACTACTTTCCTGGAGGTTTTCCTTAACTTTAATTATTATTATTATTATTATTAACTACAACATTCCTGACTCCAAACCTTAACCTATCTTAAACCAAACAAACCCAAGGACATAAACCAGTGTAGTTTGTGAAAATCTTGGTTGCAAAGAAACTAAATAAAAAAACTAGTGAGACAAGTTGTCCCAAAAATAACTGGTGTGTAGTCTACAATTTGTCCCAAAATAAGGCCAGGATGACCGCAAACAAACACACAATGTGTCATACACATGTAAGACATGTGCTAAACATGCACACACACAAAATAGCAACCAAGTGACAAATTCAATTATTCAGCAGCACACTAAACAAGGAGACAGAGTCTCACAGTGTTAACATCACACAAGCAAAGTCACGGCCTCTGTGACTGTCCTCACACACTCAAATGACAAAAACCTAGAGCGTGGAATAATACTATGAGTGTGACGCTGTGTGTTTACAGAGGCATTATATTGTTATGGAAATGTGTTCTGCTAAGCCAAAAAAATGAGTTATAACTGACAAATGAGCTGAACTGAATTGTGAGCAGAAGATGTCTGTCCCAGCGCTAGGAAAGAAAAGTACAGCTTGTTGTAGATTTATTGCAAATGAACATTGGCTCACAGTGCTCCCAATGTTTCTGTGGTCAAAGGAGGGACCCATTCACATCTGATTAGCCAATTCAAGAGAATACAGAAACACACACATTGTATGTGAGGTCAGCTGCTTTAAACGCACAATCAGACCCACCATGTTGAAGGTTAACGTAGTCAATTTTCACACAAGGCTTAACTCCGTCTCCCTGCAGTGTTTTATGGAAACGTGACATTCGTATCCCGGTACGCACATGCACACGTATTCCTCTTTCTGCTATTTGCTCCAAGCCACACACACACACACACACACGCTGGTTACACTATCCCCATGGGGACATCTACACTTAATAGTGCATTCCCCAGCCCCTCACCCTAACCTTAACCATCACAATTACATTAACCTTAACCCAATCGTAGTCTGAACCCTTCATCCTAGTCTAAACCCTCAAAAAGCGGTCTCTACCCGTGGGGACCTCAATTTTTGTCCCCACCGTGACACAAATCCCCATCAGTTAGTAAAGTCCCCAGTGGGATATAAAAACATGAAACGCACACACACACACACACACACACACACACACACACTCACTAACAGTAAGCTCTAGTGACCAGCTCTTCCCCCACCCTAACACACTCTCACCATCACATTATCTCACTGATGAAGTGGCACCTTAAACACTCCGACCCCTCTCTCACCCTCACATCTGTCCACCTTCATTTTTCAACCTACTCACAATTTTCCACTCTCTACTTTCCCATATTCCTCCCTCTTACTCAAAAAACACCCCCCAAAACATGATGTGTGAAAATACATACTGCACCCTCTGTCCTTCAACCGCTGGCTTTCTTATTCTTATTCATACAGTCACCCAGAGAGACTCAGTCTAACCCTATAATCTTCTTCTCTTCTCTGCTCACCAGCACACATTCACACTCAGCGTATGTGTTTGTGCACTTGCCTCTAGTGTATACATGAGAGGGTGCACATGCGGGTTCATTCAGATCGTCACATACGTGTAAAGAGGCAGCTGTGATTTAGATATTAGCAAAGCCTTTCGCCATAAGGATTCCTGCACAACATGCAGCTTGTGATGAAGCGCTGGCATGCACAGGAGCTGCGATTTAACATGCAGCAAGCCCAGCACTGCAGACTGCAGATTTTCATTACGGCACTGACGTCACAGAGACTATTACACGGCTGTTTGACCAGGCTTCATACATTTTGCATCTGCAAACGTTTTGCTTGCATGTTTCATGTCTGCATAAAGATAAAATTAATATAAAATACTGTTAATTTTACATGACAGTTTAATCGCAGAGTTCATCATTTGTTGATGTAAATATGAGGACACTGTTAACAGCCTGCAGAGTCACATTCTATCAACTAATCCCATTAGCAGTCAAAACCATGGAGGTTCAATTTCTGCAAGACATTGCTCAGTGTACCAATCCATGTGTCCATAATGTTTAATAAAACAGAGCTGGGTGGAGATATATGAGAAATGTGAGTGGCCTGAGGCAGGTACAAATATGGGTTAAGAAAGCAGTGTGGGATCACAGTATTACAGGATGAATGATCAGGTCCTAGATTTAAATACTACAGTTGCTTACTGTCAAGCACTCATTTTGACTGATTTCAGTTTCTCGCCATAATGGAACATTGCACAGGATCCAAACTGCCTTCTGCTGCCAGGGCACATTAATCATCACATCTAAATGATTGGAAAATGAATGGAGTTCCCATGCTGTGAATGTCAGTCCAGCTCTGTTAGCTGTATTTAAACTTCGTAATGTGCAGATGATGACGTAATGTGTCCAGTATGGCAACAACAAATAAGAAGCATCAAGGCTGAAACACCAGCAAAAAACAAACAAATACCAAAACCATTAGGTCTGAATGCATTTCAGGACAATGAGCGGTTGAAGCACTTACTGGCCTAGAGACTGATTTTTTTCAAGTGTGATGCACATAATTATGTAGTGTGATGGGAGTAAAGTGATTGAGCCATCCTTGCTGAGTCCAAATTTCTCTGGACAAAGTGCATGTTGGCAGCTGTTTTGTATTCTGGTCTCCTCTCTTTTTTGGCACTTCCTGTGCAACTGATCCTGTTGCCAGAATTGTCAGTTTGGGCAACTAGTGGGGACGGGATGCTCTTCTGTGTTGTGATTTAGGTTGGTGCAACTTTTAATATAGAAAGAATTCACTTCCGATTAAGTCATCCCCTTGTCATATTTTAGGTTTTTGGTTGGATACTTTGCTGTGCGGTACTCAGATCATTTCTTCTGAAAAAGACCACAATGACCAAAAAGATGAGAATCTAATAAGTCAATGCATATTTAGAGACAATTAGTATATTGATGGATTAGGTGATCAAAAAAAATCTGGCAATGGAATTATGTGTTGGGGCTGCAACCAGCCTAAAACCAGCCTCCTAGAGCAGCCATCGTGGGAAATGTGATTTGGGGATTTTTGTTGTATTTTTCCACTATTTTCTGACAATTTATATTATAATCAATGAACTGAGAAAATAATCGCGTAACTATTCATACTATCAGTCAGTCAGTCAAAGTTCTACATAGTGGTAGCATCTCACAAGCGGTGGGGGTGTTAAAAAGGGTAAATGGAAATGATAGAATTAAGATGTGTTGTCTGACTGGTGGTTTTTACCTCTGTAAATAAACATGAGTGTCTCCCACAAGCACATACAGAGGAGAGGGTCCTTCACTACCAGACGAGAGAGGCGTCCTGTCAGGTGCCCTTCTAATCTTGGCATGTCATCAATAATCCCTCCGTCCCAGGTGGAGAGCAGCGAATGGGGGCCTCCATCCCGCTCTCTGCAAGCGCACCGTGACTGGGGACGTTCCCTGTCCAACCAGAGATGAAATTCAGCACAACATCCTTCACAGTTACACTAAAGAGGTGTTCACAGAGAGAGCCGAGCTGCTGCTGGCTATAGGCTCAGGTGATGAAATAGCTTGTTAAACGCTGTCCTGTGAACGAGCTAATATCTCTCCTACCTCGTCTTGGGCCCCAGGAGCAGCTGTCTGAAGTACGGGCTGACAGCACACAGCACAGCCGCATGCGCCCACCCCAATTCTTTCCCAGAGTCCCCGGCGTAGAAAGCCACATCGGCGAACTGCACGCCACGCTCCAACAACCACTGCATGTCCTGTGAGAAGCTGGACTCCTCTACTCGGATAGGGGGAAGACGTGCTGAACGGAAGGAGGAAGAGGGAGCACGTAGGTTGAAGAGGAGAGAGAGAGAGAGAGGAAGATAGGAAGGAAGGAGTCGTGTTAATGAAGAATTACTGCTGAAATTCAGCTTGCCCGTATTTTCAAAAGATAAAAGGAAAATCCCCGAAATGTGTTATGTTCAAAGCACCCCAGGAGCGTTGTAAATCACACTTTTGGTGTACTCATTTTTTTTCGTCCTTTTTTTACGTCTACTAGTGATTTCCCTTTTCTTTTGAGAATGACTTTTGGCAACTCAGCAATGGGCGTATACGGGTTATGTGGAGAGAGTGATAGTGACAGCAATAGTGAAGTGAGATCTTTTAGTCAAGAAAGAGAGAGCTGAGCAAGACCAATGTCATGTTGTGCTCTGCCCTGTTGCTCAAGTTAGAAAAAAATGCCTCCAGATATATTTGTGACAGACCTGCAAAAATGGAGGATTGGTCATGTCCATCTGTTCAACACAGATTTCATCCATCGTCAACCGCTTATCCTGCATACAGGGTCGCGGGGGGGCTGGAGCCAATCCCAGCAGACATTGGGCGCAAGGCGGGGTACACCCTGGACAGGTCGCCAGTCCATCGCAGGGCCACTCACGCTCACACCTAAGGACAATTTAGGGTTGCCAATTACCTAGACTGCATGTCTTTGGATAGTGGGAGGAAGCCGGAGCACCCGGAGAGAACCCACGCAGACACGGGGAGAACATGCAAACTCTACACAGAAAGGCCGGGGGTTTGAACCCACGACCTTCTTGCTGCGACAGTGCTAACCACCGCACCACCGTGCCCAACACAGATTTATCCCTTTTAAATAAGGTTAATGTTTACAGGACATATAGAAAGGTTAATGTTTAAAGGAGATATAAAGAAAATCTGGAAAGACAACCATCACAGATAAATGATTTGCAGTGAATTGAGTGTAACAGTAAAAACACTGAATACAAGAAAAATACGACAGTGAAAAAAAAGTGAAAAAAAGGACAGAATTGTAAAACATGTCATGAGCAACAAGAAGAAATATTGGTTAGGGAAAAAAAGAGAAAAAACTGTGCTTTGTGACACACGTATTCATGGATTCAGATTAATAAAAGTGACAAAGCACTGAGCAGGAAGGGAAAGGAAGTGTGTGTGTGTGTGTGGGGGGGCTTCACAAATCTCTGTCCTATTATGTTCCTATTCATGCTTAACACACACTGCACTCTGTGGACCTCATCTCCTTTTTTATGGCAGCTCAGATTTGGCCATGAAAATTGTGCTGTTCCTGAATCAGTGCACGTCATATTTAATGCAAGCTACACCATAAGTACAGTTAAGTAGTGTTGGACAGGCACCAATAAATCTGCCAGGCAGCACTCGCTGGCTCTTTGGCTGGACTTAAAAGGTGTCAGTCATTGCATCAGACACACACACACACACACACACAGACACACAGCAGCAAAGTGGTCAGATAAATATTTAACACTAAGACAAATAAACAGTGTAGCTTGTGTTAAATATTTTTAGGTGTTTCGTTTTGTAAAAATGAACTGTGAATGGAAAAATACTGAAATGGCAGTTCTACTCGACCTGTTTGTGGTGTGGGAGTCGTACTTCTAGCCAAATTAATTTTAATTATGTTGTTTCAAATGCAACGCACTGAAAGCTTTCAGTTTGTGGCAACATCCGGCAGTTAGGAATGGCAGTCGATTGCAGATTTAATTAGGCTTTTAGCCATTTAGGAGAAAGAGTGCCACAGTCTAAAAAAGTATAATATTAAGACAAAGAAAAGGCAGAAGAAATGAAACCATCAAGCACTCTAGCGTGGCTCGTTTCTTTTAAGCTTTGCTAGAATAACAAAAGCGCTGTCTCTGCTGCTCAATGAGTATGAATGTTTGCTGTTCTGTGAGTTTTAGGCTCTTTTGATCATGATCAGAGCGGTAATTTCTCTATTTCTCATAATTAGCTTGTTTATGTTTGCATTATCTGATTGGCTTAACGGTAGTTTGATTAAGTATGCAATACATTTACAGTCTGCTTAGAACTGCTACAAATTACATTAGTTGCAGCCCCAAACTAAATCTTCCAAAACTAGTAATATAAAAATAATGTGCACAAATACACAAACTAAAAAAATGAACTGCGGGATGTTAATGTGGTGTTCAGGTACCTATACTGGTTAAGAACATTTGGTTAAAGACAAGGTTAATGAGTAATCATCTACAAGTACAATCACTGAGCTGCCTCGGAACAAGGCACTAAACACTCCGGAGCTCAGTCTAAAATTGATTCAAACATCACTGAATAAAAGTAGTCCACCTAGCTCTTTGTCTCCCTTTTATTTCCAGTTTGGAACAGAGGATATTGATCTGGATAAAACCTTTATGCTCAGCTCTTTTTATGGCTATGTAAGCTGTAAGAAAAAAACAATCCAGTCAGTCCAACTGAATGTTCCCTATACGCCATGAAAAGCATACTAAAGCAACAATAATAACTTAATAACATGCAAATTGAAGGACTAAATAAAAACAATCATCGCCATTAATGATGGAAATAAAATGAGCTGAAAAGGGTTCAACGCTCACTCACAAACTGACAAGACACGAATAAATACTACTTAAAATAAAAGTTGAGTTTTTAGATACCATAGTATTCCTCTGACCTGGTTGTTCTAAATGAGGGGGACGAAGCTCGTTCACTTTATTTCCTCGCCTCTTCTCTGGCCTCTCTTTGGCTTTGTGTTTCAGACACTGAATCATGAAGTACTCCAGCTGAACAATACAGAAATACACCCGTTAGTTCAAACAGAAGGTACAAAAATAGTGGCACTACATCATCAATTCTTTGCTTTGGACAAAAACTTCCTGAGAAGACCAACGTAGCTACCTGTCCTTGTCTCCTCTACTAAGTGCTGTACCTATCTGAAATGAAGAGTTCATCTGGTTTAATACAAGAAGGAGTGTGTAAAGTTAATAATTTATCTTACAGCTTCATTTCAGTATAAAAACACACGGGCGGTTTTAAAATAGATTTTCACGGTCAACAAAAACCCTCTGCACATCTTTGTATCATATACATTCATTAAGTTGTTGTGATGTGACCACGTACCACGCTGCCGAAGTAGCGACCCACAAAGACGTGGTTGAGAGAGGGCAACTCCAGATAGGTGGCCCCCAGGTCCCGGGACAGCTGCAGACCTTCACTGTGAGGCACACAGCTGCTCCAGTCAGACGCACACAGCGGACACGTACAGGGAGGACCTTCATCTGAACACAGAGAGGAGAATTTAATTCCAGTATTAAATCATTCAATCATATATATATATATATATATATATATATATATATACATATACATATATATATATATAAGTGAATCAGAGTTTAAGGGGCTACATGAGAAGATATACACGTGTCAGTGGTATTACATTATGCTTCTTAGGATGCATGAACCTAGTTTGAATTGAACAACTACTGCTGAAAATGTGTCACCGAATGAGCTGCACGGGGCCATGACAACATGTTGGTGTAACACTGTTCGTGTTTGTTAAAGTATTCAACCCTAACAGGAAATGAACTGCCATATGTGCCTTCAAGCAAAACACAGATCTAAACATATAAACATAAAGACAGAAGTCAAACAAAAAAATCTGCACACAGCTCTTAATTAAAGGGACAGTAAGTGATTGTGATCCAATAGGGTTTTTGTTAAACTCAATGAATATTTTAGTTTTGTTCTCTGAAAAAAAAGGAGAGATACTGAGAAACCAACACATTCTCAGTCCCGACTCGTCACATATTGACGCATGGTCAAGGCCCTTTGGCGTCGCTTGTTAACGCCCTGGGTACCCCTTTAGCATCATTTTTAGACGTTTAGGGCTCCGCAGTCAAGTTAGCAACGCTTAGCAACAACAAATATGCAATGTCCGGTAAAGTTAGCAACAAGACATATGCAACGTCAGGTTGCACTTTCAAAATAAAACGCTAGCATTTCAAAACATCTCCATTTTGAAACGGCACGTTATTAAAGTTGTGAAACGTTGCAATTTGGTTAGGTTTAGGCAACTAAACTCCTTGGTTAAGGTTAGGAAAAGATCATGGTTTGGGTTAAAATAACTACGTACATCAGTTAACACGTAAGCTAACGTCACTTGCGTAACTTATGCAGTTAATTTAACTTGTTAACTTCAATAAAAACACTTTACTACGTTGACTTTTTGTTTCACACAGGACACGAACACCGCTCTCCTGGTTCAAAGTCTGGGTTCTGGCTCTCCATCCATCTCCTTACTCAGTCTTTTCTGTTAAATATCATATACCTGCCTTTACTGTCAAAAACTGACGCTACAGGGCTTTCCCCACTGCGTTGAACTATGACGCTAAAGGGGTGCCCAGTGCGTTACAAACTGACGCCGATGGGTCTTGACCATGCGTCCATATGTGACGAGTTGGGGAGTGAGAAACAGCCAAAGAGGAAAAGGTCTGAAGAGTATTAACAGAGAAGAAAGGTATATGAGCAGGAAAAGGTTAACTTTGGAGGCCGCAGCTTCTGAGGGAGCACTGAAGGGAGGGGTTTATATTTGGCAGTTGAGTTCAAATATCAACAATCCTTCTGCAGAATCAACTACTCTCCCTTTAATTTAACCAAGAAATATTTCAATTTAACAGAAACCCTCGTGAGGCATTGTCAAGTTAACACCACAGGGCAGAACGCGTATTATACTGTACATCGTCATAAACACACACATCACTCAGGTGGTTGTGATCTGAATGAATAAGAGTCAATCTGCTACCCAGACAACAAAATGTATTAAAATAAATATCATACAAGATCATGTCAGATTGACTACAAAACACACGAAGCTACTTTGTGTGATAAGCAGAAGACAAAACACACAAATTATGTGAAAATAGAAAACAAATCTACACAGATAAAACATAAAAACCAGATGCCACAGTCGCATGTGCTTTCATGGTGTGGACTTGCCCTATGTCCTAATTCTTCTTGTCTGTCTCAGAGTGACTTTGTAGACAGCCAATGAGTATTTTAAAAGGGAGCTGTATACATGTGTTTTCCATTTTATGTGTCGTTGTGTTTTGTGATGTTGGTTCCTGAAATTTCATTAGGTTTTCTTTGATTTTATACGGATGTGTTTTGCACTTCCAGGCCACAATTTTTACACGTTCAAAGAAAAAACCAAGGATTCTTTTACAATAACAGAAAAGATAGATCATCCAAATACATCAGATCTGCAACGGCACGTGCACTAGGACAAGCCATGCTGTGGTATGTGTGCATGGGGACCAAAGACACAGAATCAGACAGGAAATTTGGAGGGATTAGCTTGAATGGGGGAGGGGGGGCTGCACAAAGGAGGAGCAAGCCAGAGAGAAAAGGAGAATGAGTTGGACATGCAGCTAAGTGCTGAGGCATTTGATAAATCATACCACTAATAACCTACAGGCATGACACAGAGATGGAGCTGGACAGTGTGTGTGTGTGTGTGTGTGTGTGTGTGTGTGTGTGTGTGTGTGTGTGTGTGTGTGTGTGTGTGTGTGTGTGTGTGTGTGTGTGTGTGTGTGTGTGTGTGTGTGTGTGTCTGTGTGTGTGTGTGTGTGTGTGTGAGAGGCAGAGTGAAAAGCAGAGTGTGTGTGTGAGCGTCTGACAGGCGGTGACTTGGCATATCAGTGGTAAGTTTGTGCGCGTGAGTGTGTGTGTGTGCGCCCTTGGATGAATCTGTCTGTGCCCCTGCGTTCAGCGCGGCTTTAATGGCTGCATTAATGCACGTATGGCAGCGCTCTCTGCCACAGACGTGCCTTAGGTGGTCTTAAGTCGAGCAGCGGGAAGCTCAGCCGTCATTCTCTGCAGTCATGAGGGCATAGCATGAAAATACTCACAGCGGCTGCGAACAAAAACACAAACAAAGGCTCTGGTCTACAGGTACCCACTCCCTATCCTCCTCCTCTCTCTAGCTGTTTCTGCCAAAGACTTGACTCACACTGTGATCATTCTGCAGCGGAGCTCTGACAGGATCTCAAAGTATGCCGAGAAGACAGGCTAAAAATACAACCTTGTGCATTTGAGCAGCTTGTTTAAGGCATCTGGATTTGACAAGGGGTCAGTGTGTGTGTGTGTGTGTGTGTGTGTGTGTCTGCAAAAACACATGCAGACTCACTGAGGTGCCTGCCAGTATACACATGTTCACTTCTGATGTGTTAAGCAGCCAGTAAGGCCACACCCACCCAAGCGCTCTAGTTCTACTTGAGCGATAAACTGTTGGTGAACTTTCGAGCCATGCCATTGTTCTATATATTTGAGTGCTGTGCGAGCTCTTGTCTGCCTACAAGGCTTACAGGGCCAAAACAATATAACCTTAATGTCCTGCTTTGTTTGGTGTGTTTTCTGCAGGGAAGCATGTGAGCTGACAGCCGGAAGGAAGCCAAGAGGAGATTTAATCATGGCCATCCTCCTCATTGCTGGGAGGACACACTAGAGGACACAAGGCTGAGACAGAGATCTCACTGGCCCAACGAGAAGAACATGTCCCGAAGGCAACATAAAATTAACCCTAAAATACCAGGATATCAAATACGGCGGCTGAGAGATGAGAAATTTTGCATTTGCTGCCTCTCGAACTCCATTGTTCACGTACAACAATGACAAACTGCTAGAGGAATCATCAGCTGTCAAGGCGTTGTTGGCACAACCAAACTCACTCTGGCTCTAACAAAACCACGGAACAAAAGCGCCCTCACCGTTCAGCCGCGCTCCAACAGCGACCAGGATGACAGGCACGCCCCAGTGCCTCAGGAGCGGGCGGAGTCTCGGGGCATAGCCGTTCCTGACCTGCTGGAAGGCCAGCTTGTCAGTGACTGAATATTTAATGACCAGGATGTCAGCCTGCTCAAGAACTTTCCGTACGCTGGCCCAATCGCTGTCCAACAAGTCCTGGAAAGTCAAGAAAAGAAAAAGGACAGCAAATATAAATAGAAGGTCAGAGGAGAACAGACACACAAAAATGGCAGTAAACAGAATTGCCTGCATACCATCTCTGTAGCATGAATCCCCCCTCTGAGTGTGGGGTAAATACCTCAGTGTGGCTCTTAGGACTTTACCCCTGAGGGCCGGTGTGAGGCTAGCTGCTTGCTCTAAACCAACCTAACTCAACTTATTAGGCAGGGGGGGAAAAAAACACTTAAGAAAGCTGTGCGCATTTTGAATAAAAAAGGACAAAGAGGCATAGAATTTGACTGACAGACTCTGCACAGCACCACCCCTGACAGGGTTAGACAGCCCTATAATAGGACGCATACACTGCTGCTACAAAATCATAACAGTGCTTTCATTTCAAATTCATATGCTATTAGGAACAAAAGTTCTTTCATCATTTTTTTTCTGCGCAGTGCATGTTAAAATAGCGTCCTCCTAAGAATAGAGACATTTTTACAAAGCCTGCAATCAGTGCTGGAAGGCGCCTTGGAATTTGTGCGTCTTCTGAGAAACACAAGCAGAGTGAAAGCGAGCAGCAGATCATTGAAGTGAGGCCACACTCTTTCACAGTGACAATGCTCTGGCAAAATTGCGCCACTGTTTGATATTTGCCATCTTGGCCTGCCCAAACCTTCCTCTGCAAATCAAGGATGATTTGGTATCAATGAAGAAGGTGTAGCTCCCCTATAATAATACTGGGGATGGACAAATGAATGAACAGAACAAGTCAAAGCAAAGATTCCTACTGCATCATGCCAGTCTGCACACAAACACACCACTGGTCTCTTACCCAGCTGGGGCAATCCCGAACCACTACAGTGACATCTCCAAACACACGTGAGGTGTACTCCATGAAGGCTGGGTTGTGCAGGCTGCTCTCCAAGTCGCAGGGTCCCACCAGCGCTCCGTGACCAAGGTAGCTCCACAGCAGGCCTCCCTGCAGCTGCCCCTGGCCCATGATCTCCTCCCCCGGCCCGACTCCTCCGGGGCACTCGCTGCCCAGAGCCACAATGTGGATGGACCTGTAAGCCAAACAACTCGTGTTTGAAAGTGACTTGAATGAAGCAGCAGCACACAAGCAGATGGTGATACAGAAGTAGCAGTGAAGAAGAGGAGGCACCAAGCTTTGCTTTGGTCCTTATTATTCATGTCTATCACGGAGACAGTGCATCACCGTCATGTCACTGAAAATGACTGAGAAGAAGCATGCCAAGGCCTTTATTACACCTGAGAGGGTATTACGGTTCAATAAATCTGACACTTTTAGAAATATTTTCGGTGCTGTATTTATATTTATCAAGCATACTGACAAAAATAAAGCAGCCCAACAGGAACCCCTTCCCCTCACATCCCCTAATGAGTTGCAGCTTCAGAGCAACTTACATTGTGGTCACCGCGGTTTTTGTTCCGCTGCTCTACGCTATGGAGCCCTTTCCCCTCACGGTGCGTTTCCACGCCAGTCTGCAGTCAGACTCGGCTTTTTCCGCAATGAGCCGCGGCTCCGCTCCGTCGTTAATTCCTCTCATCGGCGGCTGCCCCCCCGGGAGCCCGGCTGCTGGGGAGTTTCGCAGTCACTCGCATTTCCCCGTCTCGTTATTCATTCATAAAAGCGGAGCCCGATACCGTCCCGAACTGACCGCAGAGGCGCACCGGACAGCCCAGCCGGCGGCGGAGCAGCAGCAGCGTGTGAACAGCAGCGCCCATGGACAGCCAATGCGCTAACAGACAAACAAGTTGTCAGTCTGTAGGAAACACAATTAACGGCGAGGAGAGAGCAGCCTCGCGCCTCGGTGTCCAGACCATATGAATGACGTAGGCGAATAAAACAAAAAAAGTCTCACTGCCAAATAACAACTGGAAGGAGGAGAGAGAGAGAGAGAGAGAGAGAGAGAGAGAGAGAGAGAGAGAGAGAGAGAGAGAGAGAGAGAATGCAAAGGCTGAATAGAGAGCGGTCGCGCCTGACTCAGCAACACGCACGCGGGCATTCACGCGTAGAAGCAGCGCGCGCCAGCACACACGAGCACCCTGGCCATATGACCATGCTGTCGACGTGCAGGAAATGACAGCGTTGTTTTGTTCACTCAAACACAGTTTTGCACCTTGTTGTCCTCTCAGATCTGTCCGTTTCACATTCAAACAATTGACACTGGATGCCACCACATGAATAGACACGAAAGGAATGGCCAAGAGGTTGATAGTGACAACCCTATTAAGCAAGGGTTAGGAGACAATTTGCTTATACTGCAAGAAAATATAAAATACTTTGGTTTGCTTTTATTTTGGGGGGGGGGGGGGGGTCAGTGTTAGTAAGCTATAAAAGGTGATAAGGAGATCTGGTAGTCCCTCTTGGACAAACTCCAAAGGGCCAGAGCTTTCTGAGAGGAAGCATAGCTCAAGCCTTAAAGGGTTGATCAGAGCGTTGTGTCTCACTCCGAACCATGATGAATAGTGCAGACATAAAAGCATCATAGAGTATTTAGGCCTTGGGTTTGAATGCCCTGCAACACTGTAAATCCATGCTCCTTACACACTGTGCAATAGCCTTCCTCTGAAAAAAGATGCACTCGCCCTGCTAAGCAGCTAAGCAGACAGTCTGCTCTTGTCTTGACAAACAGCCCTCCACTTGACCTATTGCAAATGTCCACCTGCACATAATGGCCCCCGCCTTGTATCAAGATTCTAAATTTCACTTCCTAATCATATTTTACTATTTAATGTGTAGTAACCTTGCACAAGTTACAGCCCCCTCCTTCCATGTAGCCCATGGCCATGTGCACTTCTTGATTGTATTTGAAGTGTCACACTGGCAGAGGCTTTAGACTGTGTTGTGAGTTTGCTGCAGGCCAGCTACAGAGACCATCATCATTCATGCACAAGGAAACATCATACCCACAGCCTTTGTGTTGTTCTAGGGCCATATCACTGCTACCCTACACCACAGGCACAGAAACAGAGAAATCATCTGAATGTGACAAGCTGTCTTTACAGCAAATTATAGGCTATAACCAAATTATTTCACTTTGCATGTTATGTACAGAATGGCTATGAAAGCCATTATGATTCAACTTTGTATTTATTACTATAATTATGTAAAATGTATGACTTGTAACTGAAAGCTTGTGTTACTAACCAGAGGTGTGGAGTTTGAAAGACATGGGTGTTTTCCAGGCAGGGAGGGTCGCTATCAAGATGAATTATGGGAATTGGAGCCAGCATTTTTGGAGCTTGACCCGTTCTGACAAAAACTAAAAGTCTTGGCCGCTGCTTTGACAAGTTTTACCATTCTTTTTTCAATCTGTTTCTTGCAAGTGCCTCAGTTTTATGGAAGCGCAGTGATAAGTTGCTAGAGTAATCCTTTAAGTACGACAGTGCCACATAGCAAAATGTAACAAAGTTAGGTTTAGAGATATTGGTGACATCATGAATATTAAAGGAATAGTTTTGAGAGCACAGTGGAGACATTTTGAGAAATGCTCTTATTTGCTTTCTTGGCAAGAGTTAGATGAGAAGATTGAAGGCTGACTGTTCAAAACAAAACCCTGAATATCTATACGGAATATGGGGACAGTACCTTCCAGCCAGCCACTGTACCTGCATGAAGCTGCTGTCAGCACACCGACCAGGGATTTGGTCTGTGTCCTCAAGAAACATGTCACAACGCAAATCCTAGTATTTGCAACACGTGTCCTGATGTTCATGCTTTCTGATGTTATCTGAGGGAATGAACGGATACAAAAAGTGACCAGTATTGTGGTATGATCTTTTTATTTTACATTAACGATTTCCCACTTTAGGACTTTATCGATCAGCAAAAACCTTTTTATCTTATTGATTCATTCACTGAATGCGTAATACATGAGGAATATTGAAATGCAGAGGGATACACCAGTGTGGGCACATTTTAGCCACCTCCTGCCACTACCTAATTTGAAAACAAAGAACCAGAAATCTAAATTCATTCATAAAAATGTTTATTCAGTGAACTATGTAACAGGGCAATGTGTGACCACATTTTTTAGTAAAACATTTTTAGACCATTTAAAAAGCTAGCAAGCCACACATCAAGTAATTTAAAATTCTAAATGCTCCCAAACTCATTAAAACAAGACCAGTTTTTAAGCCCATGCAAGCCCTATTGATTACTTGAGGTAGAGCATGGACTACGTGTTATTAAACATCTCTCTACACAGTTATCACCCAAACATTTAGAGGAGATCATAGGAGACAAAAAAATACTATAGAGATGCCATTCTCATCCATGTGTTACTATTATCATTCTTCTCCTCGGCTGCTTCTGCTTTGGCCCTTTCCACCTTGCCGGCCTCTCCCTGGTAGAAGTCTGAATCGACCCAGTGCCTGTCCTGAGAGAGCTTGACATAGACTTCCCCGTTGCTCTCAGTGACCTCGTGGATCCGCTGCTTCACACCCTTGGAGTACCATCTGGGCACAGGTGGCTTTTCCTGGGGGTTGGTGCCCTTGTATAAGCCCTCCCCTTCGGCAAGAGAGATCCTGTACTTGTGCTTTGGACAAATTATGCACAGCTTGCCGTCAATGTCCTGTGAATGTGTTGAAAGAAAGCAGGTAAACAACCTCATGTGGTGCTAAGTGTAGGTCACTTCCAAGATTAGCATAACATTAAATTAATACGGGTTTGATATCTTAATTACAGCGGTTGCTTTTAAGGATTTTAGTGCAAAAACACAAAAGCACAGTCCAGCACTTTAACTTAAATGACATTTTGGCTTCTTTTCTCTGGGTCAGACAAAAAAAACAACAACCCACAAGCTCTTGTAAAATGTAAACCTCACCTCAATGTCTCCATTCTGCAGCATTCCCCCAGCATCTGTTGAGAGGGTAGAGGATCAGTGTATTGCAGAATAAGCTAACAGTTTACAGCAGACTAACCTTTTGCTGACTGGACACACTTTAGAGGCAATATGTGCTAAAATGTCCTATGGATAACAAAGTAAGGCAGGCCAGCGTTAAATGTCCCATGACAGGATTTCTATTAGCAGCAACCTATTTTGAGTTGGTTCAGTGAAAGTAAGCACATTGATAACATTTTTGAAAATATGCCAATATTTTCTGTACTGTTGGATAAAGTCTTACGGCCAATAACACTTTTCATGTATTACCAGATTTGAAGGGAAACCAAAGCCTAATGGTCACACTTTCCCCTCTCTCATAACAGCTGTTTTGAGTTCAGCACAGGTACTCACGATAACAGTAAGAGTCTATAGCATAGAAGACTCCCAGATGGTGGATGATCAGTACATCCCGACCTTCTAATGTTCTGAAAGAGCGCTTTGCTTCAATCAATTCATTGGTTTTCCCCACAAAATAAGGCCCTCCTGTGGTCTGCTCCTTCGCCTCCATGGCTCTGTCAAATGCTGTTCAGACTGCAAGCAGGAAACTTCACAATTCAGTATTCATCACAAAGAACCATGTTATTTTTCTTTACCAAATCACAAGAGTGGTCGTAACTACCCTGCAAGCAATGCCCTCTGTGCATTAACTATGCCCCGTTTCCAGGTGAGAACTTTAATCTTAACTACACGCATGAAAATTGTGACTTCTGGATTTGTAACTGGGATTATTGTGTTGGCACACTACATCACAGTTGTCAGCTTAAAATAAATCCACAACACTTCCAGAACATTCAGCTTGAAGAATCCAGACAAGGACATCTCTTGGTACGAATCTGCTCTACACGTACTCAGACCTGACATTTTAATGCCTAATATCTGTGTCATCGTCATAAGGATTTTTTTTCTTGTTGTGTGTTCCTTAAATACAAAATACCAGACCAATGAACTGCCTCATGATACAGCTTGCATGACCTACACAAAGTGACACAAGTGGGCCAAATGCAATGACATAAAACATAAATTTGTCTGTCATCCCTCTACAAAAGCATTGGTCATCTAAACCACAGTCCAACATCCATGAGTAATCTCTATGACAGCCAGTATATACCAAAAATATCTGGATGCAGGGGAACCTGACCCCATGTGTGATTCATGTATAGCGGAGTGGAATAATGAGCGCTTCAGTGCAGGCTGAGTAAGCACAGTAGTAGTAGAAGCGAATGTCGCATGTCCTGAGGCCTCTGGCTAAACCACAGGCAGCTACATGCTATGAAGGAAGGAGCTACAGAAAAGCAAAATAATTGTTCATGTCAGGAAAACAATACATTTTCTTTAAGTGAGTCCTAAAAGACTATAGGTCTAATTTGTACAAATCCTTCAAAGTAATTTTTTTGTGCATCCTCTCTGTCTGTCTGTCCGTCTCCTTATATATTTTTACTTGAAAGTACCAGAACATGTATTTTGGGTAAGTTTTTGTCTTTACCTTGAAGCTCAGCAGCAGTGACTCCTCCATCCAGCGGAGCAACTGCACTTCTGGCAGTTTGGCTTCCATGAGGAGGAGGCCCCATCTCCATTATCTTTAGACACAAGCTGTCTTCAGTTGGCCCTATCTACACTGGGTACATGTCTTATCTGTCTCCCACAGGCACAAGAGCAATTTCATTATAAAGAACACTGTACGTTTATCATAAAACCATGTCTAATCTGTCATTTCTAGAGATTTCTAACAGGATGAATCGCTCTATTTAAATCTACTGATAAATATTAAGATATATATATGTTGTTATTTATATTATTGTTGTTTTATTATTAGGTCATTTTAGACTTATCAATTCATGTAATTCAAGCAATTATTTGTTATGTTTGTCAGGGGTTGCTGACATGACAAACAGATTTTAAAAACACAGTAGGTAAACTTTCCCAGATATTTAACAATGGCATTCATTATAAACAGGTTGCCCTTTCAATGATAAAAAGTTACTCAATTATATACAGTGTGTGTGTGTGTGTGTGTGTGTGTGTGTGTGCGTGTTCGTGTGTGTCAGTGGGGGACAAAGTATGTAGATCCTTTACTGAAGTGAAAGTACTAATAACAAGTAGGCTAACAAGTAAACATTCAGCATTGAAAATGTTTCTAAAGTAAAAGTATGTAAGTATAATTAGGAAAATGTACCTAAAGTAAAGAAAAAGTACTCAATGCAGAAAGAAAAATGTCATGTGACTATTAATCATGCTTTAATGTAAAAACAGGATTTTACTGTTGTAATTTTTGAGGGGGAACTCATTTATATTACTATTTCACATTTTCCCAGAGCCCAAAGTGATACCTTCAGAATGTTTGCTTTGTCTAACCAACAGTACAAAGTGCAAAATTATTACAAATCAATTTAAATAATTAAAAGGAAAAGATCTTCAGATTTGTGTGTTATGGAAGCATGAAAAATATTTACAAGAATGAAAGTTGTTGCCAGTTGATTTCAACGTCAGTCTAATACTGTGTCAGTTGTAAAATGTTGTGTAGTTTAATTTGCAACAAAGAAAATTTATTGAGTCCTCATATGTTTTGTCTGTAAAAAAAGCTGTCAGATAAATGCAGTATAAAAAAAAATACATTATCTCCCTCTGAGATGCAGGGGAGTAGAAAGTGGCATAAAAAGAAAATACTTAAGTGAAGTACCTTTAATGTGTACTTAATCACAGTATTTGAGTAAATGTACCTAATAACTGTCCACTGTACATTTACTCAAGTTTTACTCTGCTGTATGTATCGGCAATGAGCCATAGTTCCTAGTAAGGCTTTACATACAAAACACAGAATCAATAAATAAAACAATACATCATTATAGATTAGTGTAACAGTGTATAAAGTCGTAACAAAAAAGTAATTATAATCAATTAACACACTACAAGGCTATATTATATTATATTGTTTAAGCCTTCTATCTTAATCATATCACAATGCAATATAATAATATTCCTGAATATAGCCAATCTGCATAAGGAGTAGTTTTATTGATTTAATATAACTTTGAACGTTGAATCTGAACACCTCTTTCACCACTGGCAGCAGTAGTCTTGCCTCGAGTCCTGTCCAAGCAGTTTTACAAAGCGGAACTGTTTGAGTCCGTATTCAAAGAGCACCGACCGGCCGGACTCATTTCCCAGAGCACCGCTGAGCTTCGCTGTGCTCTCAGCCGGAGAGAAACCAGAGAAACCCATATTTTGTCGCAGAGAATAGACCTTAAGTAGCATCCACAAGAAACATCCAGAGCCCAGTCACTGTTTGACATCTGTGCGAGCAGGTAAGTAAGATAGCTAACATGCTACAGATTTATTTAGCTCTGCTAAATCATCGTGCTGGCGCAGTAGTGTTGTTCATGGGCCTGTAACGTTAAACCTGTAAGATCTGTGCCTGTCATTCATTTTCTGCTTTTTGAATACACAGCCAAAGATATGATCGGCCTGATTGTGTTTTTTAATTCCAACGTTGTTATATTAAAAAAAGAAACAGGCTAATTCCAGTCAAAAGCAACACTGCTGAAATTTGTCCTGACCAAAAGGTCCTACAGGTTACCTCATTATTGAAAGCCAAAGCTAGGCCACTATGTTAAAGAGGAAAACCTGTACTCCAGAGGTTTACTCTGACAGAATAAGGCTGGTGATATTTGGCTGGTATGGTGCTTGTCGTTACCATGTGGATCTGTTAATATCCAGTAGTATGGGGGGTACTAGTGAATGTGAACAGATTTCACACAATTATGTTAGCCTTAAATACAGTATATTAACATCATAACAGTTTGTATTTTAGTTCACAGAACTAATAAGACCAAACACCCTATAAAAGAAAAGAAATAAGTAATAACGTGAAACTTTTAAAAGTTTTTTATTGTACGTTACAGGTACAGTTTCATTTAACCTCCCTAAAGTGCAAAGGGTCACACTTTACAACAAAGGAACACAAAGTAATGCAGAATGTGTTTGTGTGTGAAGTTTCTGAACAGGAAGATGGTGCTGCGTGCTTGTGGCTTTATAGTGTTTCGTCGTCTAGCTAGTCGTGTCCCTCCACCAGACAACATCGAGTACCTCCTCTTGCAGACCTCTTATGGGACACACCACTGGACCCCGCCCAAAGGTGTTTACAAGTTCAAAAACAGCACATCTATCAGGTCATTGATGAGAGATACTAATGAGCTGAATTCTACTCGTATAGCTTTAGATGTTCTTTGTGCCAGTTCCGTCTAACCTGTTCACCATCAGGTCATGTGGACCCAGGCGAGGATGACCTCACCACAGCTCTGAGAGAGACCAAGGAGGAGGCCGGGCTGGGGGCGGAGCACCTGCGGGTGATTGACGGATTTTTGCAGGAGCTGCGTTACGAGGTGCAAGGAAAGCCCAAAGAGGTGCTGTACTGGCTGGCCGAGCTGAGAGACCCAGGGACAGCGGTTACTTTGTCTGGCGAGCACAGGGACTACCGCTGGGCACGGCTGGAGGAAGCCTGCACTCTGGCTCAGTACAAAGACCTGCAGGACACACTGAGATCAGCACACAGATACCTGGGGGCTCTGCAGGACAAACAGTGATGAATCAGAATGGAGACTGTGCAGACAGGGATGATTAAAGAAAGGAAATGACTGTCAGCTGGCATGTGGGACCCTTAGACCATAGCTTGGAATAGTGAATCCAATGTGGCAGTATTTCTGCTGTGATTATGTGATTGATACTTCTGTCTCTGTCAGGTTTAAATACTGTTGAAGTCTATTTAAATTCTTTGTCTCTACTGTACTGTGCAATGTAAGGCTGAGTAGATTCCCTTCTGTTAAAACAAAGGCGAGTAGAGAGGAAATGAATTCTCTGAAACAAATTCTTGACAGCCGATTACTGATGTGATCTTAGTCACTGCACTAAAACGAGATTGTCTGTGCCTTTGAATCTTTTAAGTCATATGTAATTAGATTACATGCATAAATGTTTTCAATGTAAATAAACTAAAATGCAAATCTGAAGGAGAAACAAATGAAAGAGATGGACACCCTCATCATTAGAACAGCGTAAACCTGAAGAGGGGCATATGTATTAACACTGTAGCTAGAAGCAAAGTTTTGCGTACCTGGATATTTATAAAATCATCTTTTAAATATATACAAGGGGAACCCCTTTTATAGACCGTCCATGGGGAGCCCACACCAATAAAAAAGAAAAGACAGTAAAAATACCTCGCTCAAGCAAAAAGACGACTGGATAAAAATAATTTGTAAGCACCAGATGCTGCCACAGGGTGGGGACAAAAACAAGAAATCTTTACAATACATGTACATTTGCTACCATTAGAAAACACTGCAGGATGTAGAAATGTACTTTAGATGACCTTTGAGCTCAGTAACAGCCTTCAGGCCTTTCCCCATCTGCTCTTAGCATCCAAATAAAAGTGAGATACACCTATTGCTTTTGCAAACGAGTTCCTGTCCAGAAATTAGAGATCATTTTATTATGTTAGAAACAACAGCCGTAAAATTTAATAGAGACGATGATGATACAATGAACATCAAGTTAACAATACTTTCCAGGAACAAAATACTAAACTATATAATTATACTAATGAAACAATTTGTAAACACCATACATTTGTCTGTGGACACCTGAAAGATTACCATTTTTGTGATGTCTGTCCTTGACTGATGAAGGATTAGTCAAGATATTTTTCAAGCAAAAATATTTAAGCAAGTGATTTAAGACAAAAAAAATGTAATTGAAACCAGTCAGCATTGGCACCTCATCCTCATTTTGAAAAGAGATGACTGAGCAGTGTTTTTTATGTATAGTCAGCACGGACACTTTTAATAAGCTGGAAATAATCATAACATTCAATGTCTTTTTTAAATCCAGGTAACTAATCCTCATATAATTCAACAGTCTTAACAGTGTTATGAAATAAAGTCATACTTTATCGACTGAGTATAAACCTAAAAAGCTGGAAGTAGCACACATACGTGTCATCCAAAGGTAAATGGTGACATTCAAGTGGGACTTGAAACTTGACCCTGGTCACTGGTACTGCTACATTGTACTATGTACAGGAACATGTTGTGCTCTCAACGTAATGCTGCAGGATTACATTAATAGCCTCTGCTGAAGGGATGAAATGAGGGTCATTAAAGAAACAAATATGGTCATAAAACTCAAAAAGCAGGGTGGAAGCGCTCACTTCAATGAATTGGCATTTTTCATTTTAAGAACGCAAGGTAAACAAAAAAAACATTATTTACATTAAGCAAAAGCAGATATATTGCTTTAAGACCCATCGTGGCATCATTGAACCAGTAATTAATTAAATGCCTGGTAGAGCATGAAAGCTACTTTCTCAGTCATATGAGACAACGAATAGAAATTCTTCATTCACTTCATGATTAAACATCTACTCAGCAACTTGGTAGTTTATGTGTGATCCGGCTTGGATGTCAAGGGGCCTTAAAGGCAATGCTGGTGGTTTGAGTTGCCCAGGACATTCATTGTTTAAGGTTCTGCTTTGTTCGTGGTCCGCAAAGCATTGGAAAATTTTATTAAAAACATTCAACAGTAACGTGACGACTAGTGTTGTAGTCAAGACCGCCCAAACCGAGACCAAGTACAGACCAAGACCAGAGTTTATTGAGAGCAAGACAAGACCAAGACTTTTAGGGGCTGAGATCAAGTCGAGACCAAGACCGAGGGAGGGTGAGACCGAGTCAAGACCAAGACCAGTTCCCCACATTACATGACACACAATAAAATGTGGAACGAGATCATAGGTACATAGGAACCCACATACAAACACTAAGAGCTGAAATCAACGTAAGCATCTTTATTCAACAGTCCTTTTACCATCGTGGTTAAGAGTTACAGTCGTTAACGAGAACAACACATTTTAATTAGGGTTATTGGTTGCATTTGAAGCAATATGTTTTACATCCAATCAAAGTTAGGATGTTAACAAATAAATCAGACAATGCACAAGCAATTTATTGATATTGCCAAAGTTATGGTCTTGACTGGTCTTGAAATAAAATCCAGAGTCCTCAATGTCAGAGACAAGACCGAGTACAAATACGGTCAACACCATCAAAAAGTGATCTTAAGGCCGGTCTCGAGTACTACAACACTAGGGACTTCAATGGAACAGTGTCACACTGTCAGCATGCTTCATAGGGGCTATTTCTTTGGTAGAAAGTAGTTCACATAAAAGCTGTTCACACTGAGGTCTATGGATTATCCAGAGCAACAGGGACATTATTTATGCTGTAACATCTTTTAAATGTCACTTTTTCAATGTTGTGTGCACAACAAATTTCCATTCAAATCAATTGTATTGAAGTATAGGCAGAAATCTCAAGAGAGAGACATCTCAACATCTTGACAAAGTACACCTAAAGTGTATGTGTGGCAGGACACCACATTGCGATTTGGGTGAACCAACATTTTAAGCTAATAAATTCACTATAACACACCAATAATCCATGTACCGTGTAGTAGTGACTACTGGTCAATGGCAAAATAAGGTGAAAACCTTTCAGCAGGCTTGAATTACATACTGTTTTATTTTGAATGATTTCCCAATTTAACCACAACAACTTTATGGCTCCATTTGCATATCACTCCTACTTTCATTTCAAAAAACAACTTGCTGTGCTCTTTTCCATGACATGTGGGCTTAGCAACAGATATCTATATTGGCAAACAATCCCAACAATGTAGTATCGTTTTGTTTTTTACAATAGAAACTTTATGGGCGACATTTGCATCCTCACAAACACAAAATGAGGGTAAAAATTACATAAAATTAAAGAAGAAACCAACAAGGACATTATTAACATCAATAAGTGTGGACACATTGTGGTAGCATTGTGTACACACACAGGTCAGTCCATCAAGTGTGTGACCATGTGAAGGCCCACACACAAAAAAAACACACTTGCGCATACACATGCTCACACACAGAGATTAAATGAACAAAATGATTTCATTCAGTCTTTTATCTCAACATCTCAGACTGCAGACCTTTTTAGTGAGTCATTTCTTAGGTTGAGTTTGAGAATTATCATCATCACTCGGAGATAATTGTTGGTTGCTATCTTCCCTCAAAAGGCCTCCTTAGCTTTTCTCCACCTGCCCTCATTGTAAAAACAAGGCATACATTTCAGTAAAAAAGAGAATTTTCAGATGAAAGAGCTCTAAAATGATCGTTGAATTGCTATCGTAAGGGCAACATTACAACTAGGCTTCACTCTAAAAAAAAACAATAATGCCGATTCTGATTTCTTCATTTGTAATAGGAAGCAAAAAATTAGACAATTGATACCACTCGTGTGTGTTTGTTAAATATTAAACTAATGCCAGCAGTCGGTAGGCTTAGCTTAGCACAAAGACTGGAAACAAAGGGAAACAACTAGCCTGGCTCTGTCCAAATGCAGTATATATACACATATATATGTATATACAAATATACACATATATATACATACATATATATACACATATATATACATATATCTTGTTTGTTTAATCTGTTGTAAAAAAAAGTGTGTGTATATACATATAAATACATATACACACACACACACATTATATTACACACACATACATATACATACATATATATACATATATATACACATATACATATATATACACACACACATATATATACACACACATATACACACATACATATATATACATATATATATACATATATACACATATATACACATACATACATACATATATATATATATATATATATATATATATATATATATATACACATATACATATATATATATATACACATACATACATATGTACATATATATACACACACACTTTTTTTTTTTACAACAGATTAAACAAACAAGATATAACATGTTAATTTGTGAACTTTAGAGGTGCTGGTAGGTTGATTTTGTTACCTTCGGACAGAGCCAGGCTAGCCGTTTTCCCTGTTACAGTCTGTGTGCTAAGCTAAACTAAGTTCATATTAAAAGAAATAGCTCAACATGTTGGGAAACACACTTCTTTGTCATTTAAATATAAAGCTACAGTCAGCAACCTGTTAGCTTAGCTCAGCATAAAAACTGGAAACGGGTGGAAACGGGTAGCCTGGCTCTGTCTCACAGTAACAAAGTCAGCCTACCAGCATCTCTAAAGCGCACTCATAGACATTATATCTTGTATCTATATCTTGTGCAAAAACCTAAGAGAAAAAAACGTCAATTTGATGTTTCATGGGGGTTATGTGGTGCACCAATTTCTTGGCTTTAAGCAGTTGGCAGGCAACCAGCTGAGACTCTGGGGAGTTACTACTCCCAGCCAAGAAATTGTACGGCACGCAATACCCATAAAACAACAGATTGCAGTTTTTACACTTTGTTTTTTGGACAAAATGTGACATAAATTGGTTTTAATTCGCAAGCTTAAGAGGTGCTGGTTGGTGGATTTTGTTACTGCTCGACAGAGCCAGACTAGCTGTTTCACCATTTCAAGTCTTTGAGCAAAGCTGAAAACGTAGTTTCATATTAAACGGTCAGATGTTAGAGTGGTATGGATGTTCTCATCTAACTAAATAAGCGTATTTCCCAATACATCAAACTAGTCCATCAGCCGAAAACATGAGATTGGTACATTTTGTTACGAGGATTTTACTTCTTCTCTATATGGTGAGGGAAGGGCAAAACATGACAACCACATCAAGAGTCAAAGTTCGGAATCTCTGGCATCTATCCACCTCCTATTGTGTCTTATATCAAATCCATTTAAGATCTGGTTCAGGAGTGGATTTTCTCTCCACATCCACAACAGAATCCAGTCTCCTTGAGCCTCCGAAGCACAGGGCCAGGAGGAAATGTTTCACTCTTTTGGCTTCACATTAAAATCCAACAGTTTATTCAAACAGTGTTAAATCCACTATATGCATCCATTGCTCCATGGTCTTTAAAATGAATGCTTGTTGGGGCTGTACTCCGGTTCCTTGGCACCTTGGCATAAAATCCATCCATTTGAATCAAAGGTTTGTGCAGTGCTCCGTTGTGTTGGAAAGGGCGACAGATTCATACACACAACCATAAAACACAGGTCAAAATGTGTGGTTTACTTGATGCCTTACAAGTGATATTAGTCACATTATTCTCTTCAGTGTGCTCAAAAGGTTAATACTCAGAGGGTTGTTTTTTTATCAGTCAAACCCTCAGCTAATTCAGGCCTCCCAAAACAGCACAAGAACACAGTGCAAACACACAGTGTTTTCCCCACTTGACGAAGTCCAACCGGTCATCTGGGCAAACACACACGTGTGACAGAAGTCTGCACCTGTTGCACAGACAGGAACAAGAAAACCCTGACATTATAGTCAATAGATGTAAATACACACACACAGATAACAGGCAATCAGTGTCATATTCATTCAAATGTAAATGTGTATCTAAGCTGGATGATTTCGTCCCTGTCGATGAACAGACTGATGGCGTAGCACAGTAACGACATCCAAATTTGAAAAAAGTTGCATTTAAGCTGAAGTTGGAGTCACGGCGCAAAAAGGTAACATTTTCACATCTATCGCAACATAATGTGAGCATTGTCTCGAGGAGAGAGTCCCTACAGGTGTGTTTAGATTTTTTATTTTATTTTTGACTCTAGCCTACCAAGAAGAAAACAACTTACAGGACCCTGATCAGGACCAACAGCGACACTCAATCACGTGTAACCACGCTGGCGGTGGGATTGGACACTTTCAGTTCACCCTCTGCCCTCAAAAACCACCCGGTGATGCAGAAAGTAAGAAAAGGAGGTGGAGGTGAGGAGCAGTTTGTGTGTTAAGTTTCTCTTTGACTGTTTCTGTTTCTCTCTCAGTGAAAGTCTATTGAGGCCCTGAGGTTTAAGAGGCAGAGAGAGGTGTAGGAGGCGACGTGAGAAAAGGTCTTAACCTTGTCCCCCCCAAAAACCAAATGACGTTGCTTTGAGGGATTATGAGGGAGCAGTTGTGATGGACACTACTGAAGGTGGGTCCAAGAGGGGGAAGAGTCACGGCAGAGCCTGTGTCTGCAAGTTTAAGTTGACTGCATCAAAGTCGAACAGACAGGGCGTGAGAGGGACAAAGATATTCTGCCACGGGACACAATGATGGATAGTGACAGGACAAGCTGGCCAGCTCATGGACTGGTTAATGAGCCAAACAGCCAAGTGGCCATTAGCCAGCCTGTCTGTGCCATCCTGGGAAATGCAAGGGACAAGTCAGGGAGGACAGAACATCAACCAACTAAATAAAAGAAGTACATAGGAGAAAAAACCCAGCAATGAGTGCAGACACAGTGGAGAGAGCTAATCTTATAACACAAAACCATACAATCGGACATGGAACAGCCAGACGAAGAGCCGGCCAGCTACAGCAGGGTTCAAGTGACCACCACAAGGACAGTTTGTTTTCATCATTTATCAAAAACTAAGACAAGTTGTTTACTTTGTGGGTAGGTTTTCAAATAAAAAACACACACATTACTTAAAACTGATACGTGAGAGTTTTATCTTTGGATCTTTGGGAAGTGCTTTTAAGTAATTGATATACTTGTATATGAGATAGGAGATTGTCTAAAATGTTTGTTTCACCATGTATGCAGTATAATTGAAATATTAGGACATGTATGCTCCAACACAATGTTAATTATTATGTTCCAAGTAACTGTTACTGTTAATACTGGCAATGCCTGAACATGAAAAAAGGGACTGGGACCAGACCTACAGATGGCACCACAGTATAAAGCCAATATCCTTGTGAGACAGAACTGCATCTGCATCCAAGATGCAACAACAAAACTACAGTTAACAGACAAAGAAACTGTAGCAGTTACCAAACCACTTGTGTAATGGAAAAACAGGTCAAATGGTTTAGCATGGATTAAACAATTCAGAAATTTCATTGTTGAAGAATTAAAGAAACTTGTGTTGTTGTACTAAAGAAAAATCTACTTCATAGCTGCAACCAAACAACTTACACCGCAGCATGTGAGGAGTTACTTGCATGAAAGAGCGACTATAAACTAGAGTTAAACAAAGTGACAGAAATACTGTGTGTACTGTGTGTATGGCCTTGTCTGGAGTCAGTAACTTGCACATAATTAATTGCACAAAGACCGTAGAGTAACACCACTCTATTCTGCAGAAGCGTGAAATAAAACGCAAAAAAACACTCAAACAGTGCTGGAATTATTTCACTTCTCAAAACATCTGATGCCGGACAGAGTGCAGGCTGTGATTAAGGCAAACGGCTTTAAGAGCAGAGCTCTGACTTTAAGTGAAAACAGAACCAGCAAACATTTCCTGAAAATGTTTGTAATAGCATTTGAGAACTATTATTTGACTAGTCATGTGTATTAGTTTAATAAATGATGAAAAGTTTTTGGCAGTAGACCTTCGACCCCACTGTATGTGCAAACACGCGCACACACACACACACACACACACACACACACACACACACACACACACAACCGCAACACATCAAAGAGGGAGGGTTGTGGGCGGAGTTTGCAGGGAGGAGTTATCATCCAGATCATCACGAGTCTTCGTTGCCAGAGTCGTCCTGGTTGTCGTAACGTCTGGTGGACGTCCCGCAGTCCTCTGCGGCGCTGATCCCCCCGGCTTCACCTACAGACTCCATCTCGCTCTCGTCTTCCTCCTCGTCCTCCTCCTCCATGTCGTCGTCATAGAGGTCATCATAGAGAAGGTCTGAACTGCTGTCCTGGGAGGGAACCCGTGTCTGGACGCAGTACTCCGCCAATGTGGTTGGCACCTTGACGCCATCGCGCTCGGCGTCTGCTGCTGTTGACATCACCTGCTTCCTGTCAGCCAGAAGGGAATAAAATCTAAGTCAGTGTGTCGTGTTCTGAGTGGCAATATCGTCCCTCAGTCTAAGAGATTCCTCTGTAAGCACGTTACACATTTGTCTGTGCATGGGTGAAATACTCAATATTGTGTATCACCTGATAATCTCTGCGTACTCCTTGTCCTTGCCTTTGCTGTCCCTCCATTTGCGAAACATGACAGACGCATCCACGTTGGCCGGGGAGAAGGTGTTGGGCTCATTGAGCAGAGAGATCACACTAAGCAGGATAGTCCTGATCATGAAAGAAACACATACAAAGACACACACAGTGAAAATGAGGATCTCTAATATCAAATCCTGTCGTATGAAAGACAAGCTCTACACAGGCTTTTTGAAACTGCAGCAAGGTTTCGTTCCAGCCCAGACAGAGGCGTTACTTTACCTCTTTTCCCCCCTTGTGGTTAAATTACATGCTGCACCCACTCAGGTGTACAAATACAGACTCAGCACTTTACCTCTAGTCCTCTGCAAAACCAGTCCTGCTGACATTTTAAATTCATAAGGAATTCTGAAAGCTACCCTCCAGTCTGTCTTGTTCTTAAGATATTCGACAGAACAAAGGAATGCTAAAACTGTACTGTTCATTAACATTTCAAATTACATTTGATTTAATGTTGATGGATTTTGCGCTTTTTTGTCCATGGGCATGAAGCTGTTCTTATCTATTCTATATTCGAGAACTTCAATTTAACAGGATGTCCAGTGTGCCATTACTGAGCACAGATATTTTTAAAATGAAGTCCATTGTACTTGTAAGCCAGTGCTCAAATGAATATCCAGCAGAAATGCTATAAAAAGACTGCATGTCATTGTTAAAGTGCATACAGAAGAGATCTTACCTGACGTTCTGGGTGGGGTTCCACCTTTCAGAGGGTAGCTCCCCGCTCTGAGGGTCATCGACAGGAGGGTGCAGGATGGAGATGCACACATCTCCGTTCTGGAGAGAGTACAAAATACACTGTTTAACATCTGTCACGAAGACACGAAGATGTCTACATTTAGCCCCTAAATTTGACTAAACCATATAAATGTCAAGTTGGCATGATAATGGCCACAAACATTGTGTTAAAACATTTAATGACAAATGCAGAAATGTTTTACCTCGTAGATGTTGGGATGCCACATCTTAGTGAGGAAGCGGAAGGTCGGTGGGGAGTACGGGTAGTCAACTGGGAACTTGATGTGTGCCTGGCAGAACAAACAGAGGTTGACAGTCAACACATGTTTTACAGACAGACAAGCTTGACTTGTCACACCAGGTTTAAGTCCTTTGGGCCAGTGGGTCTCAGCTTGAGGGGGAAGCGACACCCGGGGAGATCATGCGTTGATGTTTTGGAGGTTAGCGCAGCAGACTAAAATGTGGAATGCGAAAAAAGAAACTTTATAACTTCTAAATAAACAAAATAGACGTTTTACAAGTTTGTAATGTTTGCAAGCCATCCTTCTTCAAGCAAGACAAATTCTTCCTTCGCGCTTTGTTAAACAAAAATGAAGTGAGAGAACACGAAGCAGCATTGTTTTGCAGGTGTCTCATGGAGATGCAAATTGGTATTAATTTAATTTTACAATTCAGGAACCAGAGATTAAGAACAGCTATGTTAAGATAAGTGTAAATGTGAAATGTCCAGACAGGAGTGATTTGACAAATTGGAAGTCAAACTGTAATGGTTAATAAAAAACAAGCTCTCTCTTGACTGACTTGTCCAGCCTCACGAGTTGACTAATAACAAATTGCCAAGAGAGACATATACTATACAATCACACCGTGAAGCACCTGACATCTCAGAAAGTCCCAAATAATTTCAATAGAGCAAGACATTAGGTGACACAACAGTTTGTGGACATGCTGACATACAGACATATACCAATACATCTTGTCTCTGTCCCAGATGCAGGACTACACAGTTCATGGTGTGTTCTTTCTTTAACCCACTGTCCCACAGGAGCCATGCAGGGTTCAGCAGCAGAAACACAGTTACACTAGTCAATCTCTTCCACCAATATATCATTAAATACAGGTCAATAACATCCGCGCCGATGCAGCTGTCAAGGAATTTCTATCTGTAGTGTATCAGACTCAACAGGTCAGGGTGAGCATTATATTTATTAATGTAATTATGTGGCCATCACAGTAGTTCAGGGGTAAGCACAGTATGTCTCAAATCATAACGTTCCTGGGTATTAAAGTGTTGGCATGCTCTATGTTGTACGTAACATGTTGCTTTTAAAGACAAGGTTACGTCAGTTGGAAACTCTAGCTATGGAACCTGTTGTACATCTCTGTCCCCAACTCTTATGTTGCTCTGAGGTCTCTAGTATTTTTTCCCTGACCGCAGGATAGAAGGTGTGATATAATCTGTTGTACAGATTGTTAAAAAAACCACTGAAACAAATGTGTGAGTCAAGGCTACATAAATAAAATTGATTTGACTTGACCAGAGATAACACAGGGATGTCACTGTAAAGGCAAAGCATAGCTCAATCAGTGATGCTCAACTACAAGGAAAGACCGCAGCTACGCCTACTCTGTATTATTCTGGCATTGCTGTAAGGCTACAGCGTCACCTGCATTGCCCCAACTTGAACGCGGTCCCTCTCACTGTACCGCAATTTCCAGATGTTACCGAATAACTAACATGAAAGAAAGAAGGATGAATCTCATGGTGCCCCTCTGTCTTACTCCTTCTCTGTGCTGAGGTGCCATTTATATCGGTCTTGCAGCTAAAAATAGCCGTCTGAAGCACGACCATCATACAGCGAGGGGGGGGAAGGCTGGACAAGGAGAACGGAGGGGCTAAAAAAATTTGAGAAATATAAATGGATAATTGAAAAGACTTAACTTTAAAACAGACACCTTCTGAGACTAGCAGAGGTGAGCAGGTAGGTGTGACCCAAGTCATTTCTGAAGTATAGCTTTTAAAAGTGCAACAACCATTATAATAAGATTTCGCTTGGTCTGACACTTTGGGTTCAAACACAGTCACAGTCTCAACTATCTGGCCGTTTTCCAAGTTGCAGCAGTCTCCTATATATCCTCCTTGGTAAGAAAAACTTGCCCAGGAGCACAGCTGCACTGTATACATAATATATAATCTTTGGCTAGCCTCTTGAATGTGTCTCATTGTCTGAAACATGGCGCCCTGTTGTTGACTGTAATGAATTCAGAATTTCTTTCCCTTTTGGGCATTAGAAAGTTTGGCCCCACCTTGAAATAGCCTCCCTCATACAGGGTGTTTGGGGGGCCGAAGATGGCCACTTCCCAGTTGTAGAGGTCAGACTCCTCCACCAGAGTGATGCGGAATCCCTCGACCGGCTGCTCCTGCAGAGACTTCAGCTCCATCATCAGGGCCTTCTGGGAACTAGGGGTTGCCTGTTGGGCCATGTTAATCCCACCTCTGACACCAGTGGCCGCAAATCAGTGAAGGGGGGCGGGGGGTATTGAAGAGAGGAAAGAAAAATGATGGGCTTAATGATATTGTTAGGATTCAACTCAAACGTCACATATTTTTACATTTCATAGTTACTTTTGACTCTACAGCAAACCTCCCACAGTGTGTTAGCTTTGTTTGCATTGACATTAGTCTGTCTGCAAAACGCTAGGACAAGAAACAGGAAGCCTGAATCGATTATAGCCACATAAAGAATCCAAACACAAACAGGATGTGTGGCCTGCCAAAGCTAGCTCAGGTCAGTGGTTTAGTTCGCAGGCCCTTAATGGGGGGGGGAGCAAAGTTAATACAAAGTGTTTACCTCTGTCTCCTGGCACTGTAATATGTGTTCGTTTCGTTACAGCTGAAAACCTGAAGGTAAACTCATTGGTTGTCCATGCTAGGCTGGCTATGTCTTGACACAGAGACAGTGAGTGGATTTTCTGATAGAGCCTATGGCTGGTCCTCGTGCTGAAATTCTTTGTGTGCCAGTGTTGACAGTTGACATGGAGCTGGTATCAGATGGAGCTGGTATCAGTGTAAGTCACGGTCTCCTGTGGATCATTCTTGGGCTCAAAAGAGGAAACTCGTCCCCCGTGACATCTCTCCGTGCTGCTGGTTCGGTTCGGGCAGGCGCTCAGCTGATCCCTGCTTGTTTATGTTTGTTTATCTGCTCTCTGGCAGTCTCAACTTCTCCACACGTCAGCTAAACCCCCACCGAGCAACTTGGTTGACACGGAGCAGCTCCTCTGCTCTCTGCCGTCCCCTCCGGCACAGTGGCAGTGTGAAAGTCTGATCAATTCGAGCCCGCGGTCGCGCAAAGGACAGTTAAGTGGTAGGTTTACACTCGCGAATCACTGTGGATTTCATCGATTTTTATTTTCCTCTCATCGGTGCTTCCGGCTATCATTGCGCGTGTCTGCAGAACGTAAAGCACGTACGCGACAAACGTGACGTGCGCGCACTCGATGCATGTGTACATGCTGCACTTAAAGGCTAATTGTTTTAAAAGTTATTCCCATAATCTTAACCATTTAAATTATATGTATCTACGTTCGTTTATATTTTTCCTTCAGCATGACTTTATTGATCAGCAAAATGACATAACAGTTTCTTTTCACTTGTTTGACAGAGATCTGCTGTTTGACTTAAAGACTAGGTCTATGGTTACTGCAGATGTGTCAACTTTATAAAGAGGCCTAAATTATTTTCGCATCAGGTACTTTAGGAAGTCCTATATTTCACCATATTTTGCAGTTATATGCCTCTATTAGATCTGTGTTATAATGGCATTTGTTTTCTTTGCTGTTGTGAATTTATGGAAAAGTTGAGCAACACTTGACATACTAACCCTAACCCTAGTTAATCAGAATCAGCTTGGACAACAATGATTGGCTTATCTGAATAGATTAGTTTACCTTATTATCTTTATAACCTAATTGATTACATCATTTAGGCGTCCTTTACTGCAATTCTTTAAAAATATGTTTTGATAGTTTGACAATTTTATTTCTGATAAACACTAAGTTGCATAAGTAGTGCATACTTGAAATTTGACCACTATTACTTCATTTTAGAAATTAATGAGATAATGGAGTCTATTTTGTCTGTCGACACAAATTCTCAGTCTCAGTTATATAAATCAGCTAACTTTGGTTCACAATTGGCAATAGAAGATGCTGCTCTGTCATTCAGTCTTATAACCAGACGTGTTGAGGGTTCCGAGACTTGGTCAGGTTGTTAGTTACCAGAACCACAGACATTTACTTCTGTTTCTTTCTAAAGTGGATTTTAACATTAGTAGCAGGAAAGTCTATATATATCCAAGAAAACACATGACTGGAGATAATTACATTAAAGGGCAGCAAAGAAATTGGAAAGTCAATTGCATGTTTCCCCTAATCAACTCTTAGTTGACTGAATTTCACTTAATCATTATATCCATCTTCATCTTCTTCATTTTTTTATTTAGCCTTTTTACCTTTAACCAGGACAGGTCCCATTGAGATAAAATAAAATCTCCTTTTCAGGGGAGTCCTGGCATCATCTTCATCATCATAATCATCATCTTCTTCATCATCATCAGTCAGCCTCTTTCAGCCAGCCTTTTCCTGCAAACAAACCTTCACTACGAGTCAAAGGTTCTTGAAAAACCCATTTATTCTAGTTTTTATTGAAATATAAGTAGTTCGAGTCCAGTGAAAATCCTTAAATGGTACAAAAGGAAGGAAAACAAAAGGAAATTTCAATGCAAACTAAAATTAGGGGTTTGTTCTGAAATTTTTGATTGCTAGTGTACTACAATAAAGATCGCATGCCATAAAAATGAAAAACTTTGCCAATTTGAGTGAATAACAAATGAACAAATAACATTTAGATGAGTTTAAAATAACCCACTTTTACTTAGATTTGTAATTTATATCCTTGTGTAGTAGCCCACTGTAAGAAGTTATGTTGCCTTCAATACAATTGTGTTGTGAATGCTCCCTGTTTTCCCTTCCTGCATCACATTAAGGGGGTTCAAATGCATTTTGTTGTACTCCTTCAATGCCAGTAACATCATTATTAAAAATCAACGCTTTATCTGAAAAACGAGAACCACTGTTTTTTCTACCTTTTCTTTCAAACCAGTATCTACCAGTATGCAGCTAACACAGCTGACTTCCACAGCTGGATGTTGTGGCGATGTTCTGACGTCATGTGCGTGAGTGACGTCAGACAGGAACAAGTGGAAGGGAGCTTGACAAATCAAGATGGCGTCCCACGCTGAAGCAGGAAAGAGATGCCAGTATAAATAAAACTCACCCGGAGAATAGTTTAAAATTGAGTGCCATCTCGACAAGACGTCGTTAGGATTTTGAAAGAACAGGACGGAGCAGAAACAGGTGAGAGGGGTCTGTGTTTATATGTGAGCTCTGTTGTGTTTCAGGGGCGGTGGCAGACAGCGGTCTGACCCAACCAGCCACATAACGTTACAGTCAGGCCACTGGCGAAGCTAAGCGTGTTAGCATGAACGGTAGCTTTCCCAAAAAAACACTAGCCAGCGGCTTGTGGTGAGTGTCAGTGAATTCATGCAGTCGACCTTAATATTCAGCTGATACAAAGTAAAGTCATGCCCGCCGTTGACTTGTTAGCTGAACTGTCGCTGTATGTTCGCAGTTAGCCCGCTGAGCTAGGAGTAACCAGAGATAGTAATAGCTTAGCTTGTTGCTAATTAACGCTACCATAACTTAGGAAATGGTAGCTAATCAAGATGACGTACTTCAGTGCGTCTTCTGTCAATACTGAGAGGCGTACCTGACAGCTGGGAGCCTTGACATTTGCTGTTTAACGTAAACACGACCAAAATTGTGATGAACTCCATTTATTGCGACGTTATTGTTTTGTAATAGTTTGGTTTAGCTCCTCCTAAATGAACTAACCTAACTACCGCGGTGAGCTGTCCTGTGCTGTTGTGGTTGTCACTAATATCTGGAATATTAATACAAACTTGATATAACTGTACTCTATCTAAGTTGTTAAATAGCTACGGAGAACAGCAACTTGTGGTGTAATTATATACTATTATTCCTATCTATAAAAGCTACTAACTAAGTAATAGGGCAGCTACTAAATTAAAATTAGTTAACATCCCGATCCCTCCCGATCATGTGTGGCGCATTTTCACACACGATTAGCAAGAGCCCGTTTAGTCAAGTGACGAGTATTGTGACTGAATCCAAAATTGTGGATAATAGACCTGTACATTTCCCAAGTTCGTACAGTAACGTTACAAGTAGGTTGCAATTTTCAAAGATGTGTTTTAATATTATAGATTTCCACTCTACCGCTAATGAATGTCTTGGAGAGCCTGGGGCCCTTTCTGACCATTTCTGGTAATATTCGGCAGATTGCAGTGCATTACTGTGTATTACTACTCATTTTCTGTTTTCAGTAGAAGGCACATAATGGAGCAGTATTCCTAGTAGGTACAGATGCATAACAGGGGTTTTATGTCCATTACTATTGCTATAGCAATGAATCACATTATGGCACTGACTGAATAAACTGACTGAATCTGAACATCGAGCATTATACTAATTGATTATCAGTTGCGTATGGCTAATGTGTAAGTAACCTGTTGCCCTTCTACATGTCCAGTAGACACAGAGCAATGCGGTCGTGCTGGTGCAGTCAGGCAAGAGACCATTATCCACTTGACGATGAGCGCTAGTTTGATCCCACATATTCTAGAAATGTGAGACATGTCTTTTGTATGCCAGATGTTCAGATTTCTTCACCAGCCATTAATCTTTGTCTCAGTGGTATTTTTTGCTGGGTGGGCTGTGTACAGTGGCTTGTGTGAGGTTCTTTTGTGGAAATGGCTGGCTTTAGACTCATATGGGGGATTGGTGAGATTGGGATTTAATCAAATGACCAAGCACATAAAGAGCTGTAGAGTTGGGTGTTGATTTTCAGTGGTGTAGGCAATACTAGCAAACCGATCATATATCAATGAGCCTTATGATTTAGTGTTTAATTTAAATGCAACTTATTGGAGCTTTGAGTACTTTTAACTAACAAATCAGCCCATTTCAGCTGTGCAAGTTGATCACATCACTTTTTCTGCCAAACAGCGGTCCTCACCAGCACACAGATCAAACCTGTGTTCATCGGATGTGAAAACAGTGGCTTTTCTGTGTTGATAATGTCATGCATTGTTGCCATGGCATGACTAACTAACAGGATTATGCGACTTGAGATGCAGAGCAGCGGAATGTACAAAGCCAATGGGATAATGAAGAATTTTTATTTGAATAGCACGGACAAGTTGCACTGCCATGTGATAACGTGTCATTGCTCTCATGCTTTGATTAAAGCTGTACTGTAGGACCAATTTCTGAGCTCAGCAAAATACATAGGCTACTGTAAATATCAGAAACTACTGTGTCAGACAAAACGTCACGCCAGAAGGCAGGTGGAAAAATGGCTAGGGAAATCCACTTTTGGCATTTTCACACTGTTGCACCATAGTGTGTTTTTTACATTTACATATGACTTGTTTACTAACTTTACACCTGGTTTACTCGCGTCTGTTTTCAGAGTCTCTAAATGGCTGCGAGGAAGACTGGATCAGATGCATACAACAATGGTGAGGGCCTATTTTTAAGACTTCATTTCACTGTTTGACTACACTGATGTTTTGAGTCGTCAGTGAAGTGTAGGTTCAAGGTCTGCTGGTGCCTGTAGTTCCAGTATCTATTCTTCTATTTTATGTTTACTGTGTTTTTTTTTTGTGCACAGGACCCACAAGCTACCTTGATGAAGTTCCCTTCAAGATCAATGAAAAATTTCTCTGCCCAGCCAAAGTGGGGCTGCCTGTTGGTTTCTGTCCGGCAGACTGTGGCTCTTTGCTGGTGGAGACACAGGTTAGTCAGGTACAGGAAAAGTGTTGATTTTGTACTGGTGTAAGCTGCGGTATGCTGCACTTAACATGCATCTCCGCAGCATCCTCACAGCAGGACTGAACCTTGCTGGCCCACAGATTATGGCAGTGATCAATGTGGGCCTTGCCCTCAGTCTTGCTGGATCAACGTTACGTTTGTGGTCATGTGTAATCATGCTGGAGACCAGAGAGAATGCATCATTTTTATAAGACTCTTTTAGGGCTGACCCCCAATAGTCGAAGATTTGATGCTTCGATGGGCGGAGCCGGATTCAACTGTCAATCTCACAGTCGAAGCTTCACAGTGAAACAAAGATCATGCCATTTTGGTGATATGGGAGTGCTCAATGTCTGATTTTACATAGAACTACCAGTTTTCTTTCCAATAAGTTAAATATACAGCCTATAAAATATACATTTCAATATTTAATGCTGTAAATAAACATCAAAAAGAATAAAACTTCCAATAAATGTTTTTAAAGTGCGTGAATAAATCCAAAATTGTAACCCTAACCCTGGGTCGTCAGTGCACATGTGTAGGCGTAGCGTGTGTGTGGTGGCGGAAGAGGAACGCTTGCTGAAGAGACTTGGATCCGGCTTCACCGGTGTTATGTCGAGTTGTCCGCACCTCGAGGGACTTTAGGATAATTTATCACCGTTGATGAACAACACAAAGGATATTTTATCGTTTTCAAATAGCCGGCTACTTGAAATAGACCCGCAAGGAACCGCAACGTGTTGTAGGCAGCACAGAATGCACGCAAAACTCACACAAAACCGGTAAATGACAAGCGAGAGAGAGAAAATGGTCTTCAAAAAGCCTCAGTTTAGCTGGAAATTTACAGTGTAAGTTGAATGAATAGAGACTGCAGCTCTGCAGCTTCTCAAGATAAAAGCGGAGCTACCGTGTGTAACCCCCCTTACCCCGCCACTCGCAATCGCACGCACAAAAATACACACGATTCGACTATCAGTCGACTATAGGCAGGACTTGACGATTCTGATTCGACTATGTAAATCCTTAGTCGGGGACAGCCCTAGACTCTTTACACTTAGCTTATAGTAATTGAGAGGTGTAGTCAACCATATGTTGTCAGAGGGGTGACAATTTAGTGCCATAAGTTATTTTAGTTGTTGCTAGGTGATAAGAGTACCTGCTCAAGAAGTTAGTAATATTTAAGAAGAGTATTAATTAAGAAGAGTAATATTTAATTGGTTCAATTTTTTTTAGCAACTTCATTTTTTTGTTTATTCAAATTATGTTGTGCAGGTTCTTTAGATGTTTTATCTGTTATGCTGGAGTTTGCTGTTCTACTCATAATTATTCTTGTTTTCTCTGTTACTCTGTGTGCCCTCTTTATCCATCACTTACTACGATCTCAACAGTATGACTTTTCTCTGGAGAAGCGTAGTGTGCGCTGGGGGGTTGAACTGGCTGAGGCCAGAGCAGCAGAGGCCAGAGCAGCAGAAGAGGCAGCAGCCAAGCGGGAGACAGAGAGCCGGGAGTGTTTGACACAGGCCCAGGACAGTGATGGTGGTGGAGGGAAGAAACCCTGTTCTGCTGCGGAGGATCAGGACCTTCTACCACCAGCGTTAAACCCCGTCCTAGCGGGGCTGAGCCATAATGCCATCCTTACGCCACTGCCTGCCCCAAGCCTTGGCCCCAGAAAAGTCCAGCCTAGCACACCCCAGCCACACAGCCTCAACCTAGCTGACTTTGAGCGGGAAGAGGACCCCTTTGACAAGCTGGAGCTCAAAACTTTGGACGATAAGGAGGAGCTCAGGAGCATCCTCCAGAGCCAACCCCAACCTCAGCCTCCTCCTTCTGTATCCCCACCAGAGGTCTCCCAGATAGGGTCAGCGTCACGTGGAAACAGCCCGTCTCCTCCCAGCACCAACACCAGCCTCACCGCCAAACCTTGCTTTACACATAAACCCAACGGGTTGGTTGCCTTGCTGGACATGGACAGAGTCGGGCATCTTGGGAGAGCGGGGTTTGACACAGATGATCGACCCTGTAACATCCGCTCTCTCAGTTTTCCCAAGCTCTCAGATTCTGGTGACCCAGAGCCAGTGAGGTACACGCCACTCCCTGCGCCCTTCCCTGCTACCCGACAGAACCTACCCAATGGCAGTCCACTGACCATTCCTAAGACCCAAGTGATTGTTGCTCCTGAGCCACCCAGCCACACCAAGAGTGGCACACCAAAACCGGTGAGCATGAGATTGCATACTGCATACCTGACAGTGTAATGTGCACAGTTGGCGTGGGATATAGTGATGTAGCACAGAACCCTTATTGACATGAACTCATGTTTCTACACTAGGCCATCCCAGGGTCAGGATCTGCTGGTCTGCCGTGTGGTGGAGCGCTACTCAGCATGACCCCCAGTGAGCGTCAGTGTGTGGAAACCCTAGTGGGCATGGGCTACTCTTATGAGGGTGTCCTACGGGCCATGCAGAGACAAGGGCAGAACGTGGAGCAGGTGGGACTCCCTCTCACACCGGTGCACAGAAATCTGGATTCCTAGCATATTCACTGTCCGACATGCTTAACAGCTCATTGTTTGTGTGATTGTATAATTGTGTTTAGTCTTAAAATTGAAATAAAATTGCTGCATCAGATATGATCATCTGTTGTCTCAAAAGTTATGGCCATAGATATGTTTCTGTGATCCGTAGAGCTAATACCAAAGAATATGACTTCTAGCCATGGTCACATGATTATGGTAGCTATAGCAGTAGATGTGGGACAAAATAAAAACAAAATATAACCAGTTCAGTGGAGTTGGTGTGCCAGGTTAAATTTTAACCTGGTGGTTTTCAGTGATAAACTAGCACTGGGCTACTAACTTATAAGCTGTAAGACACTTTCAGTATAAATAGGAAATTAAATAAACCCTACAGGATACCATGTGATGTTCAAAGCTGACAAATAATAAATGTACTTATTGTTTGTCTAAGGTACTGGACTATATGTTTGTCCATGGACGTCTGTGTGAGCGGGGCTTCGATGCAAGTGCAGTGGAGGAATGTTTAGAGATGTACCAATGCTCAGAGGAAAAGGTTTGTACATGTTAAGTACATGCATCGTTGGAAACTAGAAAATACAGCGATACCTTTTACATCACCACAATCTTTTCATAATTTTGCCAAAGTCTAGAGATAGATTATATCATGTATAGTTTTTCCCCATCCTTCCCAGGCCTTGCAGTTCCTTGAGCTAATGTCAAGATTTGGCGAAATGGGATTTGAGCGGGATGCCATCAAAGAGGTGCTGTTGGTCCACAACAATGATCAGGACAAGGCTCTAGAGGACCTGATGGCTCGGGCTGCAGCGAGCTGAGCCAAGCTAACCAGCCAACCAAAGCCCAACCCAGGGTTTGCCTCCTGCTACTACCCAACACAGCCCCTTTCTTTCTGCCTACCCTATTACACCATGCCCTGCCCTTGCCTTGGCTGTGGAAGGGACAGCTGGAAGACAGTTGTATTTCTCTCTGTGCTAAAACGTATTGTGTCTCAGCACTTCTTAAGGACTGTGTGCCTAGAGTGGAGGGGGTCAAAGTGTAACAATACTTCATGGTGGTGTTTTTTATTCCTAAGAAATCCTGGGGTTAGGTTTCAGGATTTGATACTGCTAGGGTATTTAAGAATGGGAAGAATGTCTGAGCTGGAAAAGGAGAAGCTGGAGGAATTAGGCTGTGGCATTTTGATGCCATTCTGATTTGCTTCAACTTGGAAGTGTTTAAATGACTGCAGGACCGAATGGGGAGCTGATCACAGGTTCTGAGTGCATCACAGAAAGACCAGTTTGAACTTTTGAAACTCCCAAAACAACTAAGCTTCCATCTACCATTGCTCAGTGCAGACCTAGTAAATGATGGAGGGGACTGGGGGTCTTGAGAAGGCTCTATTCAAACTGAACCAACTAACATGAAAAGTCAAAAAAAGATTTAAAAAAAACAAACAAAGTTCCAGTTGCCAGACAGACAACTGACTCTCAAGAAGTGCCCTCTCTGCTCTGGTGCCCTGCACCTAGTTCTGTTCTTCATTTGTTCATTCATGTCTGTTCATCTGGGCACTTTTTCATTTCAGAATGAAGATTCAGTTTCTTTAATTTCTGTTTTAGGAGCTGCATAATAGATCCTTAGTCATTATAACTCCCTCCTGCTCAAGTACGCTCTTCGACCTGCACTGGAATGACCTGTTAAAGGAGTGGGGAGAAATGGGCAAAGTTCCTCTGTAGGAAATAATAAGAAATATCCCATAACCCACTGGCACTGATGTGTCACATACTGCACAGGCACAGACACGTATTTCATAATTATCAGCTTATTTAAAACAGTACACTGATACTTTCATTTAAAGTTTTGATATGATAATGTAAGATATGTTAACTCATAAAAGTGACGCTTTTAACTGTCATGTTGTCAACTTCTGTTTGCAGACTGGAAAAGAGTGAGTTGTTTAAAAAAAAAAGAAGAAGAAAAGAAAAACAAAACATAAGTGAGGGTTGTTTTTGCAGCCACATCACAGTGCAATAGAGACATTTCATATTGTGTGACTGTTGACAGGCACTTTGAGCCTCAAGCAATTGTTGGGAGATCAGGAGCCGTCTTCTAGCCCTGCTGGAAATGTAGATGTAACTAGAAAAGAGTGAGTGATTTCAGTGATTTCTATCATTTGTTCTCTGTTATTGGATTCCATGCCACAAAATCTAATCAAACATGACTTTGGTTTGTTGACTTGTCCCCCCCACCCTTTTTTTTTTTTTTTTTTTTTTTTTTCCCCCCACACACGTAATGTGAAATGAGTGTCTGTCTTGATTTTAGGTTTGTTGGCAACTACACAGTCTTAAATGTAAAGTTCAAAAGGTTAACTCACTGCATTTTCCCATTTGTTGATTGGGTGTGATTCCTTAAAAGAAGGATAGTTAATGGAAATCCTTAGTTCCATGCTGCATATGGTTAGAAAAAAACATATCTGCTCAGTTGCCTTGAGGGCAAAGATGATAGCTATGTGGTACTGATGGGGATTGTGACAGGCATTGAAAGAGATTAAGGGCTTAAAGTTAGCAAAATGTGACTTGGAAAACTGGCACTTTGCTTGGGGTAGGTCCAGTAGTTTTTGCAGTTGTGAAACATAGGACAAAGAAATGTTCTAATTACCAATCTATTGTTAGAACAACCCTTGGTTCAACAAATCTAGCTAGAGTTTTATTGCCAATACAGGCACTGTTTTACTTTATAGAACATATTGGCAATCAAGTGTCTAACGAATATACAGTACCGACTAGACCAGAAGGATGAGCACATGCATGCACTGAATAAACAAGTTGCAAGTTTGTTTCAAGCATCCTGAAAACAACAAACATCTCAGTGTTTACTGAGTGACGCACATCATCATGATTCTGTCCTTCAATCCATTATTTTATTATTTTATTTTTTGTGGTTAGGACAGTGTCTGGTGCAAGGACATAACGTGACACGAGCAAGGTGTCGCGTTAGACCTAGTATCCTTATTTAAGCCAGCGTTTTGTCTGATGTGTAGTTTACAATGATCAAGTGTTTTCACCCGGTTCTGTTTTTCATTGCTTTCCTTACTGACTGTGAGAATGAAGAAAGGAACTCTTACTTTACAGGCAAACACAAGTGGTATTATTGTTGCCTTACATAACTCAAGTGTGGTTTCCTTATTCATACATAAAGCAAGTTCATGTCCACTTGCCTGTCATCTGACAGCCACACAAGTTGGAGTCAATACAGTATAGCAGGTTCTGGACCTCCTCCATCAATGCCTCCTCTCTTTTCTGTTAAGATCTTCTAGTTGGGTGGGGATGAACTGCATCTAGGTTCTCATTATTTAAAACATTATGGTTAAGGGTTTATATATCAGATCCACTTCTAAGTCACTGCATAATTTAACATGAGGCCCCAGTGAATCTAATGAACATTGAAACATCTTATCGTGGGTGAGTTAAGTGTTATTTCCCAAGCTCATGAAATGTGATTTGCAAAATGTTCAATTTCCTCTTGAATGATTTGGAAAATCCACATGATTAAATGTGCACATCTTTTCAGTGGTGAGACTGTTAATTGTTGCTTTTTTTTTTAGCTTAATTTGATAATGGTTACTTTCTCGGGTATGCTCACAACAGATTAGATGTGATGGCAGGAAGGTGGTGAGGATTTCTCCTGCCCCTTGTTTTCTCTCTTCTACTGCAAATGCATTGTTATTCTCTCTGTTCAATTGACAAGACAGCAACAATACAGAGGATTGTCCATTCAGGTATTGTCAGTGGCAACTGGAAACATCCAACTGTGTAGTCAGCAGAAAAAAAGACGATTATACGTCAGAATAGAGGCCATATTTGGTCTGCCTGAGCTCACCAGGGTTAAACAGAAGATTACAAAGTCATGTACAAGTCGTGTCAACGGATCTGATTCTACATAGTGCCCGATGAGATTTCTCTGTCAACCATGTCGTTGTGCTCATGCAAATAATGGCAGTCTTAAAAATTCCAGTAAACCAACTGTCTTGATAATTGATAATAAGACATATGATTTCGTCCCATTAGCTAGAAGTCCTCAATGTTCATACTAACAATTATTATAACATGGCAGGGGATGTGACATAAATAACAGACAGAACATAGCCCAATACAATTATATTTAAATGTTAATATCTAAATTATTGTGTGAATCATAAAAAAGTAAGAGCAAAATCTATTGATATCTTATGGTTTTATTGCCTGATAATATATTAAAATAGAAACGAGAATCATCATCATCACCCGATCACGCAGCTGGCGGGAACGAGCACGCACGACGCTCGCGTACACGTACGACCTTGTTTTTGTTGATGTTTAATTTGAGTGCGGCTGCGCGCTGCTCAATGCTTTCGCCGTTGCTGACGCGACTTGGCAGGAAAAAAGAGTGTGAACCGTCCGGCAGTAGCTAGGGACTCTGTGGAAACCGAATAGGTTGGACGGCCGGAGTGTAATTGTGTATTTGGGGGCCTAGGAGACCAGCTAACGATAGTAATCCAGCGACTAACTAGCCTCTCCCGTATGTGACCCCCCTTCCTCGTCATCGGACGCTGCCAGAGAGGGCCAAGGAACAAAATAGCATATCGCCATTATATGATCCAGTGTCCAGCGTCACTTTTACCCTCCATGTGGGTGAGGGAACTGTGTGTATCAGATTATGGCGAGAAAAACAGTTAGCAGGAAAAGGAAGGCAGGAGAGCCCAAGGACCAACAACAGGTAGGCGGAAACCGGTGCGGATCCATAGTAGGTAGCTGCATGCTAACTAGCACTGGGCTAGCCAGGTTTTCTGATATAAGATACATCAGAGGCAAACTACTGATGACATTTTAACAGATTAACTACTAACAGTTACTATAAAGACAAAACATGACCCAGACAATCACAATTGTGGTCTTGTTTAAACAATAATACAGCGTGTTTCTGTTTGAAAGTCAGTACCCGCTAAGATTAGCATGGGGTTAGCCAACGGCAGTCCGTTGTCAATACAACAGCTAGGTCAACGTTAGCCGAAGGGCTAGCAACCTCATATCATCAGAGATATATTTAAATGTAATCACGATAAATTAACATTTTAGTAGCAAGATAACATTGCCAGTCCCGTTTTCGATTGGGGTTATCAACTGTCACCCTCTAGTCCCCGTCTGGAATAGCGTTAACTATCACTGAAAACTGAATTTATTAGCCATATAGTAGTATTAGTTCAACGTATTAATGTCAACTTTAGCAGAAACGTTAATTTACAGTTAGCTAGCTAACTTACCTTACATACAGATGAACCGTAGATTGGTTTGTCCAAGATAGTGAAATGGAACTTGGCCGAATCTACAAATGACGTTTCTCATCAACACGAAGATGTTTGCTATTCAATCAGCCCTAAGCCCAGCTGCTGACACCATCAAATATGCTCCTACCAGAAATAGTTTGGCAGCATCAATATATTTGCACTAAAAATGTTCAGCTTTTATTGCGCTGAATGTCAACAATGTAAAGGCATGTGGGGGCAAGTTGATGCAATTAAACCACAACATATTAACTGAGCCCTATTTATCACAGACAAAGGTATCAAAGACTGCAAGGGAAAACGAACAAACTTCTTGTGTTTTCCCCTCTGTCCCAAGACTCTTCGAAAGAGTTGGACCAAAATATAAAAATATATCAAGTCCTAGATGCCTCTCATAAGAGTAGTTAGCAATTGGTGGATAAGTTACCTCTGTCAGAAGGGACTGTTGTTCCTTCAAGACCTCCAAACTTTTTATATTCTGCATTGTTTAATTAATTTGATCACAAGACTGGCTGTTCTGCCAGTTTCATCTGTCAGGAGTCCCAGATAATATTATTTTATCAATCTATTTTTTTTTATTTTTCTGTCACCATTCTATAAAACCAACGCAAAATGACACAAACTGAAATATATTTTTTTAAAAGCTGTGCTGTAAACTGAGAACTGTAAAGTGTGAACCAAGTTTAAAAAAAATAATTTATATGACCATAAAAGTCTTGGCAACACAGTAGCAAAGGTTAAATTGACATATTGATGGACAGACCAAATGTGACTGGTGTGCCTGATGCGACCCGGCTTATACACTTTTTAGCATGTTTGTGAGTATCCGTTTGTGTAAACGACATTTTGTTGTGTTACTGAACAGTGTTAATGCAATCAGTGGGTCTTATGAGGTCTATTGACTAACAATAGGTATAATGTGCACCTCCATTATAGACAGCCAATGATACTGACCTACCTGAGCAAGATGTTGAATCAAATTCAATGCTTCTATGTGTACTTGGCCTATATTGATCCAGTCTGATGGAGTATCGATGATGCATGTGTGCGTTTTTACTGTAATACTCCCATGATCCACTAAGGCTCTTAAATCGGTACCAGCGAGCTACAGATTAGAGCTACAATAATTAATTGAATAGTTGATTCATTTTCAACTACTAAAGTAATTGGTAACTAATTTGATAATCGATTAATCGTGTTGAAGAAATTCCAGCTTCTTAAACGTGAATATTTTCTGATTTCTTTACTCCTATGTGACAGTAAACTGAAAGTCTTTGGGCTGTGGTCAAAACAAGACATTTGGATGTCATCTTGGGCTTTCAGAAACACTGATCAACATATTTCACAATTTTCTGACATTTTATAGACCAAACAACAAATTGATTAATTGAGAAAGGAAAAGACAGATTAATCAACAATGAAAATTATTGTTAGTTGCAGCCCTACAACAGATGTGTGTTCAGTCCACTGGGGGATGTGTCTAACTTATATCTATTAAATACTAACTACTATCATAATCATTTTGGATTTGGCAAAAGTCATGCGCTTTCCCCACAGAAAATCCTCTGGCTCTTGACCTTTTTTCTCACTTTTTCCTCAGCTGGGCTGGTGTCAGGCACCACACAAGCGGACCCGTGTTTCTTCTTCATCACGTCATGCCCAGCAGTGGTGGTGCAGTCGGCGCTCAGTGGTATGTGCCCTGCGTGGGCGGGAGTTCAGGCCTCAACAGCAGCATGAGTTGCGGCTCCAGCGGAGCCTGCGGGGCTTTGCAGCCGGCAGGCTTCCTGGCATCCTCAAGGAGAGGGAGTTCTCTCTGGGGCGACTCAACAAGGTGTTTGCTTCACAGTGGCTCAACCATAGGCAGGTGGTGTGTGGGACCAAATGCAACACGGTAAGATTATTATTTTGTTTTTTAGGCAAGGCAAAGCAAGTTTATTTGTATATCACATTTCAACAACAAGTGCTTTACATAAAAGCAATATAGGGAAATTGAAAACAATAATTTTTAAAAGTGTGAAATAGAAAATAAAAACAGGAAAAAATTAATTTTAAAGAGTTAAATAAGAAATAAAAAGAGGACAGTAAAATTCACAGAGCAATGTACGATATTGATCTACAGACTTACATTTGATCAAATTAAAGCAGTGGTAAAAAGAAAAGTCTTCAGTCTTGATTTAAAGGAACAGAGTTTCAGCAGATCTGCAGTTATCTGGGAGTTTGTTCCAGATATGGAGCATAAAAACTGAACGCTGCTTCTCCATGTTTAGTTTTGACTCTGGGGACAGAAAGCAGACCTGTCCCAGACAACCTGAGAGGGTTGCATGGTCCATAACAAAGCAGAAGATCAGAAACATACTTTGGCCCTAAACCATTCAGTGCTTTATAAACCAACAGCAGTGTTCTGAATCAGCTGCAGCTGTCTGATGGATTTCTTAGGGAGTCCTTACAGTAGTCGAGTCGACTGAAGATAAATGCATGGGCAAGTTTCTCCAGGTCCTGCTGAGACATAAGTCCTTTAATCCTTGAAATATTCTTGAGGTGATAGTAGGCTGACTTTGTAATTGTCTTAATGTGGCTGCTTAAATTCAGGTCTGAGTCCATGACTACACCAAGATTTCTGGCTTGGTTTGTGGTTCTTAACGTTACCGATTGAAGCTGAGCACTGGCTTTCAATCGTTCCTCCCTGGCTCCAAAAACAATAATTTCAGTTTTTTCTTTGTTCAGTTGAAGAAAATTCTGGCAAATCCAATCGTTGACCTGCTCAATACGGTCACTCAGTGCCTGTATGGGATCATAGTCCCCTGGTGATATAGTTATGTAAATTTGTGTGTCATCTGCATAATTATGGTAACATATTTTGTTGTTTTTCATAATCTGAGCCAGTGGAAGCATCCAGATGTTAAACAGAAGAGTCTTAGGGAACTCCACATGTCATTTTTATTAGTTCAGATGTGTGATTACCTATAGAAACAAAGTAGTCCCTGTCCTTTAAGTAGGATTCAAACCAGTTTAGTACTGTGCCAGAAAGTCGCACCCAGTTTTCAAGTCTGTATAATAATATGTTGTACTAACCTGAATGTGTTGGTTAGTTACATCTAAGGCAGTTTTTTGATTATTGTAACTGTCATGTAAACACCATGACCAGGTTGTGTGCCTAAAGGTTGATGATATCATTAACTATAATACAAGTAACAGAGCTGTCAATCTTGTTGTTTTGATTTAGTAAAATCACAAATCCCCAGGGGTTCTCCAAAGAATTTTTTTAAAGGAGGTCGTATATTTCCTGGGTGGCCTTTGTAGTGTGATGTAGTGCCTCTCCTTGTTTGCCTGAATAATAAAACTGAAATTTCTAATTTCTAAAACGTTAGTGGAGGCTCTCTTTATTTCAGGGGAGGTAGGGGTAGGAAGATGTATGCCTGCAAGGGTTATAAGGCTATTATCCAGAGTACACACTGAGGCAGTTTGCTGTTGAGTGTGAAGCACTTAGTCTGAGGCTCACCAACTCTGAATCTGCGACCATTGGTCATTTGATGCGAGTTACTGCCTCAAGTGAAGGAGTTTAAGTGTCTTCCAATCTAGCTCATAATGGTGTACGAATTTTTGCCTTGTGGTTGACCAATGGATTATATATAATCATTCGTGCAAAAAAATTCAGGCGGGGAGCATCACTCCGCCTGCATGCTCTGCCACACGAAAGCCCTCCTGTTTATTTCCCTAGTAGGGCTGAATGATTTTTAAAAATGTCTAATTGTGATACTTTTGACAGTTTAGTACGTAATTATTCTAATTTTTATTGAAACACATTTAAATGATTATGGTGTAACAAAGAAGTTTTCTTAAGTCTGTAAAATATGATGTGTAGGGCAGGATACAGGATGGTATTTTGACACACATTTTGCCTTTAACAAATATTGCACCTCCTGTGATTTGAAAATTGTAGTAGGCCACTTGGCGATTTCGATAAATTTTTAATTAATTAATCGGTTTTGATTAATTGTCCAGCCCTAGTCCCGATAACAAAGTTTTATATAGGATCAGTCTCATCCATTGATTTGCACAGCCCATCAAATAGAATAAAGTTCAAGACAATTCAACTCTGGCAACGTGTGCGCGTGAGACAAGCACGGCCACGACAGTTTAATGGGATTGCGCCTGCTTGTAGGTGGTGAGAATCTCTTGGCACCTCATGATTCGATTCGATTACGATTCAGAGGGCTGCGATGCGATTATAAAACGATTATCAAAGCATCTTGATGCATCATATTCTTCTAAACAGGATCTCTGGATAATTACTAAACATTTAATTTGTGCATAAAATCTAAAAGAAACATATCCTAATTGGTTTAAAAGGACTAGTTTTCATCCCTAATTTACTTCATTAACCTCAGCTCCAGTCACCACCTTCATTACTTTAACAACCAGTTGTCAGAGTCTTCTGAAAACTGAAATGTAATTATCAGGATGTACAGTATGTAGTTAGGACAGAGCTGTACACCAGTTTAGTCTAAGTTTGTACCTGATGTTCTAAACCATGGACAAGTATGTAGTAATAACATACAGCAAATTAACATTAACTCGTTAATTTAGCGTTACATAACAACCAAAATATGTGCTGTACAGGGGAGATGTTAACTAGCGCTAACCGCCTTCACTGTTCCAGCAGTTGGGGAAACTACAGACTTTTAACAGACACACTGTGAACTACACTGGAAGTTTATTACCAAACTGAAACTTAATGCTTATGTTTATCTCCACTGACTTTCAACGTCATGTTCTGCCGCGCTCTCTCTCTCTCGCTCGGCCACACACAGGATACGCAGGGAGCTCGTCAAGCGTTGAGTGTCACCATGCTCTCAGTGTGCGAGTTGAAATCATTACTTGCACATTATGTTATTAATGATAATGTGACATTTTAGTAGGGTGGTTATTCATTCCACAGCGGTGGTGTGCCGAATTCAGGGAGGAACACTGCTCTGCCTTTTGCGTTCCGTCAACATTACGTTATCAATTAACATTTAAATAATTTTTGACATTTGTTAATCGATTCAGAATCTTCCACGTCGGCATCGCGATGCATCTAAGAATTGATTTTTTTTTTTTCTCCAACCTCTACCCGCTTGCCACTCCGCCTGTCAGATAGCACGTACCTCCCTACCGGTCATTGAAAACGAATTACTAGCTGTGTCAGTCGCTCACTGTCTGAAAAGACCTTAAGGGGAGTAAACATGACTTTTCAGCAGTATGTACCCAAAATAAACCAATTTTGCCATGATTAATTGCAGTAAATGGATCAAAAGGATGCCAAAATGACTACAATATGAAGTTCATTCTAAAATTCACGTCCACGAGATAACAAGCAAATAACTTTTGATTTTCTGAATGGAGATCAGATGAATCAGGGCTCTGCTATCTTTTTTCATAGTAAATTACAACGACTGCTAGAATCAAGTAACAGACACATATTTTCAGAACTTACCGGGAAGTTCAACTTCCTCGCTTACTTTTGTCCAAGCGATCTCCTTTTTGTCTGTCTCTGTATAAATATGTAGTAGAGCTGCGGGTGCTAACCAGATGTTTTTCTGTTTACCTGCAGCTTTTTGTAACCGATGTCCTGACAGGGCAGATAACACGCATTCCCATGCTGAAGGACAGGGTGTGTCAGGGTGGAGGTTCTGGGGTGGTGGGTGCAGTGGTGGCGGGGCGGCATTACCACCCCACAGGAGCCTCTCGTTCCCGGCTGGACCAGCAGGGCTGTGGGATCCATGCTATTGAACTCAACCCCTCCAGAACACTGCTAGCCACCGGAGGAGACAACCCCAATAGCCTGGCCATCTACCAGCTGCCCACTCTGGACCCTGTTTGTGTTGGAGATGTAAGTGGTTTGGATCTATTTCAGTTTACTGGCATCCAGCTTTATGTTTGCTGATCTATGCTCGGTCAACTGTAATTCATTCTGTTTTGATCCTTTCAAACTATGATGAACTGTCCAGAACTATTGAAATGATTGCCACAAATGTTATGGTCCCCAGAGGTTGAATCCTAATGACGTTTGTGGTGCCATAGTATTTTACATTTTCATGACAAGATAACAAAATACCAATGCTTGACAGCCTCAGCTGTAGCCTGCTTCTAGAACCCTTAATCGCTGCCCTAATCTCTGATTTGTTCAGCACTTCAAGTAAATGTTCTGGTGTTTGGTGTGACCAATCAAAACTTAGTAGGGCTGGTTAACGGCAGAAATGTCATCTTCCTTCATAGTTAGCTAGTGACTTTGCTACCTTCACGAAAAATGCTGCATGACGTCCACTACAGTGGACAGATATTTAGAAGCCATTTTTAAGTTATAGTACCATGTCCCAACCACCACGTGGCGGATTATGTTGTCTACAATTTCACTCGATTGTTATCTTTACATCTGTCATTTAATTTATGCTGCAACATACATTCAAAATAGGAGGGAAGATGCACCAAGTACCTCAGAAATATCTGAAAGATTTTTCTCAGAAAACCAGACCGGTAGAAAAAAAAAAAAAATCAATTAAATATGATATGGCTGGGCGGTATATCAGTATAATGAGGTATATCGATATAATTTCAAGAGAGAGATAAAATTAGACAATACCATTTATACCAATATAGTTTGATGTTGAGTTAATTAATATGTTTAGTGAAGTCCTGCCAGCGTTTGCTCCTCTCTCTCCCCCTAACCCCGGAGTCCCGCCACTCCCTGTGTGTCTGCACGCAGCCATCTACTCACAAACTCTCAACAACATAGAGGGAGAGACAGTGCCGGTCGTCACTGCTGAAGACCTGGCTTGTAAAAAAAAAAAAAAAAACGTTTCAGTCAGTGTTTCCCACACATACACTTTACTTCGGCGGGCCTCCTAGGTATATTTGGCAACACATTGTAGCATTTTTCAGAGAAACGCAGAGTCATTACGTTAGAAGTCGCGACACGGTGGGTATTTTACAAGCACGGAACAGGTAATGTGACATTGAACACACTAGTGCAGATGTAATTTGTTAGCTACCACATTGGTTTTGTTTTGAAAGGCTAACATGCAGCGCAGCTGCTGCTGTGAACAGAAAGGTGGGAGGAAAAGTCCAGGAGACAAGTTCTGTTGTTTTTTTTCTTCTGCGACTTTATACAACGTAGCCTATTACTGATGGAGAAAGTTACCGGAGCAAACATACAGAGAGAGACAGATAGAAGCGGGGCACACTGATGTGTTTGCAGCAGAGGTACGTTAGGTTAAGTATAATTAAAACGGTGAAATAACAAACAGGCAAAGTTCCTACAAATAGTAAAAACTGGCCCCTAAACGTTACGCTCCAAAGGGTATATTCTTCATACGTAGATTCTGCATTATTTTGTATGTTTTATTTAAAATTCTTGCAGTTGAGTAACTTTATTTGTATTTATAACACTTTCTCCAAGTTTAAAAAACATAGTTTTTGGAGCTATATTGAGTTCCACTTGATCACTTTTTATGCTGTTGACGCATGCTGTCCAGACACATCAAAATAAAATATATTTGTGGGGGGTAGGTTATATATATTTTGCACTTGTTTTATAAGTAAAAACAAACTTTGAAAAAATTACTTTGATTTAATAATTTATTCAATGAAATGGTTAAAGGCATGGATGTAGCTATACAAGTTGTTGCAAGTCAACTTACAGAATAATATATAGTTTATATAATATTTACCCCCCTTGCTTTTAGGAGTGCAACAACTAATCGACATGGTAAACAAAAATAGATTATTAAACTCATTGCCAACGAATTCATGACGTCATCGGTCCGTAGCGACACCGTCAGCTTAACGGAGTAAAGTGATGTGAACAGTAGTTACTAAAACAACATCAGAGCTGCAGTAACACCTTCACAACGTAAAACCTCCAGAGTATAGCAGCATTTCACTATTCACTCTCCTGGAAAAACACCGGAGCATCTGAAGAGGATGTGTGTAACGTTGTGTCTCTGTGGATGATGACTACTCGTCTCGGTAAGATAGTTAGCGAGCTAGCTTCACGTTAAAGCCGTGTTACTTCTTACGGACTACTTATGAGCTGAAACATTTTCTATACAGTTAGTCAATTTGATTGATTGTTACAGTAATGGTGCTGTGAGTAGCACATAATTATGATAAACAACAGCCGCGTTCACATTCCAGATGTGCCCTGACTTTACAATCATAAACAATGCATTGCTCATGGCGACACTCCCAGCTGGAGAACGAGTGCACAAGATTAGACAACAACGGACAATTTCATACTTTCTAAAGAAGAGAAAACAGTTCTCCTGTCTGTGCGTGAGGCGGTGTCCGCCCCAATCTCCCTTAAAAAACACGGGGTTTTGAGAGTTGTTGAGGAAACTATATAAATGTTGTAAAACGCTGTCTACTACAAAATCTTTATTATTGATCCCCTCTTGTAAATTCGGCAAATGTAATGCATGACGTTATTCCTTTCTTTGTATATAGTGTCACTTTGTCCCAGGGTGTTGCAGTACTGGTGTGAAAGCTGCTCCGCCACTAAACCGCTGATCAGCTGCTTATATCAGTGATTTCTGTGGAACTTTCTTTTGCTGCAGAAGAAATGTTCTTTAAAAGATGCATTTTTGAAAGCTGTATTTAATTAGCACATGTTTAAAACAACCTCAGGTTTAATTTAAAGGCTAATGGCTAAATGAGAGGCATTGTGTCATTTTGCGATTCATAATCCGAATAGTCAATTATTCGTTTCAATAATCGATAGATTAATCGACTATCAAAATAGTGGTTAGTTGCAGCCCTACTGGCTTTCAACAAGAAAGTGGCGACATGAGCACAGGCTGTACTTTGAACTTAATGCTAACATAGCATGCTAATATTTCTGTGCTAACATCCTAAACTTGAGTGGGTAACATGCTGACTGTAATGCCCAGCCAGCTTTAGCTGTTCAGCAATTCAGCCAGAAGCACACAAGTATTTGTAAGACTATTTGTTTTGCTTTTACATAGTAGCCATTTGTTTTTCAGGATGGTCACAATGATTGGATCTTCTCGATAGCATGGATCAGTGACAACATGGCGGTTTCCGGTGAGTTGTCTGTATGAGCTAAGCTGTATAAATGAACATGTACACGCCTACATAAGTCCTTTCTTTCCTTTTTAAGTTTTCCTGATTTCAAGTCAATGCCCTCTGCATACCCCGTTGACGTGTGTCCCATTTTGTATGTAGTTGGTAGAAACATAGTCTGGGCTGTAATGTAGTTGCGTCTCATGTGTTGAAATTCCTAGGTTCCAGAGATGGCTCCATGGGCCTGTGGGAGGTGACCGAAGAAGTAATGAGCCAAGCAGAGCGCAGTCAGAATGAGGAGTCTGTACCCTCCTATGCCCACATCTCTCACCGTGCCCTCAAGGACATCCCAAAGGAGTACACCAACCCATACAACTGTAAAGTCCGCGCTCTGGCCTTCAACAACAACCACAATGTAAGGTTCATCCTGACGTAGCTGTTGGGAAACCACCTGATTGTGTTGTCAGTGAAATATTTCTGCCAGTTTCCAGAAAAACACAGGATATGACAGATCCATAATGTGGGTCCAATAACTTAAATGAAATTTTACAATGATACATATTCATGAGGGTTAATGGTTATCAGGAGATTTCTCTTTCTCTATGTGATACAGGGAATTTGCTGCTGTTTTAAGTAGTAACACATCCATAGAACCTGTTTACCTGCACTTTCAAAATCTGGCTAAATACTTGTGCCATGAGCTGCTTGTTACACGCACCAGGTTAAGCAAACGTAGTGATATATAACAAATGTAAATGCTTCACTGAGCTAGCAACAAACAGAAGCTGTGTATTTACCCATATTTTATGCCATATTTGGGGAAGAAAGGAGTTTTTGAAACATACTGAGGATACAGATGGACAGCAGAGGATTCGACTTGAAAATTGGTGGTTTGGAAATTTTCTACGGATGTTTTGATTTATTTATTAATGCTGTGAAAGTGGGTCACCAGAGGAATACAATGTAACCAGTATTCAAGCTGAACACTGTAGTGTCCTATGAAGGGACTTCAACAATGTCTTTTCAAGCCAACAGGGAAGAGAATTTGACACTTAAAACACTGAGGTTGACGATAATTTGATTGGTAGTACCTGTTATTTCTGGGTTCTGCATCAGCTGCAGTCATTTACGTCTGTCCTGCCATGTTGTTTTTCCCTTCTCAGGAACTGGGTGCTGTGTCCTTGGATGGCTATTTCCACCTCTGGAAAGCTGAGCACAACTTGTGCAAGGTACAGTGACATCAGTTGCCCAACTTACACTTCTTATTTTATGGAGCTCCTGAATAGCTATGCATATTCACACTCAGTGTTTTAGACTATACGGAGAAAGACTGTTCTTGATCTTAATTTCAGTGATGACAGCTGAAGTCGTATTTGTTTCCCATTTACCATTCTGCGGCGTCTCCCTCTAGATACTGTCTACCAAGCTGCCTCACTGCAAAGAGAATGTGTGTCTGGCATATGGACAGGACTGGTCAGTGTACGCTGTGGGTTCTCAGGCCCACGTTTCCTTCCTGGACCCACGGCAGCCTACACACAGCATCAAGTCCGTCAATTCCAGAGAGAGAGGAAGCGGTAAGTGATCTGTAAACTTCTAAAAGAAGCTAATAGTCCAAGCAGAGTTGGCCTCCCTAAACCACTTCATTAAATGTTTGCAAGTTAAAGACATTTCCCAGTTCTTTAAAGGAAACAAATGAATAAGCCATATTATAACTGCATAACAGTTGTGGCTGTACAGTAATGTCTGTCTGTGATCCTACAACTCAAGGAGTACAAGGGTCCAGCTTTAAAGTCAGAAAGCACAATAAAGCAGGGAGGATTGATGATTTACTTTTGAGTAGCTTTGCATTTAAGACGTCTGTGTCTGTGCAGGGATCCGTTCAGTGAGTTTCTATGAGCACATTGTGACGGTGGGCACCGGCCAAGGTTCTCTTCTCTTCTACGACATCCGGGCCCAGAGATTCCTGGAGAACCCTTTAAATCCAGCCGGGGTTTACCGGAAGTGCCCAGGAGATGGCATCCTCAAGCTCGCTACAGGAAAAGGCTGGCTGGTACACTTTTTTTTTTTTTTTTGGTCTATAATAAAGATCTCCATTTATTTATTTATTTGGAAAGGAATGAACAAATGTTCTAGCACCGTATTATAGATTACTTCCTTTATTCTCATCACACCTGTAACCCCCCTCTCCTTCTCTTTCTCCCCAACTCTTCTTCTTTGGCTTTCAGAACCACGATGAGACGTGGAGGAGTTACTTCTCGGACATTCATTCCTTCCCCAACGCAGTGTACACCCACTGTTACGACGACTCTGGCACCAAGCTGTTCGTGGCAGGCGGACCACTCTGTTCTGGCCTGCACGGCAACTACGCAGGACTGTGGAGCTAGCCTCTTTGTCTCCTCCATCGCTCTGTCACTACATCCTCGTCCAAGATTTTTACTTAACCAGTCCCTCCATCCCTCTCCCTCCTCAAGTCTGTTGACACCACCCGTCTTTGGTCTCCCTCTTGCTCATTGAATTGTCACTCTGTTTTGCTCACACGTGGACTCAGGAGCATGATCTTGCCCCCACCCTATCACGGCTTTGAATATTGTTGTTGTGTATGTCTGTGTCCACCATTACACTATCTGTTCTCCTTCAGTTATTCCTTTGCTCCTTCCTCCTCAACAACTCTGTTTTTTTTATCTAAAAATGTACAAAGAATTAACTACTAGTTTTCTCAAGAGCTGCGAAGTCTGCCACTAAGGAACTCAGAAGAGTTTTGAGAAACATTAAGAATAAAGTAATAACATTCTCATCATTTAAAACATTTACATCCAACCCGCAGGGATTAGGCTGTGGTCTTTTGCTGGCTTGTTTTTGTATGTAAGGATAGTGTTTACTGCTGCTTCCTCTGTGGTCTTTGTAAAATACATGTGGATTTTTTCTCCCAAAAGTTCCCTTTTCATTCTCACTGAAACGGACAGCAATAAAGAGAGCGGGAGAAGGACTGAAGAGACGATACATTTTTGAAGGACTGAGCTAGAGTTCAGTTTGACGTTCGAGAGAGAAATATGTACTGGGTGGAACAGCCCGTCCTGTCTATCAACAATCACAAAGAACTTCTCTCTTCTCCTGCCGGAAGTAAAATGAAGAAGCCAATCAAAATGGGACTTTGTGTTCTTTCTCACTGAGATGATGTAAAGGAGAAACATTAAGATTGCTATATGCAGTGTTCTGCTACGAATCAATTCCACCAAACCGTATTTTATTTTTTGACTGTGTAATTTGACTGGCACACCCCTGCTGATGTTCTAATTTTCTTTTGTATTTATTTTCCAGTTTCTCTGCCACCTTTTATTGGGTTGGTCGGGGGTGTTTATATCTGCTTCTTTGGAAGGACATATTGTTAAAGTTCCTGCTCTCTTGGACCAGAACGCTTTCAGACAGTTTGTCCACCAGTGGTGTTCAAATCCTGATCTGTAACCGCTCTGGTGTTACTAGAGAATTGACCCTAAGATTTTAAGTTTTGGCAGCAAGTTGAGTATCATCAAATATGATGATTGATAGATGGAGGAGCCTTTAATTACTGGATTCTGAGACTGCTCCACAAGTAGGGAGATTATCTTAAGTAGCTCAACCATCCATCAGAACTGTTGGACTGGAGTGAGGTGCTGCAGGCACATACATATGTTGTCACAGTTTCTGTTCCCTCTTTTTGTACTAAGGAGTGAGTTAATCTACTGTTTTCCTTGTTTGGTAGAGGCAGGGTAGGCTTGAGTTACGTTTTTTTGCCTTGCTCAAGTCTTTCTGTGAAAGACTGCCACAGGCGATCATAGTTTTCCTTTTCTACATGGAACATCTCTCCAGTTTTCATGATAATGACTGATTGAAAAGAGAAACCCCAATTACGACCACAAATTGAACAAATAGCCAACACTTTTAAAAGTGTATTTTATATATAAATGTGTATATGTATGTGTAAAATACATAGGGACAATTGCATACATTTTTATGTATATGTCTGAGGAAGTGTGTGGATTGATCTGTCTACTTGGTGATGCCCTGTTTTTTTTTAAATACATGCCTCATGAATGTTTTTACAAATGACAGAATCTGAGGATATTGTAAGATAGAAACATCTGGGGAAAAAAACAAGCTATTAAATCTTTAAAAAGAGTAAATAATAAAAATAAAATGTATATTGATGTAATGTTTCTTTTTTTCATGTTTGATATGGATCCAGTTTAAATATTTCCCTTTTTATTAAAATGGGTCACTGCTAATTCAGATGTTTCCATTAATAATATGGCAACATCGGGGGTTATTTACACACTGAAGTCCAACATCAGTTATAGATTTAACGGCGTATCTCATAGTGAGCGTTGAAGGTTAATTGAGAAGTTAGTTGTGACCCGGGGAGGAGAGCATCCACCGCGGTAGTGCACGTCACGTGACCACCCTGTCTACTGCTGGCCGAGTGAAGCGTGTTAGCAGGTAACAAAAACAAAATTTCTTATGTTTTTCAAGTTCATTTTCTGTATTTCAACGCGTTTAAACCATATACGTAAGGGCGTTGTCGCTGAAATTGTTGCTCGCTGGCTTCGTTGTTTCGCTTCCGCGGGGTTGTGAGGGATGTCTTTCGCAATTTTTCTGGTGTCTTGTTTCCCGGCGAGCAATGTCGGGATGGGATTGAGCTCCACTGCGAGGCCCTTTTCTTAAGATTTAATACAGCTAACGCTATGTTGTTAGCAGGCTAGCCTGTTGTGTAGATGTCGAGGACAAGCCCGGTGTAACTGAGGCTGTCGTTAGATAACCCCGCGGATCTATAATTACACATAAGACCAGTTCGACGGTCGTCTGCTGTCAACTTGGAACAGATTTAAATAGCGTCATTAGCTACGGCTAGCTTCACCCCCACCGTTTGTTCAGAAACAGTGTAGTGTCAGCATTAGCATGCCAGTAGCTAGCTTGAGTTCATGCTAGCGGGGACAAAGGGATTCTAGTACTAACAGCACCAAGTCGGTCAGTCTTCAGTCTAAAACGACGCTACGAGGATCGGATTTGTTTCTGGAAGATATGCATGTCAACCGTTAACGTTATCGAGTAGTCCCATATGCAGACTCAATAAATAAGTAACCTAACAGCAACGGGCTAACGTTAGCATTGGTCCAAAACAACGCTCCGCTGCTTCGTTATTACTAAAATAAATTGTGGCTCAGTTAATTGACAGTTGGGTAGACGTAACGTTACCCAGGTAAGTTAGATGTAAATGTACGTAAACACATACGTGTCAGTTAACAGATATTTGTAATTTCTGAGTGGTCAAATTAATGTGGAGAGTCAACGTTACTGCAAAATTGTTTTGTTATTGTTTGTGTCTAAGACTGTCGACATTCATAAGCGTAATGATATGTCAATATTTAATTTGGTGAATAAAAATTGCTGCTGCTGCCTCGGGTTTCTTAGTTATAAAAATAGATCTTTACATTTTTTGACTGAAATTGCATTTAAAGCCAGTTCGTCCTTTTTTGCATTAGCTTTGTTCAGTCCAACAGCCAATGGCAGCAGTGCGTTTTCCATCGTCACTCGGGCGCTTGAAGCTGGATCGCTATTGTTCTCTGACATAAAACAAATGGGTCAGTATGGCTATCTGGAGGAATCACTCTAGTAATGGATCCTCAGTATGTTTCGACCCTGCATGTGTATAAGATTCAGACTAATATTTGACAAATAAAAATTATTAGTGCTTGGTTTTCGCTATCATACACACTTTGCAGCAAGGTACAAATTGTACAAGACTCCGTTTTTAAATACACAGAGCAAAATACTGCATTTTACTGCAGTAGTTTATGATGTTGTGGTATGTATGTATGTAGCCTATGCATATACACACAGACATTATTATCTTGGTTGCTGCACACTATCTGGCAGTTAGAGGCCATGTGGGGTCAGGGTGTGTTGTCATTCTCCTCACACACTTGGTGGTCTGTGCTGTTTGTAAGAGGACACTGGGCACTCTCCCTCCTTGACCTAGATTTTCAGTATAGCTGTTCTGTCACCAGGCCAACTTTATGTCTTAAAGCCTCCATAGGGGCAGTATTTATGATTGTGCAATTAGGCTTATCTCTGCTCACAGTCACACATTTCTGGTATTAAATCTGTATTTCCTTCTATGTATGCACACATGGGAAGTACTGAGGCTCTCCTGTAACCAACATTGCAAACGAACTGACTGTGTGTGTGTTTTTTTTTTTTGTTTTTTTACATAATCGGTGGATTTAACAACTGTTGGATGATTCTTCTATTTTTCTTGTTTCCTTTGCAGATTTTTCTATTTTGTACATACAGAGTTTTGTATATACTGTATATGATGAGCTCGCTGGGCGGCGACAAGGCCCGGGGCCCTCGGGAAAAAGTGCTGCCTGCTGCCGCTCATACATCACAACCACAGAAACAGATACAGGTGAGCCACCGAAACCACATGAACATGAAAACGTCACCCTCCTCTCAGCCACACACTATGCAAGCAAACCTCCCTTTTTCAGGCTACATATTACATTGACTTTTAAAAGTGATAATAGTAATAGTTGATGAAAACCAAGCTAACAATTTCATTAATCCTTTTTGGTACACCTATACAATTAAGCTTTTGTCAAAACATTTCCAAGAGGTGTTAATTCAGCTACATGTTTATTACTGTGGTTGTAGTTAGTGGTGGTGTGGACTGCATTATTTTGAAATATGTTTCTAATATTCTTCCCCCTTCATGTTTGTATATGTGGTGAGCAAAAGATGAGAAAAACCAGTAACACTTTCTATGACGCCCACATCCTTAGTGCATTATAAACATACTTATAATTCATTATATTGTGCTTATAGCAATGTATAATTATAGTTCTAAGTGCACATAATAAAAAAAAAAATATATATATATATATATATATATATATATATATATATAAATACATAATGCTTTACAACAATAACACATTCTATAATTATACATTGCTATAGCACAGTATAACGCATTGTAGGTATTAGGGCTGCATGATTAATCTAATCGCGATGTCATCTTGTGCTATTACATAACTGCAAAAAAGGTACGATTTAATAAAATAGAAAAAGTGTGTGAGAATCTCTCTTATCTGTGTGCTGTGCAGTCTGCTCATTAGCTGCGCCCACATCGGGCTCTCACATGTGCCCCTAAAAACAGATAAGACTACGTGCAATGAGAGAAATGATTTATAGGCAGTGTGCGAGTAACTATTAAGACAACAACCTACCGTAACCCCCTTCCTCACCCCGCCGCTAATCGTTCAAAACATATTTGGCCACCGGAGCACTGAGAGAAATGCCGGTGCCTCGGTCGCTCTGTGACAGAGACAGAGAGACGTTGTCAGCAGCTAAAGCGGTAAGACAGAAGAAAACAAGGACTTTTCATAAAGCCAACGTGTCAGTCACTTTTCGTCAACCGACCAATCACAGGCTGGATGGGGCGGGACATTTAAAAAAGGTTTTGACGCTCCCCTTGTTCTCTTGTACATCTGTTTTACTTGTTATTGTTATAAATATTGTTTATTGTTGTTCAATTTGAGAAATACACATTTCAATATGTCAGTATTTTGCGCATTCCTTGATAATTAAGCAAGTAGACTTATAGTACCTATTATTAATTCTATTGTAATCGAATCACAATCACAAATTGCAATATTGTCCACAATGTACACAAAACAGCCCTAGTAGGTATGCATTAGTTTCATAGAAAGTGTAACATACGTATAGTTAAATTAATAGCTCTTTGACTGCGTCAGTCAAAACTGAACATTATTATGAACATTATTATTTTGTAAAGGTAGAATTTATAAATGAGCTGTTGTATTGGATTTCATGACATTTTTCAGGTGTGCCTAATTAAGTGGCCAGTGGGTGTTTTTCCCTTTTTTCTCCTATTAACCAAAACCTTACACTTGGTTGGTCTTTGTGTTGCAGGCTACTGCTGAACAGATCCGGCTCGCCCAGATGATCTATGACAAGAATGATGCTGACTTTGAGGACAAAGTCAACCAGGTGAGAAACAATTTTTCAGTCAGGCTGGGCTGTCACATTCTTCCATGACTTCAGTACTTTATGTGGACACAAGGAAAATGCACAATTGATGCTGTGAGTTACGCCATGACTTGTACTGTCATACGGTGCAAAACCGGTGCATTTTGTCATCAGTATACCTTTTGTTGACTCCCAGACATTTCTAATATGATAAGTGTTGCTTTTACCAGCTGATGGAGGTGACTGGGAAGAACCAGGATGAGTGCATGGTAGCGCTCCACGACTGCAATGAGGATGTTAGTAGAGCCATCAACTTCCTCCTAGAGAGCACCTCGGACATGGTAAATTACATTGCATCTTATTTAATCTCATATTGAACAATTTATATACATTGTCGTACTATAAGAATTTGCTATTTAATCTACTGTAAATAGATTTATTTTGTTTGGAAGGCAAAATATGCAGCAGCCCCATACGATAATTGTTTTTACCGTGATGTGTGATTTAAATTTGGGAAATGTGCACATCGTAAAAATAATTATAATAATCATTCATTCTTTAACTTTCAAATTGTACTTGCGCTGCCACTAATCAGATAGACCGTTTTCACAGCAGACGTTTTTCTATGTCACAGTAAGAAAGGCACAGGTGTAATTCATAACCTTAATGATGGCAGAATTCCATTTATCTCAGCTGCTAACATGGTGCTGGTTTTGTGCATGCTGGTTCACTGCCATGGCTTAAGCCTTTTGCGCAAGACTGGAAGTGTGTAAGTTGCTGTGCCACGCACACCGCGAGACCTTTGTCAGGACTGTGTACGAGTGTAAAGACTATTTGACTGACATCTCAATGACTCTTAGTTGAGTTGGACCTGTTAGGGCCGGACAGCGTTTTATCATTCATATTAGTACGCGGAATCTGACGTCACAAAATTCCTAGTATAGCACCGGCCGACTTCAAGCAGAGGTCTGTCACTGTGAAGATTTTTTTAACCATTGTAGATTAACACCATGTCTGCACAGGCTGTGTAGTGAAAGCAGCATGTCCTCCATCAGCATCTACACAGGATGTGTGTAGCCATCCGTGTTTTCAGCAGCACTCAAAGCCCAATACACTTTCACTTTTTAAAACACATGTAAAGCGAATGTAAGCT